GGGGCGGAGGGGTTTCTTGGTGTGTCTGGGCGCCTGCCCAGTCTCACTTCAATCGCCTGGCGTCTTGTCAGCACGCAGCACAGCACCAATGCCCAGAGCATCCATCGTATTCAGCTGCTTCGCCTTCCCGTCACCCAGCCCACCCTTTTCCTCCCTCTCTCCCTTTTCCCATCACACGCCTCACTCTCTTTAAGGAATTCACGTCCCCCCCCCCACCGTGTCGTCAGCGTCGCATTCGGCTTCTTTTTCTCTCGCTCTCTCTCTCTCTCCGTTTCTTCATTAACTTTGTGTGGTCCTCTCTTCGAGAAGTTCCTCTTCTCAGTCTCTCGTTCGGATTTCGAATCCTCTCACAATACATCAAACCCGATACAATGCGTCACACCACCTTCAAATCGGCGGCCCTGTCGCTGGCCGTCGCCGGTATGGCCTCGGCGCAGACCTGGTCTCTGTGCAACCCCGTCGAGGGCGACGACTGCAAGCCCAACCCTGCCTTCGGTGGCGCCGCCAAATACGACTTCACCACGGCCACCAAGCTCGACGACCTCAACTCCTTCTTCACCGTCGACCCCGGTGTCGTCTACAACGACAAGCAGATGTCCTTCGACGGCGGCGCTGGAGCCTCCATGATCATCTTCGAGGAGAGCAACGCCCCGACCCTCACGTCCAAGGAGTACCTCTTCTTCGGCAAGGTCGAGTGTGTCCTCCGCGCCTCGCCCGGCCAGGGCATCATCACCAGCATTGTCCTCCAGTCCGACGCTCTCGACGAGATTGACTGGGAGTTCATCGGTGGCGACCACACCCACGTCCAGACCAACTACTTCCACCTCGGCAAGAAGGACTACACCTACGGCCGCGAGCACGAGCTTCCCTTCAACGCCATGGACGAGTTCCACGCCTACACCATCGAGTGGACCCATGACGCCATCACCTTCTCCATCGACGGCAACGTTGTCCGCACCGCTACGCCCGCCGAGGGTTCCTACCCCCAGACCCCCATGCAGCTGAAGCTCGGAACCTGGGTTGGCGGCAAGGGTGGCAAGGAGCAGCAGGGCACCATCGACTGGGCTGGCGGTCTCGCTCAGTGGGACCAGGCTCCGTTCGCCGCTCACTACCAGAAGGTCACCATCCAGGACTACGCCGGCGGCAAGAAGGCGGCTCGCGAGTACGTCTACACCAAGGGTCAGGGTAGCTGGGAGAGCATCAAGGTTGTTGGCGGCAAGGAGAGCGACGCCGGCAAGTTCAAGGACACCACCGAAGACCCCGTCAAGTCCGAGACCTCCTCCATTCTCCCCTCGACCACTTCCAAGCTTCCCTCCTCTGCCGCTGCCTCCGCCTCCGCCTCTATCAGCGCCGTCGTCTCCTCCATTGAGGACGTTTTGAGCTCCATCGTCAAGGTACGTTCGATACGGAACCCCCAAGAAAGATGTCATTGCTAATAGGAAAACAGACCAGCACCATCTCATCGGCTCCCGTGAGCTCCTCGCTGCCCGCCAACACGACGACCATCAGGACCACCAGCTCCGCCGCGACTACTCTCACTAGTGCCGAGGCCACCACCACCACTGGAGCGGCCGCTGCCCAGAGCTCCACCGCGTCTGTCGATGAGAGCGCTGCCACTCACATGCAGGCCAGCGCCCTTGTTCTGACCCTGGCCGCCGTTGCCGGTGTCTTCCTCTGGTAAACGACGCCAGTCAACGAGCAAGACCAGTTTTACCCCTCTTCAAAAATACCCAACGCAGAGAAAAGAGATTTACGACCAAAGACGAAATGGAGAGTTTGCTCGCCAGGAAATCAGGTGGCGGCTGCTGGATTGAGCCCTGCCACGCGAACACCACGCATAATACCAGACTACCATGTCATTTGTCTTGGCCGGTTTCGAGGATTGGAAATGGACGGCACTGTTTTGTTTAGCCTGTTCTTGATTACATACCATGGTGCGCTCGGGAGAGCAGGGTGGTTGGTTAGCTGTGGAGGAGGAGAGGAGGTCAAATCGACCGGGCTCATTTTCAGTTTGCCAGACCGGTCCATTTTTTTATTTTATTTTTTGTTTCAGAGGGGTCATTGTGTTTCTCCCCTGGCAGGCTTGTATGATAATCGTGTCATATTGATAGAGTAGAGTGCATTCACCCAATTCTCTTTCCCCCTTTCCGTGCTTGCGTTTCGTCTCGTTCCAGTGCCCTTCTCGCCGGCCAACGCTGTGCCATTGGATGGACGGACGAGTGACCACCATACGGGCACGCGAGGGGGGCTGGGCACACGCGCCGGCGCCGTTGAGGAATCAAGGGCCCACGGAGAGTTCACGCCTACCGCCCGCCATGCCTTGATTTTAGGCTTCGGGCGCCCGGACGACGGCGCCTGCGCCCGCACCCCGCACAGCATACGCAAGCGGGGCCCCTCTTCGTGTTTCGATTTAGAGCTCGACATGCGCCGTGCACCTACCTAGTTATACACAGCGAGAAAAAACCGCTAGTGCAGGCTGACAGACACGAAGAGACCTACGAATTGGCACGCGAAAAGCCTCTCTCATTCTCAACTAATCCTCGTTTTGTTTTATTTCGGGGGCGGCTGGCTGCGTCTGCTACAGTGCACCAATCGTACATGCCCCGCCCCGTACGCGTCCCGTCATGAATCGTCCCATCTCCCCTTTCGAGCCATCATCAAGAGACAGAGCCAAGTTGGTTTTCTTCTCCATCATACCCAGCCCCGATCAAGTGGGTTGGTCATCTTCTGCTCCCCTCTCACCATCTCGCTCTCTGCGTGTGTGTGATGACCCAAGAAGGAATATTACAACATAGGTACAGCAACAGTACAGACACGCCTCGCCCCTGGGGCGAGAAGCCGGGTATCAAACTGCTTGTCATCCGCGTGTCATGGTCAAGATAAAGAAAAAGCAGAAACCGGAATAAGAGCACAAAAAACGAAAAAGCATCCCCGTCGTAAAAAGATGTAACAAAAGAAAAGAAAGAAAGAAATTAAAAGGGGAATCAGTGTCGCCAGCATCGTCTCGTGGAACCAACCGCCCGGATTGGGATTCATCCTAAAAGTGGCTGGACAACTTCAGCCTCACGCTCTTAGCGTCGCATCGCCGTCTGCGGCAACCTCGACTTCCTCGTCGCTCAGGTCGCCGAGCGCTGCTCGTCGCGCGGTGTCTCTCTCGTTGTAGATCTCCTCGCGCCGCGTGTCGGCCTGCTGGAGACAGTCGACATAGGTACGGAACTTGACAATCTCGCGGAGCAGGTAGGAGCTCTTGCGTTCCCAGTTGGCCATGGCGCGCCCGGCATTGTGGCCACGCGGTGTGAACGCGAGCAGCATGGGGCTGCGCAGGCTGTTGTGCACCTGAAGCTCGTCCTCAACACCCTTGACATAGGCCAGCAGTGTGAGGAGTTGTTCTGCCTCGGGCTGTGTGGAGGGCCGCATGCTCTGCGTTGGTGGCGCCCACTCGGAGATGTGGATGCGGTCGCCCGGAAGCTTGACGCCGCGGCTACCACTGCCGTAGGGGCCCGAAGGGTAATCGAAGGAGGCGGACCGGAAGCTACGCGACGACTGCATGCTTGTTCGAGCTGCCGGCGGGTTAGACGCGTTGGCGGTTGCGCTGCTTCCAGGACGAGACGTCCGACCAGAGGGAGGTGCACCGCCAGTAGATTCGTGAATCGCCGTGACGAGAGCGTTGTTGATGATGGCGTCACTCCAGCCGTATTCAATGTTGCTGATGCCACCAATGAGCGGGTGCGTGCTGAGGCGCGCGCTCCAGTAGTTTGCTGTCGTGACAAATTCCTTGCTGATCTCTGGCGTGCCTACCTGGAACAAGTGCACGGCACCGGTTGGAAGGCTCAGTGCCCACACATGCGGTCGTGTCCTAGAGTACCCAGGTGAAGGGAGTGCCGAGGCAAGCGTCTGTCGAAGGCTGAAAGTTCCGAGATTGGTCGCGTTGTCCTGCCAGTTACCACCGCCGACTGCGACAGTGCTGCTCTTTGCAGCATTACGCGCCATTTTGCTCTTGCGCCCCATTGACTTGTTCGCCGTGAAGGAGAAAAGACTCATCTGTCCCTTCTGCACAACTGCAAACACTTCGGTCCAGTTCCTGTCCTTGGCCTTCTTAGCGACTCCGTCCAGGTGGTGCTTGTGAGTGACCATGCCCTCCTTGACCCAAGGGGGACCAGCCAGCTCAAGAGATTCATCTTCGAGAAGAGGCACATGGGCCTCGTCGCTCATGATGGACGCAGCAGGGCCAAACCCTGAGGCATCATCGCGGATAATGGCTTGGCTGAGTGCGTTCGCGAATCCAATCGATTGCTGGTAGTCGCCGCGAGGAAACGGTGTGCCGAAGGAGTCCATGGACATGCTGCCCTGTGTGCGGCCCAAAGAATACCGGCTCCATGTTGCAGACGACGGCGTCGGACTCCAGATGGAATTGCCATCATCGAAACTGGTTCTCGAGGACGAAAAGCCATTGTGACCAAGGCGAGGCCTGGACCTACTCTTAGAGCCAAAGCGGGCCGTGTTGGTGCGAGAGTTCTCGGCGAGGCGACCGCGGATAGACGAGTGACTTTCCGACGGCGCCTTACTGAGCACACTCGGCGAACGCTTGAGCATGCCCATCACTGACAGGTTGCTGTGGGAGGTCGGGCCGAGGTTTCGTGACGGTTCGGCACCGAACAACGGGAGTCGCTCGTCCCTGATCGACGCGTAGATGAGCTTCAACACGATCTCGACCTGTGCCTCCCAAGCCCGCATGGTGCCGCCGAAAGGTGCCTTTACTAGAGGACCACACTCGTCTTTTTCGACACCCTCAGCGCCATCTGCGCTGGGCTCGCGTCGTGGCGCAGGCTTGAAGGAGAACCGGTTCGAGCGCTCGTCAGCAGAAGGTCTGACGTCTTCGTTGGTAGCGTGTAAACTGTCCTTCTCGGGGAGAATACTGGGCCGCTTGAATGCGTTGGGCGCCGCTTCACCAACAGCCTGGATGATCGTTGTGATGGTGTTCTTGACAAACTGGCTGCGGGTCATCTTGGATTCGATGTCTGCCAGATGCAAATCTGTGTTCAGAAGCATAATCGAATAACAGATGGTATGGATAACGTCTGTCCATGTTAGCTTATCGTTCGGCAGGAGACAGGTAGGGGAATGCTGACCAGACGCCTTGAATCCATGATTGGGGTTACAATCGCACCACCTCTTCGAAAAGGCAACCAGAATGCGATCAACCTGCTGCGTCTCCGCTCGGAAGACGAGCCTTTCACAGACCTGTCGCAGAGCCTGCACGACGCTCTTAGTGGCAAAATCGTACAGTTCCATGTAAGCCTGGAGGGTGCGCTGTCGAACAAGGCCTTCTTCTCCCATCCACGCCGCCGCCTTTTCCTTCTGGATGAAATCTTCGTTTCCGTCATAAATCTTCTGTGCTTTTTGCCGGTCATCGTCGGTCGGGTCGCCAACAACGAATTCGGGCTCGTCGAGGGGCTTGCCATTCATGGAGTCGAGCATCTTTGAGCTGTCTTCCACTGTCACGCTGGGTGTCTGGAGTGCCGACTTGTACTCTGTGCCGGTCGACCCTGATCGAATACTAGCCGATCGGGCACCCTCCAGCGGCAGGACAAGTGTGGACCGATTTTCGTCCTCTGAATCAACCACCTCGGTTTCATTGGCCTTCGGCATTCTCGCGCGGTGCGCATTCTCTTTGACGACAGGTGGTGCTAGAGCCGGTGCAGACAACAGTTCTTTGCTCGCCTTCCTCATCCTCTCCGTCGATGCTGTCTTGTACTTTGTTGCAACCTCCACCTCGTTATCATCAGATCCATCCAGATTCAAGAACGAGTCGTCCCTCTTGCCGATGGGTTGTGGTACTTCGGGCGGGGGTCGCGTCGGGGTGTCGTTGCGTCGCTCATTGTCCGAAATTGCCTCGTCAACGTTTGAAGGCTCCGGCTCTTTCTCCGGGTCTGACTTGACCTCTCGGATGCGCGCGTTCGGGCTCGGTTCGTAGTCGGGAGAGAAAGAGCGCTTGTATCCTTGCGGTTCGCGCTCTGGGGTGGAGGGCCTCACGACCTCGGGCTCGGGCGATGCTTCCGCATTTTGGGCAGTAGTTTGGAATGGGTGAGGTGCATTGGGTGTCACCGGGCTACCCTTGAGATATGGGTTCATAACCCTACGCAGACTGCTGACCGGGCTCGGTTCTGGCTTGACGGCCAGCTTGTCCTTGCTGGGAGGAATCAGGAACGGGGGCGGCACCGCAGAGGGCATGGGAGGCTCAATGCTCGGAGCAGGAACCGGCGGTACTGGTGGTTCGGCATTCGATTTTTTCCTTCTCCTGAAAAAGGACGAGGGCTTCTTGTGAAGAACAGGCTGGTGTGACTGGGACGAAGACGTGTCTCGCGAGGGAGGGGTTGATTGCGACTTGGCCTGACTAGCACCGTTCTGGGGGCGGCTGCCGGGCCGGTTTTCGGTATCAGTGACACTGGCCTGTGCCGGCTCGACATTGTTGCTGGCAGCGTTACTCTTAGACGAGCCAAACACTCGCCTGAAGAACCCCGGTCGCTCTTTTGTTTGCGACGGCGGCTGTGTTGGGGCAGGTGCTCCGTGCACGGCAACTTTCGTCTTCTCGTACCCAATATGAGGCGCCGGCGCTGAGTCGGGTTCAGGCGTTGGCGTGTTCTGGGGTATGGACTCGCGCGTCATGGTATTGCTCTTCGAATCGGTCTTGCGGCTTGTTGCTGTGCTTTTCGCAGATCGGGCAGATCGTTTGCGCTCGAGGGCCGGGGCCTGAGGCTCAATCGGTTCAGGGGGTACGGGAGGGAAGGTCGGGCTCGTGATGACGGGAAAGCGACGCGGACCGCCAGGAACAGTCGGGGTCGGTGCCGCGTCGTAGTCGTCGCTAAGGAAAGTGTTGGAGAACTCGACGTGCCAGGGTGCCTGTTGGGAGTTATTGGTAGTTATTTGGGGCCGGTGGCCGTAATCGAAGCTCGACGACCGTTTGCCGAATCCGTGAGCCCAACGCTGACTGCTGAGCACCTGGGCGTAGCCGGCGTCGACGCTATTTGTGCTGCTGCTCTTGCTCCCTTTCCCACCGCCTCGTGAGTGCATGTGCCGGGGCGTGCCCGGGGTGCTGCGAATGCTGTTAATGCGGCCGAGGTTCGTCTGAAAGTTCGAGCTGCTGTTGCTTCTCCTGCCGCGGGAGTGCTGGCTAGAATATCGGCTGGAATCGTCGGCGCCGTCAAAGTCGGAGCTGTAGGAATAGCCGTGTCCGTTTGCGCGCCTGTCTCGACCTGCCGTCGCTCGTGCCAATGGGTCGGCGTCGCTGTTGTACACGTAGCCTTGTGATGCGTCGTCAAACAAAGCGCCTTTGCCGTTGCCGCTGATTGTACCACTTCCACTCGCATTCGTTCCAAGAGATGGCATAGAAAATTGGTCGAGGGACATGAGCATATTGGTCATCAAAGAGTCGCGTGTCACCTGTCTAGCGGGTAGGGACAGGTCGTGGGAGTCCCTGGCCCGGCTGTAGGCGGGATTTGTGTTTTCCTTATTGGACATGTCTGTGTCGATTGGCGTCGGCGTCTCTAAAAAGGAGTCGTCTGCATTATGGGTGGAGTAGGAGGGTGCTTTAAGCGCCCGCGGTGCTGGCTTTTTGGGAAGCGGTGCTGATGTCTTGGATTTTCCAGGGGGCGTTAGGGGATCTGCATCGCACAGTGACTTGTCGCGAGAGACGGCGTGGGTGTTGGAGTCGTGCTTGGGCGAGGTATCAATGTTGAGATCAGGGCGACGACGGCGTCGTTGAGTCGAAGTATCGCCAGACATGACAATGGTGTAGGGGGGAGGACGAGGGACGGTCGACGGGAGGTCGACGGGATGGTCGCTTCGAGGTCGGGGTCAGGGTCGAGGAACGCTCAAAGGGGTTTCTCTCATTTCGCGACCCGAGACCAAGCGGCAGAGATTCCAGAAGCGGGATCCGAAGTAGCGGGTCTCGTGGCGGGGGAAATGACGATGGGCTGGCAATGTTGCACTGTCTTGCAAGCCGGCAACCGATGTGTTCCTGGCGGGCTGGCGGCAGCGGCAGCAGCAGCAGCAGCAGCAAGAGACAGAATAGAGCACGACGGTTGTGCAACGGGTCTCTGCCGCCTCGTCGTGATAATCTAAATGGATAGCGATGCCAATGGACCCCCTAGGTACTTGGTTTATTGCTTTTTTCTTTTGCCTAGGCAGGGTGGTGCGTGCGTGCGTGCGCTGACAAGCTGATTTGGCAAACGAGTTGGTGTTGTAATGTCCAGTTTACTACTGTCGCCGAGAAAGTCTACCCAAGGGATCGAGAGAGTGAAGAGAACAGAGACGACCGACCGGTCAGTTGATTGACTTAATTGATCGATTGAGGGCAGAATGATTGGGCGCTTCGGTTGATTCGGTCGGGTATCAATGATGAGGACAAATGCAGGGTAGAAGAGTAGGAAGAAACAGAGGCACGACATTCACTGCGGACAAGCAGGTATTGGGAGCCCCTAGTTGGACCGGTCCTGCTGTGCTGTGCTGTCTTGCTCCTTTGGGTCTTGAGGCAGCTTTGTTGGCGAGTTGTCGAAGCGTGGTTGCAGCAGTAATGGGGTCAATCGCCTGTGACCATGTATGGCAAAGGCCATGGCGGAGGCGGGTTGAAGAGCTGGACGGCTTGACCTGACCAGGCACAACATGGGGCTGTCTACCTAGGTATCAGGTTCCTTACTGACTGCCTCCCTCGACAGGTACTTACAGACGGGCCAGCAAGTACATGGAGTCGGCAGAGAAGAGGGGGAAGGTTGAGTACCTAGCTCCTACTCACCCAGCCAGCAAGTACATCGAACTCTTGTGGCCGGCAAGATGCAGTGGCCCCGGGACGCTGCGCTGGCTCTGCGACTGCCCACTCACAACACTGCTCGGGTACCTAAAAGCAGGGAGCACTAGCCCCAGTCCGCCGAAAAAAGCTGCAGCGGGAGATGAAGATCCATCGGTCGAAGCTTCACCCCAAGACGATTGCAGCAAGAGGTCCGACCTTTGCCTTCAATAGCACGTTTGGCCTCCCCCCATCTCTGCCAGCTGTCACACAACATCAAGGCCAGGCCATCCGTGCTGACCACTCGTTCCAGCCCCACCAGCCAAATAAACAGGGGCTCCGTTCAGGGGTCACCCCCCCCTTTCCCGCACCGATTGGGACTGACAAGGCTACAGGGCCCACCAATCGAGCGAGGCCCCTGTGGCTGATCTGGGTGCTCCGTGCCGCAGCTGCTGGGTGTTCTGCCATGTGACGGACGGCGCCTGTCATTCTGTGCCCCCAGCTCGAACATGTCAGCAAAGTCGTTGTCCTCCGAGAACCGCCACCCGAGTTTGAGCATCACCCATGGGGCACTGCTGGTGTGAAGGAGGGGATGGAGTCGGGCAGGGACAAGCCGAGGAAGACCGGCCGCCAGCAGCAGAAAACGGCGGTGGCCCTGCCGAAATGAAGTCATTAGCACGCGCAGCTAATGTTTCTGCTCCTGAGCAGCGCCCGGCGCGCTATGCAATGCATGCTGCTCGCTGCCACGACTTCCCCTGAGTCGCGGGGTCCGTGTACCGGCCTTGGCATGGGCTCACCAAGACGTCTGTCAGCCAGGCGCGCGAACCATTATGAGGCTCGAAATATTCTGAGCGTGGTTCAGAGCTATGAGATTGCGCTGCCTCATGAAAACAAGACTGTTCGCGCAGTGGAATGCCAACCCTAAGCTGCAAATCACGCTGTTCTGAGGGAGCCAACAGTCGTTTTCAACAGACATGCGTTCTCGTCCTCAAACACAGAGGGATAAATGCCCCATGTCGTATAGGCTGTGATCCAAAAATATGACTACGAAACACAAATTTTCAGAAGAGCCTCATATTTGCAAGGCATCCATCCCTCGGCACAACGGAGGCCCTGGGTAGAGTACAACAGACGATGGGGGATATTTTCGGACTGTGATGTCTCCAAGAGATTGCTGCACCAGATTGGACATAAAACAACGCCCATAAACTTGCTGAGCTATCTGCAGCCTTGCCAAGCAACGGCAATGGCTGACAAGACTCCACGAGTTGGCATGGCATAGGAATTTCTGAATAGCTTAGGAATCGCTCTGTGGTTTGTGACAAAGTCTGAACCGTGAGGGTCGAGCACGCCAGCGCCGTTGTGTCAATAGGCATGCTTCGGTGACATGATGTCGCAGAGACCTCCTGGTACAGCAACACGTCCAGCAAGTCAGCCGTCCAGTGTTCCCTTGCAGCTGCATGTTGAAAGTATGCCGAGTGGAAAGGGTTAGAAAACAGTGTCGCGCAGGAAACCTTTGAGCCAAGGCGTATGCGTCCATCCTGCGGTCATGATTTCGCTTCTTGCCTTTTGAGTTTGGGTGTATGAAAAGGGGCTATGATCCTATCCCTACCCATGTAGACATGACGAAGATCGTGATACTCGGACTGGAGGAGACAGTGACATTGAAGCCGAGTACCCAATCGATTGCCAGGCTCGTGCAACGTCAGGATAAAGCGTCCGAGTCCAAAGGCGACAGTCATGTAGCTCATGACAACTAACCGAAAGGCAAAACCAGCACCCCTTTGTGTTTGATGCTTCATGATAGCTTCAGGAGTAGACATCTTCTTTGTCCAGAGCAGAGACACTTGGTCGAGGCTGCCCCTTGGAACCCGTCACTTTATTAAGCTTGCATCTGTCGTGCTCCTCTGCACCGCACCCTCATCGCCCAGAGCGACCCTCTGGAACGATTTTCAGAGTTAAATTGGGCGCACAAATGCTCCCTAGCCGCTGTGTCTCTGGCCAACACGTCGCATTGCATCGCTCCAGCATGAACTGACCAACAGTTCTTCCCTCCCCTCGACGAACGCACCCACACGACGCCCATCCTCCATGCCTTTGCCCTTGCATTTGGCCTGCACGTAGTCTCCACAGAATGTCGGGATGCGATTCGTCCGTCAGGAGTGAACGCCACGGAATGACCACCGCTCATCGCAGCGTCAATGCGGGCGCCAGGTTGGGCGAGTGCCTACATGTACCTCTAAACACCGAGATACCTACCTAGGTCAAGACGTGCCTCCACCAGGATGACGAGAGCGGCGGTCTCCAAGTACTCCAAGTGGAAGCCAAATTTCAATTACGGTACAGATTTCCACATGATTGCTCAAGGTCAACTCGGAACAATTCCTACCTGTATTGCCATCCAAGCCCTGCCGTATCGCTCGAGCGCTCTCTCACCCGCAGCGAAACCCCACCTCCCCGCCGCCCCCGACCGTGTACCTGCATCCACCCGACAGCGCGTTGTCCGCCCTGGATTGACGGCACATGTGTACACACCGCCGCAGCCTCGCGGCATGCAATGTGCCCTGCGTCTCGCTGGTGACGCATCGCACCGTGGCCTGAAACACGTCGCTGGCTGCCGTGCTACCTGTCTCGCAAGAGGAAGCGAGACCGCCGAGGCCAGGGCTCAGCGCTAGGGTACGGCAGGCGTTGTGGCGGGTGCGTGGATGGCTCACTATTGTTTCTCTTGGCTTGGAGCTGTCTCCCATTCATCGCCTGCAGTTCGGTTCCAGGCCCTGTGCCGGGATCGTGGTCAGGGCATGGCGGCAGGCTATCACGAGTTGGAACCTTCTGATGATCTCTGCAGTATACCATGAGTGATGAGGTCGATCTTCAATTAGAAGTTTCCATACATATTAGTTTACTGTCGCACTTATGCTAAGAAGGCTCTCTTGAATTATTACCAGAATACCGCCTGTGGTTCGTTTGTCAATATCCAGGTAGCAACATCTTCTCTCTTTTCTCCTCGCCCTCTCCCTCGTCTCGCTCACCCCTTTCTACTCTTGATCTCGTGTCTAGTGGCGCGCCGTCTGCTACCTGAGTCTGATCGTTGACAGCCCCAACAGCCGCCTGCGTCAACTTGGCTCCGTCGTCGCTGAGCCAGTGTCGCATGGCAACGATGGCCGCCTGGTATTCCACGGAGACGCTCGCTTTGGGCGCGAATGGGGGTGGCTTGTCCCACGCGTGCTTCTCTCCCAGCACGACCCTCGAGGTGACTGTGACACCTGCTTCGCGCAGATTATCGGCAAACTTGAGGCCTTCAGTGAGGAGCATGTCCATCTCGCAAAGGCAAAGGTGTACTGGCGGCAGTCGCTCCATGTACTCGAGCGGCATGAGACCGGGGCTGAGGCGGGGGTCGTCGCGGTTGTCGTAGGGGATGGCAGGATGGATATACGAAGCGTCAAAAAGATCTGTCATACTCTTGGGAAGTGTCTCGTGCGGCTTGACACATAACCGGCGCTTAACCGGTCGGCTCGTGGTGAAGTCGAGAAGCGGGTAGAATAGTGCAAGACCCGCGATCGAGGGAGACGATGAAATTTCATACCCCCAGCGAGAAGGGTCTTGAAGGATCACCCACGCGGCCAGTGAGAGGGTGCCGCCTGCTGAGAAGCCGGAAAGGAGGAGACGGTTCGAATCGACGTTGAATTCTCCCGCACGTGCATAAATTTGAAGAATAGAGTCGAGAGTATCTTCAACAGGGGTAGGAAATGGGTAGCCGGGGGCCAGCCGGTAGTTGACGGAGAAGACAACGGCGTCGAGAGACTCGACCACGGCGCAGGCCCAGCGGGCATCATCTGTGCCCGAGCCCAGTATGAAGCCGCCGCCGTGGAGGTTGATGACACCGACACGCTTGACAGGATCGGCGGCAGCACGGGCTTGACTTGGCTGCGTGTCGGCCGACGGTTCGTACACGTCAACTCGAATGGCGTCTTTACCCTTCCATTCTGACAGTGTTGAGTCGAGATAGATGGTTCGTGAGGGAGATGGGGGCGCGGGTGCAGAGCGGTTGCCCCAGTTGAAAGCAAAGGAGGCACCTGAGCGCAACGCCATGGCATTCGCTGACAGTCGCCATCGAGCGACATTTTCTAACGGATTCACATATTCTTCGTCGCAGGGCCCTTCTCCCGGCGTGCTGCGTGATGCAGAACGTGATAGCTTGGCTGACAGACGTGAACGCTTGCTGCTGCTGCTACTGGCTGAAGAGGTCGACTGACCTCCCGAGGTTGTGATTTTGCGCAACATGGCGCCCACCGCGGGGTAGGAGATGACAGGTGCCAGTTGCAGATGCGGTGTGCGAGGCTCAAAGTCGAAAAGAAGGTGGGGGTTGCGATGCGGGCGATGCCGGTGATGCCGGAGAGTCAACACACCACGTGGATGGTCGAGGTACAGGTACCTCAGGACGATTCGGGTCTTTCGGGTGCTTGAAGGGGGCCGACAGTCAGATATGGTCGGCGGATTGTTGTCGGGCAGCTTCGGAGGCCGAGGGAAAGGGTGAGGACGGTGCGTGGCAAGGCGGAAGGTTGCGGTTCATTGAGGGACCTGTGATCGCTGTGAAAGTTCCCGTCATACGATGCCTCTCTCAGTCACTTCCTTCCTTTGTCGAGCTCATGTCGATGCAAGGCAAGCGATCAATAAGTGGACACGCCATGTCCCTTCCGCTGGTGGGGAGAATGGCGTGGCGGGGAGGCTGAAGACCCAACTGCATGTGAAGTGGGGTGACGTCATGGACCCTCGAGTCTTCTTTCCGCATCACGAACTTTCTACGGAAGACAGTTTGTGCTCAGCAGAAGGACATTTCAGCGAGTCGCGCCTTCTGAAGCACGGGGCGGACTCGGCATGTCGTCCCGGCCGAGACAGAACCACCTTGCTGCCCCTGCCCATTCCTGGTCAGCAGACCAAGGCGAATCCAGAGGCAGGTAGGTGTACAGCAACGGAAGGCACGTTCGGCAAGAAGCGAACGGCAGGCGTTGTGTGCAAAGGCTGGGTTTTCTTTTTGGGGGGGGGGCGGTGGAGGATTTGGTCCGGCCGTTCCGCAACCTTTCGGCGTTTGCATCAGAGGGCATCACAATGCGATGCGAGCCGACCACCCACTAATCCCGGTTTGTCTCCCGTGTAAACATCCTACTCGTTCTATGTCCAGTCTTGGAGACGCTAGAAGCCTTACCGGGCGAGATGCTGGACCGACGTGACAGTCGATCTGGTGGGAACCTTCGATCTAGCATGTCCAGATGACTTCACTCGCGAGTCTGCTGAGGGTGCACCCGCCGGAAAGAGCTTGAAGAGCTTGAATAATGGAACCCGGGGCAAAGAACAGGCACCATAGTCAAGTACAGCGACTTGGCTGAGGCTTGTGGAGTGCCGAGCCCCGTCCGACACTGTCGTGACGCCGGCCACGGACACGTCAACTCTTGGTCATGGCCCTGGTCTTACCAAGCCTTTCCACCAAGATCCGAGATATCCATCCCACCCGCCAGTTTGCCAGCTTGAACGACGAGCGCGGGCCCAACTAGGACTCCGAACTGCCTGATCCTTTATTAACCTTTCAATGTCGCCTCCCGCCCTTCTGTTCTCGTGTTTCTTTGCTAATGTTCATGATCGTACTTCACCCAAGGGTCTTGGATCTGTCGCGTTGCCATCACATCTATCAACACACAATCTCACGAAAGTGTCTGCTACGCACACACACCATCAGTCGTCCAACGAACACTGTCCCCTGAACGAACAACACTAGATCGGTCCAATTCGACCTTGCGCCCTGGTGTCCGAGTCCAGAAGGAGGCGCCCTGCTCACCGTTCAGCCTCCACGCCCAACATCCCTGCACCGCAGCCGCTGCCGGTAGTCCTGGTCTGGCCTTGTGCCTGGCAGTCTCACACTGCACACCTAACATCCGGCCGAGACGGCTTGAACCCCGCCGGCACTTGACAGCACATTATGACGACAACCAGCCGCCGCTCAACGGAGAGCCCCTCTCCGGGCTCACCTAACCCATTCTTACGAATTGCACACAAACTCGCCGCCCTCCGCCACGATCACGAAGCCAAGACCACATCGACCGTCAGCCTTGACCGCGTCCGCAAATCTCCCCGTAACAGCAGCAGCACTACAAGCAGCAGTGACAAGGTGCCCCGACTCGACCTGCGCAACGGTGTCAATAGCGCTCCCGATGTTCGACCGAGTGCAAACGCTGCCATCAGCAGTATCCCCTCAACGCCACAAAGCCCGCGAAGTCAGCCCAGAACCGACGATGAAGACCCTGAGACCCCCGAGGAGCACAATCGCTATGGCGCAGAGCTCCATCACCCCGCCAAGCTGGTGACGATCGCTGAAGCGTCCGGCATGCCCGTTGACTCTGTCGTCACATTCCGAGCTCGGATTCACACACAACGCCGAATGTCGAAACATCTCGACTTTCTCTTGTTCAGGGACCAAACGCATACCATCCAGGGCGTGCTGTCGCATACTCACCCGAACATGGTACGGTGGGCTCAGCACCTCAATCCCGAGTCCATTGTCCAGGTCACCGGCACACTTCAGAAGCCCGTGCAGCATGTTCGCTCGGCAACTCACAGCGGCGTTGAGATCAGTATCGACACCATGTATCTTGTCAGTCCTGCGCATGACTTGGCGTTCAGCAACTACAAGGCACCGAGCACGATGCACCGGCGTCTCGAAGCGCGCGTTCTCGATCTACGGCATCCAGCAAACCAGGCTCTCTTCCGGGTCCGCCATACCATCACCCGGACATTTCGCGAATCGCTCGAGAAACAGAACTTCATGGAGATGCACACCCCAAAACTTCAGCCAGCGGCTACGGAGAGCGGGGCGTCCGTGTTCAAGGTGAACTACTTCGGTCGCAGAGCGTTTCTTGCCCAGAGCCCACAGCTAGCCAAGCAAATGGCCATCTCGGCTGATTTCGGTCGAGTTTATGAGGTGTGTTTCTTAGAATGCATTATAATCGCTTTAGACGAGAAACTAACGTGATCGCAGATTGGCCCCGTGTTCAGAGCTGAAAATTCAAACACGCATCGCCACCTCACCGAATACACTGGCCTCGACCTGGAAATGACTATTCAGGACAACTATCATGAGCTCATCAAGGTTCTTGACCGTGTGCTCAAAGACATCTTCACGGCAGCTCAGGCCATGCCGGAGCTTGATGTGGTCCGCGAACGATGGCCGAGTTCTCCCATAGAGTGGCTGGAGGAGACCCCAATCATCCCTTTCGTCGAAGGCATCCAAATGCTGCGTGATGATGGAAGAGATGTCGAAGAGGAGGATTTAAGCACCCGCGACGAAATCCGTCTCGGTGAACTCGTCAAAGAAAAGTACAAGACCGACTACTACATCCTCGACAAATTCCCAAAGAGCGCGCGCCCTTTCTACACGCACAAGGCGGAGGACCCCAAGTGGACCAACTCTTTCGATATTTTCGTCCGGGGACAGGAGATCTGCACTGGTGGCCAACGCATTAATGATGCGGCGGAATTACGGGCAAGCATGGTAGATGCCGGCATTTCCGAGGACGACATGGCCGAGTACCTTACTGCGTTCGACCTGGGAGTACCTCCCCACGGCGGCGCAGGATTGGGCCTGGACCGACTCGTCACCCTTCTCCTCAACCTCGGCGATATTCGATACGCGACGCTCTTCCATCGCGACCCGAAATCGCTGCCGGCGCGTCCCCCCGGTCTGCCACACCCCAATGCCGACACGACAAAGCCGCGGCCTGGTCATGACTTCCCAGCCCTAGAAGACCTCATCGCGAACTATGGCGACGCTTCCAACACCTCATGGCTTGATGATCGATTCCAGATCTGGCGTCACCATACCGGTGCGGCGGTGGGGTACGTCAAGCAAGGAAGGCTTGCCATGGTCATTGGCGATCCTCTCTGCGACATGCGCCAGTATGCCGAAGTCATTCCTGCATTCATCGACTTCACGGCACGTGAGCTTAAGCTGACACCGATTTGGATGCTCGTGTCAGAGGAGGTCCACGAAGTTCTTGGCCACGAGCTGGGATGGCGCACCCTCAGCTGCACAGAGGAACAGCGTACTGATGCCGACCAGCACACGGGACCCCACGGCCAACTCGCTCGTCGGGTTGAGCGTGAGGGTGTCAAGATTCGTGAACTTCGACCTGACAGCGCATTCATTAACCGCGCCAACACAGCAATTGAAGCCTGGAGATCGACGCGAAAGGGCAAGCAAGTTCACCTGACAGAGATTCGGCCCTGGGTGGATATGTCGCATCGCCGCTATTTCGCTGCCGAGAAGGGCGACCAAGTCCACGGGCTTGTTGTGCTGGCGCAACTGGCCCCCAGGCACGGTTGGCAGGTCAAGTGGGCGCTCGACTTCCCCGGCGCGCCGAACGGCACTATCGATGTACTCATTGAGACGGCTCTAGCGAGCATCACTGGCTCCGTCACGTTTGGTGTGGGTGCTGCGGACAAGCTGACACCGGGTGAGCAGCTCCACGGAACGAGGGCCAAGTTCCTGGCGAAAACGTACGAGGCTATTGTTAAGAGCCTAGGTTTGAACAGAAAGACGGAGTTTAGGAGAAAGTTTGGAGTGCTAGGGGAGCAGGTTTACATTTGTTACCCGAAGCACGACGTCACTTTGAAGGACTTGAGAGATGTGGTCAAGTTCTTCGAGGATTAGACTAAGTGTGAAATTCACGTGGGGTGCGCGGCGTCTGGGTTGTATTTCGAATCAACGGCAATTGTCAGTTATAGCAAGCAGTGTCTGGTAGTTGTAGCCTTTCCATCGGAAGATACACATTCTTATGAAATGATTAACTGAATCCATCTTCATCTCCTCATTATGCTGCATACAGACAGATGACCGCTCTTACATGTGTGGCATCTGGTCGGAGGCTGGCAACCAGATGCAAGAATCACGCCGGGTGAATCAGGAACTCGCTTACGTAGAGTGACAGACTGCGACAAATGCCTGCTGGGCCCAATGACTCCGGTCAATGGTCGGCGAGGAGGGGCTGGTATTTGTGGAGTGGACTGGCCAAACCTTGACGTTTTTAGCCTCACTCGGGTAGAGATCTGCCCAACACCGACATGGAGCCCGAGAAGGATGGAATCGAAGTGGCTTTGTGGCCTCGAATGCCCACCTCTAGAGTCAATGCAATAGTCAGCGTGGCCTTGCTCAGACTCATCCTTCTGGCCCACTGCACAAGGTCACGCAGCCCTCAGAAACAGATGAAGGTATCCCATGGCCTCCACGTCAAGTTTCCCCCGGGTGATCCGGCTTCGGGGACGCGCTCGAGAGTGGTGGCTTGATTTCCGGTCGGCATTTCAACCCCATGGAAATGTCACATGTGCTACTTGCCCTGCCTCTCACTCTATAAGCTGTCGAATTATCGATGTATGTCCGGCTGGTCAGAACGATAGGATCACTGCGCCATGCTCAATGATTTCCCTAAGCAGGCTTGCACATCAATATCTATCATCCTGACGCCGCTCACTCCAGCAAATAGACTCTCCACACTGATGCAAGTGGATGGTGCTGACGCGTTTCTGTCGTCGGCACAAGTCACTATGCCAGAAGTTGATCAGGTGAACTCGGTCTCGAGTCTTGTGCTGTCTGAGCCGGCAACTCGCGTCTCATGGTCAGAAACGCCCATGCTTAATCTCCTCTCGTGTTCTCTTCTATAGCTTCCGCCCAGCGGTTTTTAGCCAGGTCCTGATGGGTCTCGGTTTACTTAAGCGGCATGGCATGATTCATTCCAAGGGTGCAATGGTGCGCAGCAATGGGTTCCTTCAGGCAACGAACGAATCGAGCCCTCGGCCACGAAAGCGCCGGCGACTCAATCCGCTCGATTCCACCCATTCCTCAATCGAGATTCTGGGGAAGAAGTGAGGGAGGAAAGAGATGTGTGTGGTCAGAGTGGCGCCATCTTGAGAAGCGTCCACTTCGTGTAGGAAATGGAGCTTCACGAGCTGTCAAGCCTTGTGGGCACGTCTGAGGACAGGCAATCCCAGATTTTGCGATGATGACAAGCCGCACAGCACGGACAACTCAGTGCCCTGATTTTCTGGGGTGCATTGAGGCATCGATACTCGCGCGTCTTGGAAGAAGCTTGACGAGTGCTAAGGTTTCGGAAGTTCAAGATCACATGCAAACACATCAAATCAGGGGGTTTCTTGACTGGCTTGTGCAGAGCTTGTTGGTATCCAGAAACGGGAGAATCCGGCGGGCAGCGAGCTGATGCCGACCTCGTGATTGATCCGCCGCCTCGGGCAAAAGGAGCGCGGCCGACGCCTTGATTGCGCAAACGTGTCGCAACAATTGCCCCTTTCTTGTTGGACCTTGTCACACAAAGCACAAAGAACGCCACGGAGTGTGTGCCTCGCGCTGGTGTTGGTTTCCTCCCCATCGGGACAGCTAGCAAAATCTAGAAGGCCCGCGTCCCTGAGTAATCCTCATTGCCAGAGAAGCCATCGGCAGAGTCAGTCAACCCGGATTTTCCCACGTTCCAGAACCCTTCTGTGCGAGCCGCAGCGCCAGACCAACTGCAAAGCGACTACTCAGAACAGTCGAAGAAGCCCCACCTCCGATGACGGTGTTCCGTCGCCAGTCACGGTACCTGGGCCGTGGTGCAGTGGTCGGTTGTTTGCCGGGAGAAAACTCAGACTCCCCAAGGCCGGACCGACAAGTCCAACCGTCGGCTGGAGAACCACTCATGTCGCCGCGATGACTGGGAAAGGTGGCCCTCGCTCCTCCAGCTCCGAACTTCTGGGTACTTCTGACATATTGGCCCCCTCATTCATCACGTCAAAGGCTGGGTCAGAGGCCGGCGCCGGGAGCCGGCTGTTTTGTCTTTCTCCGCAGCGAATCACGGGCCTCATGCAGACGAGCCGCCCGTGTCGGCGTTACGCCGCCTTTGTCGGCAACCCTTTCGGTCTTCAGTCCGGTGTGCGCCGCCGCGTCGAGGGTGGGCCTGTTGATGGAACCGGGTGGCGTCAAGCCGTGGGCGTGCAAGGCGCGTTCCTGCGCTGCTGCACGGCATCCCACGCTGTCACCACGGCGTGCCTGGCGCGATGCCGTTTCCGGCGACAAAATCGCGGCACCTGCGGGAATTTTTCAGGGGTGGAGGCGCAGGGGCGTTCCAGGTTCTCTGCTCCCTCTTCCTCCCTCTGGCATTCTTCGCTTCTCCTCTAAACGGCCGATAGAACATGGCGAACCGCTTGGCCGGTCCACCAAGGGGGTCCGCCTAATAGCACCGGCGTGACGATTCATGACGGTGGCTTACGGGTCCGCGTGGAGTTTTCGACTCGTGGCCCCGGGCCTAGAAGCCTTTCTCCTCACCAGCTGGATCTCGGCAGCTGTTTCCTGAGGAATCGATCCCTTTCTCCGTCTTACCGAGATCCAGCCTTTTTCGCAAATGCGGAGGTAGTCAAGGGGAGAAAGGAGGGGGAAAGCAATGTGAGAAGAAAAAAGTCTGAAAGAAAGTTGTTGGTGCCTTGGTCTTGGTTTGTTCCTTGTTCAGCCGGCGGAAAACAAAAAAGCACACACACATTCATTGTATTTAACCCGAGGGGGATCCTCGACTTCAGATCTCTTGATCTCTGTTCATCCTCACGCACAACACACAACACTTCCAATCATTTTCTCTCTTCAGTCTCTGCCTCAGCTTCGACAGCTCCAGGACAAGTCATCATTCCTTTTTGACTTTCCATTACGGTATCCACCACGTCAAACATCATCATCGCAGAGCGTTGAGATACACTTGTCCCACCGACAAAAATCCCCTTACTTTTCCAAACGAGGACCTTCTTGCTTCTTTCCCTTCCCTACCATCAACATGTTCACCGCCATCACTGCTCTTCTCGCCGCCTCGGCCACCCTTGTCTCCAGCGCCAGCATCCCTGCGCGCCGTGCCACCAAGGGCTCTGCCTCCATCACCCCCCACGACCAGTACTCGTCTTCCATCGGCGTCCTTGGCTGCAAGATCAACACCAACCGTGTCGCCTACTGGCCTGGCGCTCCCGGCTGCGACGACCTCTGCGTCAAGGTCTCCCACGGCGGCCGCAGCCTCAACCTGCTGCGCATCGACTCCTCGGCCGGCGCCCACGACATCTCTTACGATGCCTGGAACTACCTCGCCTTTGGCTCCTCCGCCACCGACGCCCCCCACATGGGCGGTGGCGTCGACATGGACTACGAGATCGTCCCCATGTCCGAGTGCAAGGACCTCCTCGACGATGGCAAGCTGCCTCTCACCGCCGCCAACAGCATGAACTATGTTTCGGCCTGTATCGCCGACACCAACTCCTGGGCCGGCAAGAACCACGTTCTCTACAACATTGGCAACGCCGTCTGCACCATTGGCCACGACGAGGTCTGCAAGCTCGACCTCGCCGTCAGCAACCAGCCCTCGTGCCCTCACACCCTTGGCGCCGTCGACGCCCTCAAGGAAAACGAGGTCAAGAACATTGCCTACGGTACTGGCAAGGTCTCTGTCGCTCTGTGAGCACGGGACCTCTGCAAAGCAAGCATGACATGAAACTTTATGACATAGATATCAGGATAAACATACAGGATACAGGATACGGTATACAGGATACTAGGTACAGGACAGGCGTTTTATGATGACAATACACTCTTTACCTGAAAGCTCGGTTCGCGCTTGATGGCGCTTGATCTTAGTGATACATCTTGTAGTGTTTCCACTGATCCCAAAGTTACAAGCCGATAAAGCAACAAGCAACCTTGTCGGCGTCGGCCTTCATGATGATTTAATATCGATCGCTGCTTCGGATGGGGGGCTTGACAGTCCACACGAACGCCGTGTTGCCCATCTTCTGGCGGGGTGTGATGTTGAACGTGCCACTTTGATGAGTTAAAGCGAGCGTGTGAAGGAACCACTGTGCGTCAATTGCTTGCTTGTCGTAGAAGCCTGACTTGGAGGCAGCCAATCAATCCATTTTGGCAAATCGGACATTTGAACAATAAAGCATTGCAATTAGTGCGATGGTTGCTGCGATGGTGATTGAATGAAAGGCCCGGCGACTCCAAGAACTTTGACTGAGGCTTCGGAGTTCGGTTGTTCGGAGCACAGACCGATGACGGTCAGACAACAAAGAATATTCTTGACATCTTCCACACCACATGTCAGCATTTTGGCTGGACCTTTCAAGTTGCAAAAAGTGTCGCCGTCCACCGCCTACTGCGTCCTCGTAATGGCCAAGGCGTAGCAGGGGTTGTACATCTTGCCACCCGCAAAATTTGTTTCCTTTTGTTTTATGCACCTCATACGTGGAATGATATGGCGAAGGGGCCAGCAGGAAAAAGGGAGAGCTTGCGCGCGGACCAAGATCACTATTGTAGAGGTGGACGAGAGGGCAAGAGCCATGCCATCTGTCCCCTAGCATTGTTAGTAAAGACACTCTGACGGACCGCTGTTTATTGTGGAACAGGCCTCAAAGTGCGATGCCCTCGCGCATCAACGCGCATACACATGCTCGACCAGTCTAGGAACAGCCGCTTGATGGTATTATAACATATGCTACAGTCATTACAATATCTATTGTCACAGAATCAGAGCTCCAGCCACGGCGGCTACCGCTCCGTAGACAAGCCAACCGCCGACGCTCGTGCGACATGGGGCTGCGCTGCCGATGCGCTCGACGAGCTTATTGCCGCGCTCGGCAATGCTCTCCTGAAAGACGGTGGCGTTGTTGGCAGCCCAGTCGGCGCCATCGTTGCCTGGGACTGCATCGCTGCCGGTGAACGCGATAAAGAGGACGTCGTTGTCGTCATGGCCGTTATCGCCGTTCATGCTGTTGCCAAAGCATAGCGTCGCCAAGGAGATGGAAGCCTCACCCACCATGGCCTCGTCGCCGTCGTCGCCGTTCGTGTCGCCCCAGATGCCGTAGTACTGCGTTCGTCAGCGATAGCCGCTCGATACATCAATCGTCCGAGACTGGTGGTGGCGAAATAAATGAGAAGAGAGGGGGAAACATACGAGCTGGTCGTTGCAGACAACGGCCATGATGCTCAGCGGCTCAATGCCATGAGCGCTGGGGTCAAAGGTCGGCCAACCCTTCTTGTTCTCCTCGCTTTCGTTGCCAAAGACGACGTAAGGGTGGACGTTGGCGTCGAGGTCGGTTTGGTTGGCGCCGTAACTTTGAAGATCCTCCTGGAAGCTCGTCTGCGACTGCGTATCGCCGGACGACCCACAGCGACCGTCATCAGCGGGCCCGCCCTGGATTCCGTCACAGTCAATGTCCAAATTGACAAGCTCGCCGTTGCGGCCCTGAAGGTACACGATATTGTACTTTTCTAGATAGTCGCCGCAGTAATCAAAGTCGCCGCTGTCGCCGTCCGAGCTGTGGAATCCGGTGGCGAGGGCATTTTTGCATTGTTTCTGGTCGCGAATGTGATTGTAGAAAGACCTGAGGTTGTCGGGGATGTCGCGGGCGATGGCCGTGGACAAAGCCGCTGTCGCGACCAGAGTTTTGGCGAGGATCATTTGACCACGAGAGGTGTTCGGAATGAACGAAAGACTGGGTTGCTTGGCAGATGAAAGGTGCAATGGTCAGAGAAACGGACGAATGAAAGGAACGACAAAGTAGGACAAGATGATCGCTTGCTCAGGAACAGGATGCGAACGTCAGTGCGACGAGGCCAATGGCGATGTTCAGGAATCGAGAGCACAAGCAACAGACGGAAGGGCATTGTTTTAAGTACGAAGGGCAGAGGCTCGGTTGGTACCGAGTACGCACAGCTAATACCGATCGGGCGCTTCGAGTAGGGGTGACCTGTGGCAGTCCCGTCTCCTCATCCAGGGGCTCGAGACTCTTGAGTGGTCGCTTATTGTCCGTGATTCGCGCTGTGACAGCAAATACGGGTGGGCGCGGCCAGGCCCGGCGCTAGGGTCTAGGGGAGAAGCAATGGCAATCTCGAAGCGTATTGGGGGGCCGGATGATCACTGATGACGCCCCAGTCAGACAGGGGGGCTGTTAAGGATGCTGGCACCACCACGTTCAGTCAGCTTCTTGATGGAAAGGAAGTATTGAAAATAATGCGGAGTGAATGTGAATCTCTTCCATCGATGGTTCACCATAAATCGATACTTGATCTGCCTATTTTAAGATAAGTGGCTTGAGAAACTCTAGACTCACTCCAGTCGTATCATCTACTTTATCTTTTTGCCCTGGTCTCGGGAAAGCCCTTCTGTTGACTGCGGGGACCGTCATCAATGGGGGGACCTAGGAACCTTGCCTATCTGGATGGGTACTGTAGATGTGTGGTTGTAATTAAAGAGCACGTCTTGAAGTATGGTTTGAAGATCCTTCCCATATGATCTTTCCGGAATTTCGTTTTCTCTGGGGTAACACGCTGCTGGCCTAAGGTAGGGCGCGCTACAAGCGATCGACGAAACCTTGAGATTGCCGGAACTCTCTTCATCCTCAATTCCTACGTTAAGCATTACTAGAGCCCACTGGCTTTGACTTTCGACGCAACACTGCCGATGCAACGGAGATCCACTCTCTAAAGCACAACCTCATTTCGACAACGCGACGATCCCTTGACCATACGCCCGCTCGTCACAACGATGATGTGGTCCAGCTTTCTGAATCTCGCTTGAATTTTTGTCACACACCTACCGGCCAGGACTCGATGCATCTTGATGTGGCTGTTCTTGACCGTGTCGAATATTCTCTACCAATACAATATACATTTGACGCGCGGCCCGTGACTGGGCACTACATAGGTAAGAATCTGCGGGAATCGTATCACAACTGCGGTAGGCAGAAACACGTGCTCAGAAGTTTACACTGCTCGTGCCTGAGCATGTTTGTCGGAAACTGTAGGCAAACGGAATAGACTGGTTTGAAATAATGAGGCACACTCGCCAGGCGATAGGTCCGCAGCTCTGGCTGTGCATTGTGCTCATCAGTGAAGCCTGAATGTCCCACTGCTTGCTTGAACAGCATCTAAGCAGCGTGATACCGTGGACGCAGCACCTAGCTTGTAAACTTGGCCACGATGGGAGTACTTCGCTTGTGAAAGGGGGGTAGAAGAAGGGCGCCAACTTACGCTGGAGGTGTCGACGTCGCCGCATTGCTGCCGCGGGGCTACAAAATCCGGGACGCCGATCCATCGCGTGAGTGATTCCCATGAAAGCAAGTGCCAGACCATAATGTGAATGGGATGTGGATTCCTGTTCGGCAGGTAGTTCATAAGGGAACGTGGAAACGACCATTTTGCTGCATTCGTGAGTGATACACACAAACCTGCACGAATGGGTACTTGCGGCAGGGCTCGATCACTAAGGGGCCACCTATTGGTGATGAGAAAGTTTGCGAGTACAGCCAAATCTTGGTTAGGTTGTTGAATATAACGGTCATCTGTAATTTGCCCTGTATCCTCCGTGATCTGCTTGGTCGACAGCTTACTTGAACCTCCAATGTCCCCACGTACTTTTCTAGGCCTCGTTTTTTCTGCACTCCTTAAGCTGCTGTATAGAACCCAATTTTCATGTCTTCCGAAGCGCAGTGCCTCAATATTGATCTGGCAACATGATCGAGCAGTCTGAAATGACAGAGTTTTCCGTTCCACTCCCTTCAAACGAGCTTACGACTGCGCATATGATGATCGCCCAATGGCCGCCTGTGAATCAGACCATGTAACATATGCCTGGTGCTAATTACTAGGTCATGCTTGAGGCTTCAAAGATCGAAGTTCGTCGATCTTTCGATGAATGACAATATATGAAGACTTAAATCGTTGCCTACATATGGCAGCGCTGGCTCCAAGCTTTCAAGAACCAAGCGAAGACCAGTCGACTACATCCGCGACCGCCCGGCCGATTGTTTATGGACAACCTCTCATGTACTCTGAAGTATCATTTACCTTGGCCTCAGCCCACTCACCTCCCCGGAGATTTTAACACCCGGAGGAAGTCGACCGTACTCAATTAGCGCAAGACTGTGACGGAAAGGCTTGTAGGCACAGTTTTCAGGGGGCCAGCCCTGCGACTGGCATGGGTTGCGGCGCATCATGGGGAGATCATCACTCCAGGATAAGGATGAAGTCGCCACTGAAAACCTCCTGCAGCGACCGGCAGTTCGAGTTATCTGCGGCGGTGACTGCGGCAGATGAGGCTGTGTCATGTCAACATTCATCTTCCCTCTAATGCTTGGGATTTTCGGAGCCGGTATCGATCTCAAGTACGTCTAAATTGCCTGTAGAGAGGGGTAAACCAAACAATAGGCGGGCCCAACCGATATATCGAAGTACCTAGGGATGGTTTACCTGCGTGTCCATTGAATATGGGAGCGTTATCTACCCTAGCCTGGTGGCACCCCTCAGAATGTTGAAAAGACGTAGTTAGACAAAAGACTTGAAAGTGGCTGAATCAATCTTCTTCAAGGTTGGTTACACTGGTCGGAAAAGGCTGGGCGAACACAAATAGGTTTCATTAGCTTCTAGAGCGATACTATCGTGCACGTCATGTTTCTAGCAATGCAAGTATTCAACATTTGACTATAAACCAAGTTATACAAATGGTTGACAAACATCATCGCTCAATGTTGACACATCCTGGTAGCAACAGTCTGCTTCGGTGCCAGGTAGCCTTTTAGTCATGGCGTCCACCCTGCCAATTGTTTCCTGGCCTGTTGTGGTGCTTCCAGGGCTTGTCGCCCCTCCACGGCTTGTTGCCATCCCAGGGCTTGTTGCCGTCCCAAATCTTCCCCGGCTTGTGCGGCTTCTCGGGCTTTCTGGGCTTGCCTGTCTGATCCGAAGCACAAGGGCTGGGGGGATCAACAACTGAGGGCTGCGGGTAGATAGACTCCTCGATTGCACTGGAGTGCTCCGGGATAGGGGGAATGGGCCCGCCAGTGGGTCCGGCAGTAGGGCCAGCGATCTCTGAGCTTGTGACGGTCAGAGTAGCAAATGTGGTGGTCGTCTCGCAGTCCGGGGGGCTGTGGCCCTTGGGTGGTGTCCAAAAGCTAGCTTGGACGGTGGACGCAGCGAGGATAGAAAGCAGGAGTGCTGATTTGTAGTTGCCCATTGTGAAGATAACAGTGATTGTGTCCCTTCGCGCAGGCTGCTTGAGTCGGCTTGCAAGACACTGGTGAGAGGAATACGAATTGATTTGAAGTAATGGGGCAGAAGTAAAATAGTCACTTTGGTTTTGTTTCTGAGGCGCAGTCGATGAGTACACCATCCATCAATCGAGAAGCGAAGCCATCATTATATACGAGCCTCGATCCTGAAGGCTGCTTCAATCACTTTCTTAGCCCTGACTTTTGCAACTAGTTAGCAGGTTACGTGAAGGGGACATGTGTGAGAAACTGAATTAACGATTGGCCATCTCCACCCATCACGTCAGGTCTGGTCGATAGGTTTTGTCGATCCCCCCGCCGCCGGTGCCCTGAGCCATTGATGCATCAGACGCTGTGATCTTAGAATAGCATAAAATCACCAGACATAGGAGAATACTCAGATCGCACCTGGAACAGCCAATCCACACGATTTCTTGCATCAGCTCTATTAGATAGCTTCAGGGGTTCGACGCCACACCCGCTGAGAAGGTTGCGCCTGGACCCGACAGCACGATGACGCTTATAGGCAGAGGTGAGTATGTGGCGTTGATGAGGATGAATCCCCATGTTTTATGACGCTCATCATTAATTCAAGTACTACGTAGGATCAATCCTCCCGTTGAGGGAGGCAATGTTCTTTTTTAATGGTTGTGTAGGATTCTGAGTGGGGTGCTTTTCTCAGCCTGCTGCGATGATCCTCGATGGTCACTAAGGAACTTTTGTGCTCGTGCAGCTTCGACAGTGCTCAGGCCCGTCCCGCTTGCTGAATGGTACCTCGGCAATCAACGATCTGCCTTCAAATGGCTTCGACCATCGCCTATGACTACCATATCACATGTATTCGAGGCTTACAGTATTGTAAGCTGACACTCATATCGTGGCTTGTTCACCTATCGTCTCAGGATGCTCTGAGCTCAAGCATGTTGCTGAGGATGCGACTCTCGGGATTCCTACCCCATTGAGTCGGAGTGCGAGCAGCGGCAGCACCCTCTCCCTCAGGTGAACCACCAATCATCGTGTATGATCCAGTGGCAACTTTTGTTCAGATATGAAGTCAAATTTGCAATGCGATTCAATGATTCGCTGCGAAGATCTGATTCTTAGTCGTTCCAATTGATGCATTGTGTCGGCTTCCATTGATGTAGGATGCGCAACATGACGCGAAAGGTGGGGGCGGCATCGGCCGCCTTGGCGCCCGAAACGCCATTAATAGAACTGCCTTCTTCGGTAATCTTGTCAACTGGCATTGGCTGGGTGGTAAGGGCGTGGTGGGTGAGCTTACGAAAGTGTCTGATACAGATATTATTGTCGACCTGGTCGACCCTTGGGTTGAGATAAAGAAGAATGCTTGTCATTCTAGATCCGAGGGACTAAGAGCGATCTATCCATCGTTGGCCTGTACTTTTGAGAACGTTGATTTCTGCCGAAAACAGATGGCATCCTCGCATCGAGGTGCAGCCTCAGTACTTGCTGTGGGATGCACGAAGACAGCATTGAGGTTTTTCCTATAGGATTTCGGGAGCCTATTTGCAATATCGTCACTTCTGCGTTTGTGAATGATTTGTGGCTATAGGTCTAGACGATGCTGTGGCCAATGCAGCGGCGTATCCCTATCTCCCAAGACGGATTTTATCAAGACAGCACACTCCTCGATGACAGACCATTGGCTTGATAGTTCAATCTGAGCAGTAGCACCGACAACATAATCTCCCAAATCGACCGGAATTGCCATGTCCACACTTGAATTCTGGAGTTTGCCTAGCTGCAACACACGGTCGTCTCATCGATGCCTGTTGCTTTCTCTGCAGCCCCGCCGCCGCCACCAACCTGCACTTTGATAACTAGCCAGTCACAGAGAAACTTGCCTAAGCCTGCTCCGATGATGATGGAGATGATGATATATCCATTGAAGTACATGGCGAGAAGCATGACAATGTACGCAACACCAAAGGTCACAGCGTGGATTACGGCTCTCGCGACCTGCTGTAGTGGAGATGCTCTGAATGTGAGCATGCGCGGCGTCATGATGGCGACTGAGTCTTGTGGAGCACAGCAGCCGCTGCTCTCTCTTGGGCCTTTGTGATCGGTTGCCAAATACGCAGCGTGACGTTGTACCTGATGGATAATCATCCCGTCGTATTCTTTGCCCAGTCGCCGAAGGCATTCTAGTACCACGACGAGAAGGGCGACACCGATACAAGATGCGGCCATCATTCCATTGTTCTCGATCTGCCAGGATTCGGCGAGGAAACCTGTGGCGAAAACTGTCAGAGAATGGAGTTGGCAGCCGTAGGATGCGAAGGGCGTTCACTTACAAGCGTCAACAATGTCCCAGTTCCATAGCATCTAAAATCCTCATGTCAATACGCCAGTGTTCGAATGTGGGAGCAGTGACAGGCAGAAGGCAATACCGAGACCTTACAAGCCGAGCCTTCCGCGGTGCCGTGATTCATGATGGACGGTGTTTATGGCGTTAATCTTGTGGCCTAGAAGATTTGACATCTGCGATCGAGACTTAAATTCTAGGACCGTAGTCGAATACAAGATGAAGGCTTAAGGTCGCGGGAGAAAAAGTCGAGATTCCACAAAGAAGTTTACCCTCTCTTGGAAGAGCTGATGAACGGCCTGGCCTATATCAAGCCACTCACCTTCCGTCGGCAGATTTCCCACTTGCCGACCCGGCATCGTAACAGTGGCGTTACCAAGCATAAAAACCTTCTCAACACTAGTTATTCGGAGCGCAAAACAAGCTTGACGGGCAGGCAATGGAACACTGAATGGTAGACGAAGGAAAAGTTATCGCTGAATACCAAGCCGTGGGGCCAGCGCGCGCCAATGGAAACTTGCTCAATAGAGCTCATTTTGGACCCGCGGCCAGGGATGACGGATGATCGGCGCTCAACAACGTGGATATCTTTCAATCACAGTTCACGGCATTGGTTCGTTTGACGATGGCACATAGCACACATGGCATGTTCCGGATGTCGGGCCCGCCGAATGCTTGGGATTCGGGTTCCAAACGCGCCACTGACCCCGTCGAGCGGTACTTTGAAGATGAAAGTTGGACCGTTTCCCTTGTCAATATGGCAAGAAGGGGCTGGGAAACTTGCTCTTGACTCGAGTCATGTTACACCTTGAGCAAGCCATGTATCATTTTGCCTCGATCTCGGCGATCCACCAACTTGCTCACCAAGTCCACCCCCGGCGAAACCGCCCATAGAGTAGGGTACACAGACTGCAGCATGAAAGGCTCTTCAGTTTTTAATAGCGTACTTGAACCGGCCATGTAGGCCTGGGCCTGTGGCGAGGATATTCGACTGTCTCTTTGTGCATATATGCAGCCGAACCTTGTCGTAAGTCGGCCGGACTGACGTTTACTTCAACCATTGACGCCATCTCCTATGCGTCTTAAGGTAGCAGAGTCTCCCGACTGCACCATTTGTTCCTGCTTTTGCTTTCGGACAGAACAGATCGATAACGAAAGGCCGTCATCAGAGACAACAAGGAATCATGGAGTCCTCATCACAGCTGGTGGCTCGCCAAGGCTACCAGTCTCAGAACATTAGCGAAGGATCTCTGGTCAACTATTGGGGCTACGCGGTTCGGGTTTTGCCCTGCGCAAACGATCCTGGAACATGCGAGTACTTTGAAGTTGTCTATGGCTCTCACGCCGTCGGTATGAAGTACACGGGGGTGCTTTGGGCTACGTTGGGCGGCATTCTCCTTATTCTCGCTGTCGGTCGCCATTTCTGGGCGTCACCCAAAGCCGCCGAAAGTATGCCAGGCGTTGCCGACGACGAGAAGATCAAAACCCCTCCGTCCTCCTTCATCCGGTTGGCAAGGTCTATATCTGCGATGCGGCGCCGGCATCTTCTTCCTGATTCAATCAGGTTCTTATTTGGGAGGACCACTCGCCTGCAGGTGCTTGTCCTTGTTGTTCTGACCGGCTATCTCGCACTTTTCAGCTTCATGGGAATTCACTACCAGACATGGAGAACGCCGGTCAAGGCTCATCCGGGGCTGTTCCAGACGCGATCCAGCGTTGGTGCATGGTCTGATCGAGTCGGCACTCTCGCGTACGCCTTGACACCATTTTCAATTTTACTATCAAGTCGCGAGTCGATTCTCTCGATTCTCACAGGAATTCCCTATCAGAGCTTCAACTTTCTTCACAGGTGGCTCGGATATATCATTTTCGCGCAGTCTCTAGCGCACACCATCGGCTGGACCGTCATTGAGGCGGTCTTGTACCAACCTCAGCCTGCTGTCGCTAACAAATGGATCAAGCAGCTATATATGATCTGGGGCTGTGTCGCCATGATCCTCATTTTCATCATGGTTGCTCTGAGTACTCCGTGGGGTATCCGCCTCACAGGCTACGAGTTCTTCCGAAAGTCGCACTACGTGCTTGCCATGGTGTATATAGGTGCCTGCTGGGGCCATTGGCAACCTTTGAAGGTCTTCAGTATGTTTTGCGGCTGCACAGGCCTTGTTTCAAGGATGATTGCTGACAACATTACCTGCAGTGGTACCCGGCCTCGCCATCTGGCTCTTCGACCGTTTTGCCCGCCTCGCTCGGTCTGCCCTCGTCCACTACCAGTACCTCCCCAACGGAACTATGGGCTTCAAAGCCGCCCAAGCTGCGCTCTCCGTCTTCCCTGACGAAGAGAACGGCGACATTGTGCGCCTTGATTTCAGGCACTCGCAAAGTCCGTGGCAGCCGGGTCAGCACTTCTACATCTGTTTCTCCGAATGCTCCATCTGGCAGTCTCACCCCTTCACGCCCCTCAGCCTCGCTGTAGACCGAAACGGCACCGTCGAACACGCTTACATATTCCGCGCCAAGAAGGGCGAGACCAAGAAGATTGCCAGCCTCGCTGCCCGGAAGCTTGCCGTGCAGGATGGGTCTGCCAAGACGACGCCTGTGATCCTTTCTGGCGCGTACGGCGAGTCCCTCACCGAGAACCTAACGCCCGAAGTCAACGTCCTATGCGTTGCTGGCGGGACGGGCATCTCCTATGTGCTTCCCGTTCTGTTGCACCTCGCCCAACAACCAGGCATTCCTGACAGAAAGATTGAGCTTGTCTGGGCGGTTCGCCGCCGCCAAGACGTGCAGTGGGTGCGGCCTGAATTAGAAGTCCTTCTCGCGGCGGCGAAGTCGCATGGTATCCAGATCCACGTCCGCGTGACGAGGCAAGGAGAGGCAGATCTGGGGTCTGAAGGCTTCAGCCCAAAAGCAGAGAAGCAGGTGGCTGATGCGACCTCATCGTCATCTTCGTCGTCTTCGCGAAACAGCGCTTCGCTCGATCTGCAAATGACTGGAACTCACCCTGATTTGGATACCATTGTGCCAGCCTTTGTGGAGGGAACAATTCGCGGGCGGACGATTGTCTTTGCCAGTGGGCCTGGTTCCATGATCTCTCAGTTGCGAACTGTGGTGGCGTCCTGCAACTCGGGAACCAAGGTCTGGAGGGGAGATGCGAGGTTTGACGTTGCTCTTGAGTGCGATGATAGATTGGAGTGGTAGTCAGTTTACTTAGAGAAAAGTCACCATTTCGCGTTGAACACAAGACACTGGGACAGGATCTTCTGCTCTGTCAGCAATGCCAGCAGGACCCCCCTGTTGTCCAACGTTGCCGTGGCGCACGATCTAGTATATTTTGGGCTGCCTGCATCGCCGTCCAGGCTCGAAGAATACCGCAGCTGAACAGCTCTCCCAGGGGTCTGAATGCTTAGCCTGACGCTCCTCACCCTTGATTCGCCGTCATGGCGAATGGCTTGAAGATGGCTAGGCATCACCCTGCACCTCCATGCAGCCACCAGAGGCTCGGCCATCACAGTATGCCTCACGTAGGCTGTCAGCGGGGGAACAGGCATCCGTACTACCAGAGCGCAATCATCTCTGGCGGCAATGTCTGCTGATTCCAGCCCAGTGGGGATGCGTGCCCCTCATTGACACTGCATACTTATTCCGACAAGGCGCCAGGGGTGTTTCGAAAATCGCCTGGCGGAACGACTCGTCTTTTGGAATCTACTTGCCCTCACGATCACCTCACATTGACGAGCCAGCATATTGCCGAGGGGCGTTATTCGATGGATCACAACTCTGCGCCTTCGGGTCATCAATACCCTCCGCCCCCTCCCAGTCCTTACCGCCAGGTTGACCATCAGGGAGCAGGACAATCACCGCTTCATGGCCTGCACGATGCTTCACTCGGTAGGGCCAATTCCGTTCCATCGTCAATTCACCAACCCATGGTTTCCCAGGACAGCTTTGGACGAGGGCTGTCTCCTGCGGCTCCTCAACAATCCCACTCGTATTTCCCACCCCCGCCGGCTTCGTACTCGGCCCCTCCAGGATCAACATCGCTGCCAGTGCCCGATCACGCGCCAGCAGCTCTGAGTGACACGCCTAGTCATCATGAATACGCTCAGCCTGCTCAAACATGGCGGCCATCGGCCCAATGGCAATCTCCTACTCATCAACAATATCAACAGGCCGACCACGGATCATACGGACAGCATGGGTATAGCCAACCCCCACAGCAACAGCAGCAACAACAGCCGCCACAGCGACCGCCAAATCAACAGCGAATGTCCCTGTCCTCGTTTTCTGGGAAGAAAACAACAGCATGGCTGAAGAAGAACGTTTCACCCCACCTGACAGAAGTCGCAAAGAGCTCGCTAGTCAAGGGAAGCATCAAGGAGCTGGAAAATGTGTACACAGCGGCCAAGGGCATGAGTGCGAGATACTCGAGCCCTCCCTCATCGAACTATAACATATCGACGATTAACCCCCCCAATGCGGCCAACCAAGCCCCTCAGCCGTGGAGCCCTGCCCATGTTGGGGATGCCATGCAGCAACAGCAGCAGCCGCAACATTATAGTGCTTCAACTGTTCCCCTAAATGTCCAACATCAGTCGACTGCGGCTACGTATAGCCCTGCAGCCCCTCAGAGCATAGCCCAAGCCAGTCATCACCAGCAGCCGGCGCTGACACCATTTAGCCCACTGTCTGAGCAACAGCCTTCACCAGCAGTATATACCTTGACACTTCAGCATCATTCGGTGCCCGCCACTCACCCGTCCACGCACGGCTCTGCCACTCAACAACACTATGAAATCCCATTTATCCCGTCGCCAGGTCAACATCACACGTCAATCCCTACATACACTTCACCAAGCCCAAAATTATCAGTCTCGCCGTTAAGCGGTTCACCTGCTCAGCGGTACCAGACCACCCCCTCCAGCCCGCCGATCCAGCATCAATCGGAATCGACTGTGACAGTGTCTCCATCCCACAATCCAGCCACCAGCAGTCCATCAGCTTCAAGTCCCCCAGCTCCAATCGCCCGAAAGCCCGTCGGTGCCGTTCAACGCCAGGACTCTGACCGACGGCCTATCTCCCAGGTAACCTCTCCTGTCACACCGATCCTTCCAGCCGAGGCTGCGGACCGATCTCAAGGTTACATTCTCTCCATCGACCACGAGAGAAAGAAGGCGATACGTTTCATTCCCAGCCCTGACGGCAACGATCGGTATGTTGTCGAAGATCTCCCTGGCTTTGTGCCAAGTGAGGCCGCTGCGGAATTGCCGCCTACTCCTCATGTTCCAGGATACAAGCCACTGCAAGTCGACGCTTCCGCAATTAACCAAGAGCCTGTCGAGCTTTATGCGCCGCCGTCGGTCCCCATGCCAGCGCCAATCTTGCCAAAAGAACCAGCAGCAACATTTGCATCGGCCACGCATCCAGTAGCAGTGTTATCTCCAGCTACCGCTACCGTACCAGCACCACCGCCAGCAGTTCAAGACTCATCACCTACCGTAGTTTCGATACCAGCCCCGGCGTCATATCAAGCGTCGGTACCTCTGCCTATCACAGCGCCAATCCCAAAGCCAGCTTTTGCATTACCATCCCTGCCGCAGGCCTACGACGCTCCAGCCCCGAGTATCGCCCATCGAGAGCCACTTTGGGCTCCTCAGTTATCAACCACCCAACCTTACTCCCTCCCAGTCTCAAACCCCAGCGACAGTAGCCTGATCCCTCAACCGCTGTTTGGTGCAGCATATTCCCACGGGGCCGTGAGACTGTCGGAGCCTCTGGCGCCGGCTCCTCCGCCGATTCCGGAGAAGAAAGGTTTCATGTCGAAGCTCATTTCAGCTGTGTCCCAAATCCAGCTGGCGGACCAACCTGCGTCTATAACGTCCCAAGGATATAGCATGGAGATTGAGGACCCTACGTATGAGCCCCTCGCATTTGCGACGCCGGTCACCGCAACGAACACCCCAAGCTCACCTCTTCGCGTCTGCCCCCAGACTCGTGTTGTCAACTACCAAACAACCTGGCATCATCTCAGAGGCTGTGCCGATTTCGGCATCTGCAGCTGGTGCTTCAACAAATATATTGGTTCTTCACAGTTAACCCACGAATTCGACAGTGAAGTTAAGTCCGGGTTGACTTGCCGCTTCAACGTCCCCCGGATTACCAAGAGCCTCTGGCCGGATGCTAAGCAGACAGCAAATTTGGGATTATTGCGGGATTACATGCTCCGCCACGCCTCTGTTCCTGCCTGTACTAAGGCTGCAGGGGCTGTCGGCACGGATGGGGTCAAATGGTTTGGTCTGGCCGCTGGCGAGCTCGGCATGGTGGCCTGCGAGGCCTGTCATGAAGACATCGTTCTTAGCACGACGTTTGCCGGCCGCTTCTGTCCTCTGAAGCAAGTCCAGGGCGCGTCGGAGCGATGGACCTGCACCATCAGCTACTCCTACGTCAGCCGCGCTTTACAGATATTATCGAGGCGAAGAGACCAAGACACCGCTTGGGTGGAATTCGTCGAAGCAGCGAGGAAGCGCATGGCACTACCGACTTGCGAGGGTAAAGAAATCAACGCTATACAGTGTAACTGGTATCGCCCAAGGCAATCAGTAGCAAACCTCGACTTTTGCGAGACATGCTACCTAGATCAGCTCGCCATGACACCCTACGCCGACGACTTTGCGGACACGGCAGAAGGCGTTGAAGAAAAGCTCTGCATGCGCGCCTGTGACCTGCAACTCATCAACCTCGGCGAATGTGTCTACCTGGCAAGAACCAAGGGCCTCCGTGTTCAGGTTATCCTCCAGGCAGCTGCCAAGATTGCTTCGAGCCCGCGCTGCTTCAAGGGCATGGGAATCATCAATGGCAAGTTTTATAACTTCAAGAGCGGCAGCGCGGCAAATTTTGGCGCGTGTGAGGCATGCCATGCAGGTATCCTCGTGCAGCACGGCGTCGAGGCCTTTTTTGGGTCCGAGCCACAGCTTGTCGCCGGTACAGCGTGGTGTGCTTTCAACCCCAGCGTAGCACGCTTCAATGGCCTCGTCGATCATTGGCAGCAAGCCTCGGAGACAGGCTACTGGGGTGCCTACGAGACGTGGGTGAAGAAGTACGCCGCGCTGCCGGTCTGTCCGAACTTCAATTTGGCGGCGAAAAGCAAGTGGTATGGCTGGCAGGACTGCACCATATGCCCAGAATGCTACGAAACAGCTGTCGAAGGAACCTCTCTGGCTACCAGCATGGAGCTGCACGACGTTGTCATCGAGGGGGAGACGCTTTGTTGCATGTACTCAGATCGCATGAGGGGCAAGTACAAAGAAGCCTGCGAGGCGGGAGACGCGACGGAGCTGCGTGCATTTTGCCGAAAGCGCTGGGAGACTTATCAGCAGACCGTGCCGAGGTTCAAGATGATCTATGAAATGCAAAGCATGCAGTCAGCAATGGCCATGTCGAACATGATGCTCAGTATGTCATACCAACATGCGAATGCCATGAGCGACTGGGTCACTCCCTCTCGTTATGAGTACGGAAACAGCAGTGTGGGATACCATTCGTCGCAGTATGGGGTCGACAGCGCAGAGGCGTGGAACAAAGGTCAGGAAGGGTTTGCGCAGGCGAGGGGAGGCGTTGCCGAAGCAAGCTATCTCAAGGACGTATGGCAGGCTGTGGAGTAGTTTCGTGCTGTCTGTAGTGAAGGTTAAAGTGGAAAGCGTACGCAAGTTTATGAGCCTGAGGAAGCCCGACTATTTGTTCCTTTGCAGGCTAACTCAATAATCATTTACAATCAAAGCTGATCACACTGGTACATATGCATTTTACGATGTAATATAAATGTCATTAATTGTTGCCGTACTGATATCCCTCGGGTAGTCTACTTTGGTAGTGTACGGGTTGTAGACTTGGCCAGTAGCTTCGTTTTCAACCAACAGCTCCCTGTTCTCCTTGCGCAAGAGCCACTCCAGAATGTTCGCCAAGACGATTGTGCAAGCCCCGAAGCTCATCGTCAAAATCATGGCCATCGTATACCTAGGTACGCGCGGATCGATGAAGAAATAAGGCGAGATGATGTTACCGATGGGGCCATGATGTTCACAATAGCATCAGCAGCAGCGCGCTTTTCCGGCGTCAGCGAAAGCGTTGAGACAGTCCATGTATAAAACAAGCCATTCGCAGAGAAAAGGCCGGTAGTGTACAGTAATAACGCGTCGTAGCGAGCAGGAGCGTTGATACTCGAAACAGACATGACGAATCCAACAATGGCCATAGCGAGGTTGGCGCTGATATGGTAGTCTCGCTTCCAATGACGGTCGGAGCTGAAAGCTACGACGAAAGACATAATAGAACCGACGATACAAGGGGTTGCCGCCATAAGTAGAGAATCTGCGCGTGAGCTGATGCCAAAACCCGTGACGATGATGAGGAAGAAATTATTAAAGCCGTAGCTCGAGATCATGCAAATATTGGTGACGACCTGAAAATATCTTCAGCTACAAACTCATGCAAGGGAAATAAGAAGAAGCAGGGACGACTCACGAAGACCCAAGTCCTGTAGTCAGGGACGGCAAGTTTCAGGCCATTCCGAACGGTCTGCTTCTCCTCAGCAGTCGATACTCGGTCGGTAGCCATGCAGACTGCCGCAAGATGACGGAGTCCTTCAAATATGCTCCACTTGGCAGCGGAGCCTGTCTTGGAGGAGGGTAGTCTGGCAACATGAAAAAGGCGAGCAACCCAAGAGCGTTAACGATGGCGCCTGCCAGCCGTGTAGACCAGAGAAAACGCCAGTAGCGATGAGACCAAAAGCGGCTTGGGCAAGGACCAATCCAGAATATAGAATGGCCGTACGCAGGACAAATTCAGAACAGGTATAACAGCTGGACCTGAGGTAGACAACCTAAATATTTTCAGTTTGGATACCTTTCGAAATTCGTGCTTGGGACTATTGTGCTTCCATTAGGGAAGAGAGGAGCTTCGGAGATGCCCTGTACGAACCTAACGGTAATAAGCGAGCTAAAGCTTTTGGTCGTAGCTGTTGTAGCAGAGACTCCGGACCAAACCAGTGCGCAGCACGGTAGGTAGACGCATGGGTAGACCCTAGTGATCAACATCTTTGATGGCAGTCGTGCAACCATGTAACTGGAAAACATCAGTCAGCAGCGCAGTCCGTATTGTAAGGCAAAAAAACTTGCCCTGCTTTTAGGACAGCTACGGCAGTATTGTAGTGACTGCCGTTGATTCCGAGATCCTCTTCGAAGGTATTCAACCTGGCCTGTCTAAGATTCAAATCGGTCCCGTAAGCTCGCACGAGGGCCTGAGGGCCTTGAGACTCCTCACCCCTCACGCAATGGACCACGAGCTTCGATGACCGCTGTGATCATCTACTGCATTATATATCATCTATTCAAATGCAATTAGCCCCTGGTTCTCCGCCCTACTGCTTGTTTTTCTTTTCCACTTGCCCACGAGAACAGCAAGAAGACCGTCGGTCATTCGACAACTGTGAAATCCGGCTCGCTTGTGAACATCCTTGGTCCTATTACAATCAAGATAATGTATCACTGGCATGTCACTCACTCGCCGGGGCTGTCGCCGTCCTTGCCGCATTGGCGCAGCTAGGTGGTTTTGTTTCAAGACTTGAGGCCCCTTTGGTTTTGCTTATAGCCAAGGATGCTAAGACACGAAAAGCTTCGTGTCAGGATGATTGTCTTCTTTCGCAAGCGCACTGCCCCTTGTTCCTCCGGCAGGCTGGTGCGTTGAATTGATAGATGGCAACCAATCTTTGGAGAGACCGAGATACACGTCAGCCACACCACTAGAGGTGATCTGACACCAGCGGTTGAAGTCGGAGCTGTGGAAAGGCATATGGATCACTGGCAACTGATAAACACCTGCATCTATACTTGTAACTGATGCACAGATACGAAGGTCCGGAGTTGCATGTCTGGTCATTCAGACCCAACTCGTGCTAATTAATATGTTGGTACCGTCGAGTGCGTAGTTTGATAGAAAGTGATCGTTTGGAAGAAGTAAGTAACATCGCATCCTTCAAAATACCTGCCCAACCCGTGGAGGACGACCCACCACCAATCGCTGGCGTCAAACTTTCGTCACTCAAGAAAAAGGCATCATCGCTTCCCTGCCAGAAAGTGAACTGGGAGGAAAATCACTCACTCAAGCCCAGCCTCAGTTACATCGCGGCTTGAGACCATCTCGTACGCAAACATTGTCTCAACATGACTCTAGATGCCACCCCCAAACCCTGTGCATCCTGCACCGCCGCCAAACCAGCCAGACTACAATCAAAAGCAAACCAGCGTCAGCATTCAACCCTCAATCGCGGGCAATACATTCGACGGGCAGACAACCGGAAGAGAGAACTTACCCCGACACATCCCGCGGAGCACATGCCCAGCGTCTCGCTCCCGCACCCGCTGTGACCGCCGCACGTCCCCGACGCGCAGCTCCCCACTGACCCGGGCCCAGTGTATACTTCTCCTGGCGGCGTCGCGTACATGGCTGCCGTCGTCGTCGCAGCGGCAATACTGACCCAGGGACCCGCAAGCGGCACCCTCACCCCCCACTTCAGAGCCGTGTCCTCACGTTGCCCCATGCGTGGCTCTCCTGTGGGGAGAGGTTTTGTGGCCTTCTTGCGGGCCTTGACCTCATACTCATCGATGCCGTTGCGGAAGAGCATGCGCTGCATGCGCGTCGTGGCACTGCGGGACTTGGTCTCGACAGTGTGGACGGCATTGTGGGTGGAGATGTGCGCTGACGGAGTGCTCGGCGGCAAGGGGTGCTTTGAGGAGTTGCCAGATGCGTGGTACGACTCCAAAACTAACGAATCGTGTCAGAAGATATGGTAGAAAGCGCCAGGAACTAGCCTCGTGATGAGACCGAAGACCGGATATCTGATGCTTACACTTCTCTTCCTTCGAACTAGCAAACATCTTGGTAATTCTTGGGATGGATTGCATGCGCACGGCTAGAGCTTGTCAGGCTTTCCATCTCTACAACCTTGAACAGAAAACGGAAAGGGTAGACGAACTCTCGCAATACCAGCAACGGCACTCCGCGTACACCTCATTGTACTTCTTCTCGTACGTTTTGGACGTCCACTCAAAAGATACACCGAGCTTCTCTTCATCAACCTTGTCGTTATGGTCCACAAAGTTTCGAGTCATCGATACTGAGTACTCGTAGTACGCTTTCGGACTGAGCTGGTGGGTGTGCCACGCGAGGTCAACATCCAACGTAGGAACAGCCGCCTCGCCTGGGTTCGCGGCCATGATTTCGAAGAAGCGTTCGTACTTGGTCACATTCTTCAGCATGCTTTGCTCTACCGTCGGCAGATGAAGCCAGTTCAACTGAGGGGCGAAGGTCAGTACACTACTAGTTGACAAAAGACACACCAGAAGACCCACTGTAACCATCTTTTCTGTGAACAAGCTCTGTCTTGTGACGCACCCAGTCAAGTCAATCGAAAAAGGCGAGGCATTTTGCCAATACCTTGACATCATTCTCCTTGTCTGCTGCCTTGCCTCCAAGCTCAATCTGAATTCTGTGGCTTTCTTCAAGCCGTGTTTGTCCTGGACATGCTTGAGTTTTGACGAGTCGGCGAATTTACCGGTATAAGTTTCGACGATATCCTTTACGGCGAGCATGGTGGGTATCTTATCATTCTTAGGGTCCATCATGCCGAGAACTTCGATGAGAAGGCCACGACAAGCCAGTCGAGACGGAAATAGTTGATCGTGCTCGTCTTTCTCGTCGTTCTTAATCATAGCAGGGACTCCCGTCTTCAGATCAAGAATAGTTCCCGGCATTGCTGAGCCGCTTTTGGTCGCGTTTTGAATGTCTTTAAGCAGCTTGGTGACGCGAAGGCTGTCGTGCGTGACAATGAAATTGCAACCGTTGCACCTAATTTCCAGCTGTCCGTCGCCGTAGCCGCTGCCTGCAATTCCGGGGCGGCTAACTTTGTGTCAGGTATTTTCCATGGTCCCTCTGTGGCTTCACATACCTGGTGCCGCTGTAACCGTTAGGAAGACCACATGTTGTCCAAGGGACCTGAACTATAGCAGGGCAAGCAGGGCATCGCAGCTCCTTGATGTCGGTATCATCCTGGTTCTTCCAGGCGGCATCTGTTCGTGCGGTCCAATTTGCAAGCCGATCTCCGGTGGAGGTCCAGTTGAACTGGCTGTCGATAGCCTTGTTGACTACATCCCAAGGCATGCCGCCTGCCCAAATGGAGTCGTGTCCATAACGGAGACAATCCTGATCTCGAGGTCAGCAGTCGATCGTGATTACTTGAAAGGATAAGGGAACCACAAACCTCGAAGTAAAGCCTCGGATTCAGCATGTGTGCGTGCCATACCATCAAGACGTCTGCAATACTCCGTTATTACATTGAGTTCCTACAACCACGGTCAAGATCAAAACCAGCTCACCTAGTGGCGGCAACATTTCCTCCGTCCACTTCATTGGTTTTGCCTCTTGAACAAATCCAACATATCTTGACGTTCTTCCAACCCCACCAGGGGTTACGAGATCCGCTTCGAGAAGCATGTCCGGCACAAAACTCTGCCACCACGCCCCATATCGGTCAACAGCCCGGGCAACATACAGGGCCCATCGTTTCTCTCGTAGCGCAGCCAGAACCTGCGCACTTCCCTTGGCTCGCTCGTCCCAGATCTCCCACAGGCCGTCTGTGTAGCCCACCTCGTTCTTGAGCACCTGGAACGCAAACAGTAGGCGCAGATGCGCGAGACAGGCATCAGACGTGAGTTTCTCAGCAGCGGCACCGCTCAGATTGAGTTCACCAAGAGCCGGTGCCAGGTCCACGGCGATAGCAGAGGGGGTAGCATCGTTTCTGGGCTCGGCACTGTAGGCAGGGGGTGCTTCGGTGTTGTCGGTCGGTGGTTTGGTGGCAGCAGCTCGAAGATCGCGTTCGATCAAGCGGGCTTTCTCGCTTACCTTTCCTAGGAAAGAGACCATGATGAGAGTTCTATGCTTGTAGCAGCCAAGCAAAAATGAAAAAGATTGTTTGGTGGGGTGGTCCAGTGTACGAGACTGAAACGTCGACCGATGACCGACACAATATATAGGTGCTGAACATGAAGCAAACAAACGGATTGCGGATAGCCACGAGGGAGAGACGTCACCGTGGGGAAAGCCTAATCATTCTGTGCGGCTGCCGACGCGCGGGCCAACGTGCGGGCGGCACAGCACGACATGGCGCTTGTTCGATGATTTGAGGCCCAGATTTGATTAAAAGCATTGAGGCGCAGTCCCGTGGGTATTGAAGCAACACTGCATTCGGGCGTGTCCAGCGTGGCGAAGCTCGCTGTGGGATTCCCAACCCTGGACTCAACTGCCATCATGAAAGAGGGGTTGCGCTGCAAATGGATTCTTTCACGGCGCCGGGTTCCGGAGCTTCGGGCCACGACCCCGGGACTGGTCCGGCCGTCCTTCCAGCCCCGCACTGAGGGCCACGTACCGCGGAGCTGGGGCGCTCTGCTTGCTTTCAATGACTGCACTGCCTCAAGCCACGCGATTGAGGGTGGCAACGTCAGCATGTGTATCAAAGGGCGCCCAATCCGTTGTACTGAAGTTTGCCTACCGATCCGTTAAGCCTGCTGATTGTAGATGCAGATGTGTCAAGGTGTGGGCTCATCTAGATTCAAGCGTCGTATACGTGCGCACAAAAACCCCTAGAGCCTCTCGCTCATGACATCCTCGGTAACAAGTCAATTTCTATCCTCGCCGTTGATGGTTGCATCCTAGCTTTGGGACCCATAGAGATCTCAATCGGGGAGGCTTAGCATGATCATGGCTTGGGCAGTGCGCGATGAAATGAGGCAACGTGAGCTAATAAATAAATTCATTGATACAGTGGCCTAGTATCTTGGGAGAGTCTAATTTCTTTTCATCTTAAATACTGTTGGTTTGCTAGCTCCTCTCGATGTAGCACCAAAATTCACAAGTGGAACTACAAAGCCAGACTTCACTAAAAGGTTTGGGGATGATAGGTGACCATGACCCCTAACGGACTTGTCAGAGTCGCGATTCGTGGCTCATCAGCGTAATTACAATGGGTTTTCGTTGCTCAGTGGACGATGATCTCCAACTCTCCATTATCCATGCCAACTGCTCTGGCTTCTGACGCCTTACCGCTGTCCAATAAGCCGCTTAGCATACGCATTCATGACGGATGTCGTGGCTGAGACCTCTAGGGTAAGATGCAAGCCATTCCTGATCAAATTCGTTCGTGATGGGTCGGAGGAGCGTCTCCCGCACCATTTGTCTCCTTCTGTGTCGCAGCGCTTTCATCGTTCAGAGCTGTGCCGCTGTCATGGCCGTTGGTGGCAGCCGCCTGTGCTTCCATATCCAGTCCAGCTTCTCTGCGAATCCGGGCCATCTCCTCCGTCGAAGGAGCCACCCACTTTGCGCTTTTCTTGGGGTCGACGCCCTCCAGATACATTGTGTCAATCTCCTCCAGTGTACGTCCCTGGCCCTCCACGACGAAGAAGTAAACGATCAACGCGCCGACAAAATTGCACGCCGCAAACACGTATCCGTAGCGGAAGTCGATTTCGGCAGTAATGAAGGGAGTAGCGAACGCGATGGCAAAATTCCAAATCCAGTTACTGGCCGTCGAGAGCGCCATGCCCTTGGCGCGGTACCGCGATGGGAAGATTTCGGCCATAATGGTCCAAACCATGGGGCCCCAGGTCGTTGCGAACCCGAGGATGAAGAAACATGCGAAGACGATGAGGGCGATGCCCGCACTGCGCGTGGTCTCGGGGTTTTCACGATCGAGCTCGAAGTGACCCACGGAAGCGAAGATAAGGAAGCAAACGAACATCCAGATGGAGCCTGCAATGAGGGACTTGCGGCGGCCGTAGTGCTCAACGAGGTATAGACCGATGAAAGTGACCACAAAGTTGATCGTGTTGAGAATGATCTGGGTGACGTAGCTGTTGATACTGACCGACCGGAAGATGGTGGTGCCATAGTAGAAGAAATAATTGGCGCCCGTGAGTTGTTGGAACATCTGTAGAGCAATACCGAGCGCGAGACGGTAAGCCATGCGCGGTGCTTGCAGCATTTGGACGAATTCCGTAATGACGTTACCCTTGATGGTACTTTCGGCGCGGAACTTGCTTTCGATCTCTTCCATTTGCGTGTGGATGCTCCAATGGTTGGTCGTCGCGCCATACACCTTGCACAGCGTCTCACGTGCTCGCTCGACATGGCCGCTGCGATAGTCGTAGCGAGGCGTCTCGGGGAAGAAGAGGATACCGACGCCAAGGACGATGGTCCAGATCCAACCGAGGCCGATCACAATACGCCAGGACGCAGTACTGTTGGGATAATCTTTCTCCGTGCCGTAGTTGATACACGCGGCCAGGAAGATGCCCATGGTGATAAAGAGCTGGTATGTGCCAATCATGGCGCCACGGATCCAAGGCGGTGCCGTCTCAGCCTGGTACATCGGGACCAAGAGTGACAGTCCTCCAACTCCCAGGCCCGCCACCCAGCGACCCATCATTACCTGTTCCCATGTATCGTCTGCAGCGATCTGGACAATAAAGCCGATAGACGTAATGACGCACCAGAAAGAAATGGAGTATTTGCGGCCAACGCGATCGGCGATAGGGGCTCCGATCAAAGCGCCTATGAGCGTACCGATAGACAAGAGGGCGACGATCAGACCCGACCGCACGTTGCTGAAGTAGTATTCCCCGTCCGAGTTGATCTGACCAAAGCGCTCGAGGAAATCAGGCATCTCTAGAAAGCCCGAGATCTGACCAGTGTCGTAACCAAAGCTGGCACCGATATCAGTCAAGCTCACATTGGACGGCTGTGTCTGACTCACATTAAGCCTCCCATAGACACCAGCATGGCGAGACCGAGAGAACGTCCTGATACTCGTGGAAGTGGTGAGTAGTCCAACCCAGAAAGGGAACGGCGGACGTCTGTGCCTTTCTCATGATTTGGGTTGTGGCTATCAAAGTTTACAGTCATGAACTTGGCCATGTTGGGCGACTGGTGGGCTGGAATTTTGAAAGCCTGACGCAGATGTTGAGGGTGATTTCGATGTGTAACGTATATATTTTTGATGAGTGGCTGGAAACTCATTTGGTGGGCTGCCGTGCATATTTGTAACCTCTGCTGCTCAGCTTACCATGACAAAAACATGAAGCCCGTGACGTCAATCTGTAAGACGGACACCGGGAACTCATCCCACTTGCCTCTGAGCGGCCTCTCCGGCAGGTGCTATGTTGACCACGGGACCCTTTGGATAGTCCCTTCATGGTCTCTTTCGGGCCGTCAGCTTGATCCTAGAGTCTCCAACGATCCATTCAGGAGAAAAGCAACAAGCTTAAACGGCCCGACCTCACAACCTGGAGGTGGAGATATGGGGATGGTGGTACGACGTTGTAGCGTGTGGCAATGCTGCCGATTCGAGAACATGACGGGAATCCAGTCAGCGTTGACCAGAGGCCCTACACCCACGTTCATTTGTTAACGTCTCGTCGTGTGATAGGACGTAACAAGAAAGACATCGTCATAAGCCGCATTGTATATGCTGATCTGCCGGCATGCCCGCTGCTAGCGCCGCTTGCGGCTACGTAGAAGGCTTCCGGGTGTTCCGGACTTTGGTATGGGAAGCTGTCCATGCGACAACAACGTTCTGACCACGCGACGACCTCGTGCACAAAATGCGACCAGCAAACGACCTTTTGTCTGCTGTCTCGAATCGTGTCTTATCGATCTAGGGGTTGCTTCATCTGCGACAACAAGAGTCTTGGATCAGAGTTGGTTTCTCCAACCTTACTCGAGGCTTGCTCGGCGGCCAATTGAGCCCTGAGGTTGCCGACTAGGGGCGCCTCCCGAGTTCCTGGGACCAAGTGCCATCTCCGTTATTCCCGTGACCTGACGTGTTTGTCCGGCTCTCAACCCTGACTTGACGCGGGGCACCACATCGGGCGAGTAAGCTGCGGAGACTCCACGGAGGGTTTCCTCGTGGGGCCGACCCCAGACATACGGCGGCCGAGGGCCTTTCTCGGCGGCACTGAATCGTCTCGTGATGGCATCAAGTACTGCTCCTCGCCGCCGGAAACAAAGAACGATCCGACCAGACCGATGTGCTTACGCATTACGCAGATAGTAACCTTGACCAGCCAAATGCGCGTGTTCCTTCGCGCTGCAGACTGACCTAACCTGCAGGGTTTGCTGACTCCGTCAAATTCAAGCCAGTGTTTTGCGCCAGTGTGTCACATATGGCTTCATCGTGTCGTCCTCTGCGGTTGAGAAGAACGCCAATTGATTCCGATTGCAAGCGATTTCTCAACGCTTTCGATAATTGATCTATTGACATTCTACTTTAATAGGTGTTCGTCAGGTAAACTTCCGGCTGCAAATGATTCATGAAAGGAGCAGAGCCGCCCACGAGAATTCCTCGCCGCCTGAACGAGATGAGTGAGAAGAAGGCTGGCGCTCATGGGCTTAATTTTTTCCACTAAATGAGCGACCTATGTTCATTTGGAGCGTGGTAGCGAACCGATGTACCAACGATGGACCAACACAAAGTAGTGTACAACTCTCAGCATATTCAGAACTTTCCCGCTGGCTGCAGACAAGTTTGAGCGACAACATGTTCGCCCACGAAATGGGTGATGGATCTTCAGATCTCTTGATTTGCCAATAAATGTCTACTGTACGCCTCGCTCTTATGACATTTGAGTGATCTGCCTGAAGAATGATTCAGTAGTCATGATTACCGTTTAGAACCCGCGGCAGCGCCCGTAAGATACCTTGGATTTGTTTCCTATATCATGCAACACATTTATAAAAAATGCCTCCGGCTCCTGAATGGCCCATGCATCCGCTTGGCAACGCAAGTTCCATGTTCACAGCCGACGAATCAAGTGTTGAACGCCACTTGCATGCCCGCTGCCAGCCTGACAAGAGCTAGAAAGTATAGACAACCCCTGTGAGCATCCACGCTATTGCTTCGACTCGCTACACCAGGCGACGAGGAATCATGAAGGGTATAGTGCACCGCGCACTATGCGTCATGCCTGTTTCTCATTCCCCAAAAGCTACAAGCATGAAAAAAGGCAAGATAATCGAAGCTGCGATGACTAGGTGTGAGGATCTCGGCAGACAGCTTTGACCATTAACCAAACAGTACCCTATCGGGCATTCACCACTGGATCCAGGCGGGAGAGGTAAACGCCAGAGATACAATGATCACTCACTATCATCCATTCCTGTTCACTAGACGTACTTGAGAAACTTAAGACAAAATTGGGCCCTGGGGAGTGAATTCACACTCAACACTTCATTTCTCAAATAGACTTTAAGATGAGTTTTTCTAATCCGTCAAGGTTGCTTGTGCCTTGAATGCCCTTTATGGATCGTTGCTGAACCTGGAGAGGTTCGTCACCAAAGTTTAACAAATTTTTACAATATCATCGGAGAAACCTGCAGTTCACGCATATAGTCCGCCAGCTTGACATCCTCTTTGACTGTCCAACCTCGGTTCGCATACTACATCAGGTTCTTATTTGCAGCGTATCTCTCTCGCTTCTCATAGAAGACCAGTATACATCTTCGCATCGCGGGAAAAGATCACGGTCAGCCCCAAGGAACCCGGCCTAGTCAACAACAAGAAAGAAAAAGATGTCCCAAGCACAGGAGAAGGTCCCAGGCAGAGCCAGTCCAATCGAGACCCTCGACGAGGTCCTCAAGCTCTGGGCCCTCGCCGACAAAGCCATGAGCATCAGCGACGCGACCTCCGCTCCACAATCCCCTTACTCGGATCCGGGCTACCGCCTCCGCGACCCGGACCTCTTCGCCGACGACCTGGCAACGCGCCTCGCCCGGTTCGCCGTCTCCGAGGCCAACGCCGCCGACCCGCGCGAAAGTATGCAAACGGTTCTCGAGAGCACCTTTTCGCCCGTAGCCGGCGGACAGCGCACATCTGTTTCGACGCAGCCGACACCCGGCCTAACACGCTTCAACATAAAGCCGACGCGCGGCAGCCCGCCGCCATCACCGCCGCCTGGTTTCGGGTTCGGGTGCTCGCTGAAGCGCATGTCCCGTGCCAGCTTGGACCGGCTTCTTCTGTTGCCAGGCCGCCAGCCGTCGCGCGGTAGTGGCAGAGGCGGCGGCGGCGGGACGGCTGTCCTTGAGATGAGGGAGACCATTGCGCAGGGCCGGATCAGGGCTTCGGCCACGGACGTGGCAGTCCTGCAGGACGGCATCAGGGCGGGGTCGGTCAAGGTGTCGGTGGGACAGCTTTGCCGCTCTGTTGGTCTGCCAGAGCCGCAGGTAGGCGAGAGGTATGAGCTCGTGTTTCGCCCGGGAGAGGAGGAGGAGCCGGTCCGCCCACGGAACGTGAGGAGAGTCACCTGGAAGTAATGAGATACCCCCGTTTCATTGCTGCTTCGAGTTATGGACTTTGGACATGGCACATGGGCGCTCCGAAGGTTGTGCATGCAATGGAATTGTTCGGAGAAATGGTCCCTGGAACTTGGAAGTGGATCAAAGGAACCAAGGAAAAGGGGGGAGGATGGAAAAAGGGAACATGGAGGTAGTATAAGAAGAATACGCTAGTCGTTGATTAAAAATCTTGCTTTAGTGTAAGATCAGTCCCAAAACCTGGTTCAGGGTCCTGTGGATCGGAACGAAGGCATCGGTCGTCCTTAATGTGACATTGATATACCATCCACTGGGGATGGTTTGGGGCGAAGATCGTCGATGCTGGAGCCAGGGTTACCAACAGACAACTTTGTCCGGAGAGCCTGGAATAATCTTCGCATAGCGACCCTGTTCATGCCGCCGACCACCGACCACCCTCCATCACTCGAGGCCAACCACTCGGGGGTCAGCGGCATCTCCACGCGCTGACGTCCTCGTCAGGCTCGTCTTCGGGATCGCTCTGCGGAAATTCGACACCCGCACCATCGTCGTAGAAGGTGCCCCTGCTCTCCTCCTCCCCATCGCCCATCATCCATTCGTCGCTGATGAAGGCACGTCGAAGGTCCTGGCGTACGGCAAAGACCTCGCGCGTCTTGCAAAGGTAATCGACGTCGCCAAAGGAGCCGGGCTGCATCTCGCGGCCGTGGGCGCGGTAGTAGCGCTTGATGCGCGTCTGGCGGACCTTGGAGTCGACCTTTTTGGGGTCGTGCAGGCGGTACATGACGGCCCTCGACAGGGCGATGCGGCTCATGCGTCCCGAGTCGACCGACTTGATAATGTCACGCCACTCGCGGTCGGGGTGCTGCTTGCCGGCCCACTTGCGATACTCCTCCTCGCCGAAGAGCTTGGAGAGGGCGGGCCGCCAGTCAAAGGAGGCTTCAAAACGGTCGTAGTCGACACGCAAGTTGGGCAGTTCCGTATCATTGGCAATGCGGCGCAATACGAGAATGTGCGGAGCCACGTCGTAGCGGTTGGCGGGCGGCGGGGCCAGGTAGGCGGTGACCTTTTCCCGCCACTGCTTGACGCATTCATCGTGCACCGTCGCGTCGCTGGCTATGAGCCTGCTGGTGCCATGCTGGCCGGCCATGGCCTTGTCGGTGTAGATGGCGCGGAGGCCATCGTCTGAGAGACGATCAAAGTCGAGGGCAAAGTTGAGGTCGCGCGGCTGGCGGTGTTCGTCAGTGACGGGTTCAAAGGCCAGAAACTCGAGGCGGCTGCGTCGGAGGTGGCAGTTGGCAAAGACGCGTTCTGTGACTGTTTGGAAGAACCGAGACACGAGGCGCAGATTCAGCCAGACTCGTGGTATGTATCGAGAGTCGGTGATGCAGCCAATGATGTGCATCCAGATTTCGGGAGGGAGATAGGGAAGAGAGCGAGCACGAGTGGCTGTTGGCGGCAGGTCGGTCGTCATGGCGCGATGCGGCGGATGTCCATGTTTGGCTGACGGGTTTGGGCGGCAGCAGACGTCTCGAGCAGCGGCCAGGCGCTTGTCCTTATACGATCTCGTGGGACGATGAGTTGGTGGTATTGGGGACTGCAACAGGCCATCGAGGGTGGGATGGAGAATGGAGGATGGAGGATGGAGGATGGAGGGGTCCAGCGACACGAGCAGACCAGGTGGATTCCAGTGCAACTCGAAGGGCGTCTTGGGTCGATTAAGGGGCGTGGACGAAGCATTCGCTAAGAGCAGGGGCCAAGAGACCCTGCAGGGCCCTGGTGTGGCTCTCTTGGGCGGTGCTCCACCGAAAAGACGTGGGTGCTTGGGGGTTGAATGTCTGGTTGATGCATGGAGATGAAATGCCTGGAGATGAGATGCCTGGAGAAGCTTGAAGTAGAAATGCCCGAGTTGGAGAGCCTGAAGTTCAGAACCAGGTGGAGGGGGGGGGGGGGTGGGAAAGAGAGAGGGGAGAGCACCCTGACAGCCTGGTGCATCAAAGAAGGCAGGGCAGCAAAACAGGTGAGTGAGTGACACCTAGCTGGTGGCGCCCTCCTCATGCTACCCTGTAGGCAGCAGGTATGGGAGATAATTCCAAGGACGAAGTAGGTAGACTGACAATCAACAACACTGCAGTCATGATTTTCAGTAGTGTATACTTCCAAATTAATATACGACAAAAAAAAAAGAAGTGTAATTATGCACCTTGCATTGCACTTCGCCTTCATCACCCTTCACTCGAACAAATCGTGTCCCACGTCGTGATCGAAAAATGGGGGGCAAGGGGCAGTCTGCTCTGTCGTAGTAAGGCAATGTTACACATCATCCCCAGCCTCGAGACAATAGAACAAAGGTCGGCGGCGATTGACAGAAAACGTCGATACCAAGTGCAGCCTCCCATCGGCATGCCACTCTTGAGACCGTTGCGGCAGATCACGCCCAGCTGCTGACACGTCCCGAATCCTGGGGAACACGCTTAGCTTCGTCTACGATGCCATCAGGTCCAACGGCAATAATCCGCTGCCCCTGATCTTCGTCGCAAAGACCAATCCATACCCGAGGCTGTGACCCGGCCGGGTTACGGCAGAAGGGAAAGAGAGTCAGACATTCCAATGCATTCCACTCAAGCATCGATCGAGAGGTTCCTGCTGTCGGCACGTGCTTGACCCCCCGCAAACGGACGCCCCAACGACGTCACCACCTCGGAGCTTCTGGTCCAGCCCGCCCAGAGTCTGGAACAGACAGTGGAGCAGCTGAGGGAGCGAGGTGCGCTTTCTTGACGATAGCTCCAGCTCCGGCGCCGTAGCTCCTGCTGAAGCATGCAGCTCCTGCGTCATCCTGCAAACAGCTTCCCCAATGCCCCTGCTTTCACTGCTGTTACTGCCGCGGCCGCTCCGCCAGACGTTAAGCTCGTCATCCGGCAAGACTATTTCTTGCTCTTGCCTTCCCTTTTTCTCTACCTTCCTCTTCCTTCACCTCAATCAAACCTCCTACGCAGCCCAGTCATCCCTTGTCGTGCTTCTTGCTCCCTCCATCCTACACCTCTCACACCAACCAATCCACACACATCGACAACCACCGCCATCATGATGTCCGCACGCCCCGCCGTTCGTACCATTGTACCCCGGGCCACGCGCTCGGCACGCATGCCAGTCCGCCAGCAGACCCGCCTCCAGTCGACGACCGGCTCTTCCACATCATCATCAGGCGGTGCCGGAGCATCTCACTTCGGTGCTGGTGTCGCCGGCGGCATTGCTGGTGTTGCCCTCTTCTCCGCCATCTACTCCTTCACCCCCGCCGGCCGCACGGCGTCCAAGGTCAACAGCACACTAAAGGACGCCGAAAAGAAGTACACCGAAGCCACGAAGAAGCTGCAGGCCAACACGCCCTCGGCTGACGAGGCTGTCAACTACATCAAGGAGTTTGCCTACTCTTACGTCGGTTGGATTCCCGGCGGCCGCGCCTACGTCGACACGGCCTTTGACGACTGGGAGAAGGTCCGCAAGAACCACAAGGACGAAGCTGATGCCCTCGTCAACGATGCCTACAAGCAGTTTCAGGACCTCTCCAAGTCTGGCCTCAGCGTCGAGACAGCGTCCAAGGCCTACGATGTCGTCGCCGACCTGACGAAGAAGGTCGCCGAGCTCTCGGGTGACGCCATTTCGGACATCATCGACAACCACCCCAAGCTCAAGGAGAAGCTCGGCGGCAACGTCGACAAGCTCAAGGAGATGGGCGAGGCCTACGGTCCCGAGGCCAAGAAGCAGGTTGACCAGACATGGAAGGAGGTCAAGGACATCGTCTCGGGCGGTGTCAGCTTTACGACCCTCGAGAAGGTCCGCAAACTCATTGAGGAGAAGGTCCAGCAGGTCAAGAAACTCGGCGACGAGGCGTGGAAGAAGGCTCTGGAGGAGGCGAAACCCATTCTCGACAAGAACCCCAAGGTCAAGAAGCTTATCGAGGAGAACGCCGACGCGCTGAAGCAGGGCAACGCCAAGGAGCTCTTCGACAATGCCCGCAAGGCCGTCGACTCGGGCGATCTCGGCGACCTCGAGGGCTACGTCAAGGACGCCGTCGAACAGGGCAAGTCCAAGGCCGAGGAGGTCACGGGCGGCAGCTGGAGCAACCTCGAGAAGTACATCAAGATGGTGCCGCAGGGCGGCGACATCCTGCCCAAGCTGCAACAGCTCGGTGAGGTGGCGCAGAAGCACAAGGCCGAGGGCGAGAAGCTGTTCCAGGAGACAATTGAAGAGCTCAAGCAGGTGCTCGAGAAGAAGTCGCAAAAGGCAAAGGAGATTGCCGAAAAGGCCGAGAAGGAGGCCAAATGATTGTATTTACAAATGAATCGGCGTTGGGGACTCGGGCTGGATCTGTACGATACCTTGGGGCACGCATTAAGCGACAGTAGATAATGCATTTGAAGTAACATGATCACAAAATCTTTGCACACGAATGTAACAATGTAACCAGCCCTAGCTCACGGTAGTCGTGATCTGGCGGTATCCTGTCTCGCAACGAAGTGCTTGCATTCATTGTTAAGACGATGGACCAACAGCCCAAAGGCCCGGCGCGGCCCCGAAACGCACATCGACATGATGCCTTGGGGTTCGCGGATGAATGTGAAGATGCTGGGGTGGGCCGAAAACACGATGGAGACTCAAGCATGGGGTTGTCTCGCGGAGCAGGTTCCGTTTGGGGCCCCTGCGCTGATCGTTGGGCACTTTTGTGTCAGTCATCATGGGATAGTAAGCCAGCCACAGCGACGGGGAGAGCAGGGGATCATCACTCTGAGGCATCAAGAGCAGGATGCTTATGAGTCGGGACGCCCCCAATTGATCACTTGGATGATTGTGAAACGCGTCAGAGTAGGGCCGATGGTCCTCTCACTCACCGAGGTAGCTCAAGATGCCTTTGTATTGACATGGGCAATCAGGAGACTGTGGCTTGCTACAGTAGTACACATACCCGGACGGCATTCATCGGCTCTGTAATGGCAGTCCACGGACAAGTGGCTATAATGTCTGGGACTGGGGCCACTAACATCAATTGGCCAGGTGGTGGAGTGGTTAACACGTACCCCTGCTAAGGGTATCTCTCCGGAGGCGCAAGTTCGAATCTTGTCCTGGTCGAACCTTTTGATTTTTGCTTTTGGATTGCAGTGTCGGTAACCGCTCCATCACTTGATGATCCATGGTTCTGTTATTCTGTTGGCACAGCGGCTCGTACACTGGGCTCTACTGTTGTGGCCCTGGTCGATCCCTCCAGCTACCTAGGTACAATGGGCTCGGTCTAGGGTCGGTTTCTCATGTTCATCGTCGGGAGCATGGCAAATACTCAAGCATCTCACTGCCTGCCTCCTCCATGTATGTGTCTGGGGCGCCGAGGCTGCCATGCGCGGAACTAGAGCATGCCATGACCCGCCGACGTCGAACTTAACCCAACGGCCCAAGCCGCCGCGCCGGCAAGACGCGGCCCTCGACTAACACTGGGTTACAACGTCTCACTTCTGCTACACCCTATGAGCTGCCAACACAGACCTCGCCCCTCACGTCTCGGCAGACCTACGCCGCGAGCTTGCAGACATGGCAATGTGCGGCTTAAGCTGGTCGACCGGCCGCCTTGGTCTACCCCAGCCTGCTACCCCAGATCATCCACATCAGCCTTGAGTAAGCTCCTAGATGTTGTGCCAACTGCCTCTTTTACCACCCTGTGAATCCAATCTCATCCCACGTCGAACAAGTGAGAGCGTCCACCGTAGTCGGCCATCATCGTCATCATGTCTGAATACACTCTCTACACATACTTCCGCTCCTCCTCCTCGGCCCGCCTCCGCATAGCCCTCAACTACAAGCAGATCCCCCACACTCTCCACCCCGTCAACCTCCTCAAGAACGAACACCTATCCGACGCCCACCGCGCTCTCAACCCCTCCGCCACCGTGCCCCTACTCGTCCGCGAGCAACCGGACGCTCCCTCTTCCACGCCCCTCCGCATAACCCAGTCCCTCGCCGCCCTCGAGTACCTCGACGAAGCCCACCCGTCGGCCCCCCACCTCCTGCCCCGCGACGACCCCGACAGCAGGGCCGCCGCCCGCGCCCTGGCCGGCATCATCGCTAGCGACACCCAGCCCGTGACGAACCTGCGCATCGTGCGCCGCGTGCGCGCCCTGGGCGGCGATGCCGAGGCATGGATGCGCGAGCTCATGGCCGACGGGCTCGCCGCCTACGAAGCCGTCGCCGCCGCCTCGGCAGGGCGGTGCTCCGTCGGCGACGAGCTGAGTCTTGCCGACTGCTGCCTCATGCCCGCCCTCTGGAATGCCGAGAGGTACGGCGTCGATCTGAGTCCGTACCCGACCATCCTCCGGATCAGGGCGTACCTTGAGACGCTGCCGGCCGTGGCCAAGGCTGGGTATTACGTGCAGCCTGATTGTCCGGCTGATTTGAGGGTGGAACCAGCGGAACAGTGATTCTGTACACATGAGAGCAATTCAGCGAGATGAGAAACGATCAAGTCCGTCGTCAATTGTGATCCCGAAGGGCCGCTTTTGAAAATTCCAATGCTAGCGTGTGTATCTTGCTTCAAAACAGCGGCAGCGCCGCCTCGATCGTGCCACTGACCTCTCCGAACCCGACGAGCGCGCCCTCCTTGCCTGCCCAGCCGCGGATGACGAGCGTGTCGCCGTCCTCGAGGAACTTCCTTTCCTCGCCGCCCTCGAGCCGGATAGCCACCTTGCCGCCCTGCGTCTGCTCGAGGATGCTGCCCTCCGTGCCCGCGTCGGGGCCCGAGATGGTGCCCGAGCCGAGGAGGTCGCCCGTGCGGAGGTTGCAGCCCGTGATGGTGTGGTGGGCGATCATCTGGGGCCACGACCAGAGCAGGTTGCGCGAGTTGGTCCTGCTGATGGTCGTCTTGTGGCCGGCGGGAGCTGTCTCTGTCAGCGCGCGTCCCGCGCCGGCGACGCGATCCGAAGCGTGCACACTTACTGATGAGGTCGACCTCGAGGTCAATGCCCAGGACGTTGTCCTCCCTGCCTTCGCGAAGGTAGGGGAGCAAGTCTGTGTCGTTCTTGATGCCCTGCACCTTGCTGCCGTCGAGCGCATCGGCCAGCACGACCCAGGCGCTGATGCTGGTGCCGAGGTTCTTCGCCGTAAAGGGGCCAAGAGGCACGTACTCCCAGGCCTGCACGTCACGCGCGCTCCAGTCGTTCATGAGGACGTAGCCAAAGACATGCTCTTCTGCCTTGCCCACGGGAACAGGCTCGCCGAGGGTGTTTTCGCGACAGATGAACATGCCAAGCTCGAGCTCTAGGTCGAGCTTGCGGCACGGCTCGAGGGCGGGGATCTTGGGTTCGGCCTTTGGGTCGAGCAGAATCTGTCCCCATGGCCGGCGGATTGGCGTGCCGGAGACGACAACACTGGAGGCGCGGCCGTGGTAGGCAACGGGAAGATGAGTGTAGTTGGGCTGGAAGGCATTGGCAGGGCCCCGGAAGAGAACGCCGACGTTGTACGCGTGATGCTTGCCGGCGTAAAAGTCGGTATAGTCGCCAATCGACAGAGGCAGGTGTGTTTGGACGCTAGACAGAGGGAGCAGCGCAGACTCGCGCAAAGAGGCATTGTCCTTTAGAAGAGCAGCATGCTGTGTGTCCTCGGCGAAGATGGACTGAATGTAGGCCCTGACCTCGCGATGGAAAGGTCGGCCCAGCGCAGCAAAGGTGTTTAGCGTCGGCGATGAGAACACATGAGCCTGCTTTTTTATCGTCGCTGAGCCAGAGAAGCCGTCGGCAGCGGCAAATGCCGCAAGATCAAGCGCATAGTCACCAATGGCAATGGCTGTACGGTGCGTCGAGTCGGACTCTGTAGAGATGACGCCGAAGGGGATGTTGGCCAGCGAGAAGTGGCTCGCCGGCGAGATAGTAAGCCACGAGGTTTGAGACGTCATGGTGGCAATGTGGTGTGTTGGTAGGTATCGGCGGTAAACTGTCAAGGGAATGTACCTTTTCGCGAACAACCGTCGACATGTATGATTAAAAAACGTGGACGCGTGTGCCAGGTCAAAAGAACATTGCCGAGAGCAGTGCTGATTTCATTCAGGAAGGTCTACCATTGCAGGCTGCTGACATGTACACTCAATCCCGCTGCAAGCCGAGCGGCAAGTGGAGGGGTCGCGCGGAATGAGGTCAAGTGAGGGGCAGGGTTGCGACACAGAGTTGCGAACGTTGTGGGGGGCCGAAGGCGGGCGTCAAGGCCGAGTCTAGGCGCCGGCCGGCCTGTGCCGCTGATGCTGCTTTTGTAACGACAATACTTCATCGACCAGAGGGTGCCCCGTTAGCGTACCGCGGAAGAAGACCTTTACCTGCTGTTGTGTTAAACATTCCGGGTCGCCACCATGATCGACGTTTCGTCGTTTCGTTATGCGCGGTGCCGTTCCGAGTTGCTGTTGCTGTTGTGTCGCCTTCCGAGTGTTCAGCCCTGACACTAGGATCCTTCCCAGGTACATCGCTTGATTTAGCTTCTTGACTCGTCCCAGCCTTCACTCCCTGTCTTCCACGCTCCTCCATCCGGCGGCTGCGCCGGGCGTCTCTCACCTGGTCTTTCAGCTTGCTTGTCACCGATATGGCGTGTTTGTAAACGCTGTCACTAGTGAGTCCCATATCCAGCCAGCTGTTATATATCGGCGTTTTCGTGACGATGCCAAACCAAGCAACATGCCAGATGGACCACAAAAACGTCCGGATCCACGTGCTGAAGGCGATCGCAAGCGTGATAGTGATGATGACGATGGAAATGGGGACTGTAGCTTTGTTAGCATGCTGGCCGCGAATTCGGGCAGGTCGTGACTTGCACATGACGGCAAATTCTTCGGCAAGCTTGAGACTTCCATCAGCTCCGAGCTCCATTGCATTCATCCCGAAGATGGCTGCTGTGAAGGTTAACGGGAGCTGCAAACTGTTAGCTGTGGCTACTGGCGCAAAACCTCCACGGTCGTCGTGACGTACGAACACGATTGTCACAACAGTGAACAGCATGATTGATCGGCCTTGTCTGACGGTTTCCTCAGACTGCTTCAGAGACATCCAGGCCTGAACCACACCAGCTTGTTGTTGCTTTAGGGCAAGAAGTCCCTTCACCTGTGAGATGTTATTATGCGGTTCCAGCGCGCCGAGGCAAAGTGATCAGCTCACGCCTTCGCAAGTGCTCATGGCACTGTCCCGCAATTGCTCCAGCTCTTTGATGCGCCACTTGATCTTCGTCTGCACCTCTTTGGCATTCAATTCGAAGAATCGAAAAATATGTTGCCTTGCTTCTGGATTGTTGTACACGGCTGGCGGGCGAGCTTGCATGGCGTTGGGCGTTGGCGATGTCGTATTTTGGCCAGGTGTTGCTCCCGATGTATCGAACAAACTGTCGCCGTCCAGCATGTGCTTCACATGGTTGATGAAACTTTCCAGGACGAAATGGTGTGATCTGACGACATAGATCATAATCTCGAGCTCTTCTTTGATATCTTCGATCTCTCTATGTAAGGCAGCCTCTGGGTTGATGTCGAGCAATGGTACGTGAAGTTCCGACATCTCAATATTCCCCGGACGTCGGTAAATTTTGCTGGCGTTATTCGTCCACTTATAAAGCCTTTCGAATGCAGCTGTCTCATCTCTCGACTGCAGTGCGTCAACACATGTCTTCGCGAAAAGCCCTCATTGACTTACCACATTGCCAATTGCTTCTGAGAACTGGTCAATGACCTGCGGTTGCCGGTCATTCTTCCGCGCGCGATCGAAGAACGTGTTGGAGCATTCATCAATGACCAGCAATCCAAGGTCGAATACTGATCGAATTTGGTTGGGACGAGCTCTGTCAAGCTTTGTGCGGATTGCTTTGTGTACACCAGAGTGGTCGTATTTTTGGGTGCCATAACGTTTTGGAAAGGAGGTTATGATTGTCTTCTCATCCAATATCCACATCCAGAGCTGGTCAACCATCATGACGCGAGAGACCTTTCGGATTCCTGCTGTGCAGCTGCGGCAAGGCGTTTCCACCAGTCCGTTGTGTTCAAGCCAGCCGCCATTAACGAATGTGTGAAAGTCTTGCGCTTTTGCCGTCGTTGCACGATATACGACCTGGTCACGGTCGCGACTCTTGCTGGTGTTTAAGGTCCAGTAGTAGGCCTGGTCGAGGGTCCGCCTGGGATGAAGTGGGGGATCGAAATATAGGTATTTCTTCAACAAGTTCCTGTCCCGACAAGTCGACATGGCCTCGTAGAGCCTAGCAGCATCCAGGAGCAATTGACCTAACTTTCTCTTCGGGTTTTCGTCTGATATGGTGACACGCCCATTCTTTTCGATTCGGAGTCCCTTTTGAACACGGGCAGAATTTGAACCATCGGCGACCGACCCTATGGTTTGGTTCCTTTTGGGCCGAATATCTGGTGCAGTACTCGGGGGAAGGCCAGGAATATCAGGGTGAATGGCCTTTCTAGCTTTAATACGCTCTTCCCTCCTTTTTTGTTCTTTTTGCTGGCGATTCTCGAACCACTCGTCAGCAAGGATGTCCATTTCTAGCGCAAATTTGTTGCGCAACCTGTCAGTCTCCCAGTGAAGATACGGCATCTCAATTCCGGGTCAGCAGCATATCAGGATACGGATTATTCAGGGTCAGCATACAAACAACACCATATTTCTTGGTGTTTGGCTCATGGAATTCGGATCTGGTTGCGTTAGGGTCAACCAGAGTATGAAGAATGACAGAGTCACAAACTAGAAGAAACGGCTTCACACATAGGCCGCATATGGCGAGAATGGGGTGCTGAGCCTGCAGACCCATGCATTTGCCCTCGCCAGTACTGCGGCCTCAGCATCATGTATGTGTCAGTCTTGTATGGCTCTTGTAGCTCACGGTTGACGCTGTCGAAGTTGGGAGGGTCCTGGCCGTAGTACAAACCAAGCGCTCGCTAGCCCTGTTAGAGTAGCCCAGTAACTGCAGACAAGACCCTTGCGGAAGGACAAATACCTCAATCCACTACACATATGATTAGTTTGACAGCGGGTGCTAGGAGCACAGCAAGGGACCACTTGCGCTCATATTGTTCGCAGGAAAGTGCACGTATGAAAGAGACTCCGTTAATCGCAGCTCCGAGAGCCGATTAGGTGTTTCCTCATACTTCTTCGCGAGTTTCAGAATAGTCGCCACATTCGTAGTTTCGAGTTCCTTTTTCAACTTCGAGACTTTCGCCGGTGGTTGATCATTACTCTCACAGCCCCTGGCTTCGAATTCATCCTTGGGAATGCTCTCCGAGTCTTCATAGAGGATGATGTGGACATTGAGATCTTCCTCGGGATCATAATTTTCCTCCGCCGGTTCCGAAGCTGGCGTTTGAGCCTGTGCTGTATTGTTTCTTACTTCTCCTTCGTCGCTGCGGTCCACCGATGCCGATGCCGGCGTGGAAGATTGGTCTGTCCCAGGTGGAGGCTTGGGTGGAGGGTAACATGGCAGGGGATTGATGCCGGAACGTGCGATGAGCTCGACACCTTTCTCGTACTCATCTGAAGCTCTCCAATTCCTTAGGCTCTCTTGGAAGTTGTGCACGACGTGCTTTTCGTCTTGGGATCTAGCCAGCGCCTTTCGGATATGGTCGAACCGCTCCATATTTCGGACGCATTCGTTCTTCCACTTACTTATTTTCTCTTCAACGCGGCTCTTCACAGGCGATCTCTGGTCCATTTGTGGCTCGTTATCTTTGAGTCGATTCCGCTTGCGCTCGCGCTCGCGCTCACGCTCGAATTCTTTCTCCCACACATAATGGCTCACGTCGAAGAAGGCTGCTCGTTCGCCCACTTTGATGCAGCCCAAGTAATGCAGCATGTGGTTGCTGATGTTATCATCGTGTTGTTCAGAGCTGAGACAAGTTGTTTGTGGATAGTCGGACATGGCTTTCCTGAAGAGACCGATTGGAGCATGACAAGACGTTGATCAAACTGAATCACGTTCTCCGGGTACGCCAGGGTAGCGTAGGGCCTGGTTAAATAGGCGATTCGGGGCGGGATGCGGCTCAACTCGACAAGCATGCTACGACGACTGACGACATGCGACCTTGGGGGTGGCTTTGGGGCGCAGCCTCGTCCCGAACAGAACAGGTTCGAACAGGTTCGCCAAGAACAGTCATAACCAGGGGGTTGCGAGGCATGCAAGCCCCTCAGTAGACAGGCAAAAGGTTCAGCCCATTCTGCTCTTGCGCATGAAAAGAACACCGAGGGAGCAGGAGTTGGACCAACAGGAAGCGAGCTGTGGGAGGCATTCACAGCCAAACAAGGTAGAACGGCACCATGTTCCAAGGCTCGGCCGTAAAAACAAGTTGGTGGTCAGCAATGAACTTATCCCACAGATGATGATCGGGCCCGACCTGACTGTCAGTACAAGGGCAGGTGCAGAATGCTTATCGACAACGCAAGGCTGTAGCACTGGCGTCCGGATAGGGTGTCATACGCGCGAAGGATCAGCAAACAGTGAACTATTCCCGGTGGTGCATGATGCGCGTGGCCGTACTGGGACGCCTTGGCTACGCTTCTCCTGAGGTGATCAGGCTGCTCAGTTGAACCGAACACGCGAGGCTGGCGGAAACTGACCAATGTGGCTTGCGATGAGTCCAACGTGAAACGTGACGAGTCGATTTGAGGGTAAGCAAGATCTCGATGGCGGACAAGTGATTTTGCAATAATCGCGTGCCGACAAGAGAGGGTTCACAAATGAGGATGGGGGCCATGGAGCCGCGCTGAGTCGAAGCGTGCGGACGCTGTCGTGTCCTCGGAATCCGTATTTGAAGACAAGATTCTCATGAGAAACTTCACTTCCGTTGCTCATGGCAGCACTGTAATCGACTCTTGGTCGCTACTGCGTTCAGCTGCGATGATCCTGTCTGGGAGCTGTTGTCTACGAAGGTGGCTATGTGATCACAGTACCCAGGTACCCTAGCTTCGAGGTAGATGGCTTGTTCCTGAGGTGGTCAGAGCTCCCACCCGGCCCGGCCCAAGTCCCGACTCCGCTGCCACTGGACCCTCCTCCCTGCGCCCCCTCCTTCCTGCCAAGCCTGCCTACCCACCACCATTTACCATTTCCCCCCTCCTCTGCTGCCCCTCCTCCAGACGATTCCCCAGCAACCATCGCCTGGAGATATTGAAAGCACACCCGCATCTGGACAGACCCATTTGTTCAACAGAAGTTCGAACTTCATCAAGTTGGCAATCCTGATGCCCTGAGAGGAAACAGAAACAAATTTCAGAGGGCAACGCTCCTAACATGGCTACTGCCCCCCACGCCGGGTCCCTCACGTGATACTGGAATAGCCTCAACAACCCGACAGTACCCGTCCCCCAGCGACCATCCCACCCAAGAGATCCAATCGCAGCATCGGCAGACGCAACGATTGCGATGCCAATCCCACGCTCCCAGCCTCAGGGTGCGCTAGCGCCTCGCCTGTCATTTCAACACCTCCGGTACGGATGGACACAACGCGGGCATAACCCAGAAAGCCTCTGAGTGCAAGGCCTGGACCGATCAAAGAACCCAGGGAATGAAGGCTGAAATGCTCCCGAGCAAGCGACCAGGGGAGCTCGACGCGCCAAGCGATGCCACGATCCGCGCTGAAAATTATTTCGCTCGACATCATTCTTTCCTGGGCGCCGCGCCTGGCCAACTCAAAAAATCTGTCATGCCCATGCCACATGCCGTTTGACTCAACGTCTCAAACATTTCTCCTCATTCGCACCCACCGACCGTGTCATGGCTGACGAAAAACGTATTGACGAGTCCAATGCGGTCGCGCCGGCTTCCGCTGCCGTCGCCGACCCCACGCCGGCAGATGTTGAGGCCGCCAGGGCCATGCCCCCGACTGCCGATGTTAGCGGCGCAACCAAAATTCGGGGTGGCGATGAAGCTCTCGCCATGGTTGGCGAGCAGCAGCACAGCTATGATCCAGCCGTTGCGGCGCGTGCTGTGCGTAAGATTGATTGGTTTCTCATGCCTGCCATGATCTTTGGCTGTAAGTCGAGTCGCTTCACCCGCACAACATGATTCATTATCCAGCAGCCCATACTCACAAATGATAGATGGACTCGTCTACTACGACAAGGCCATCTTGGGATCGGCTGTCCTGTTTGGCATGACAAAGGACCTCAAACTCTCGATTGTCGTCGACGCCACCACGACACCTCCCACCATGGACACGACTCGCATGTCTTGGGCGACCTCGCTCTTCTACTTTGGCATGCTCGGTGGCCTGTACCCCATGACATATGCCCTTCAGCGCTTCGACATTGGTCGCATCCTCGGAGGCATCGTCATTCTCTGGGCTGGCATCTGCATGCTGACGGCGGCCGTCGTTGATTACAAAGGTCTCTACGTCCAGCGCTTCTTCCTTGGCTTTGTCGAGTCTATCATCCCCACGGGCTTCATGTGCATCGTCTCTGGCTACTACACGCAAAAGGAACAATCCATGCGCCAGAGCTGGTGGTTTTCCTCCACTGGTCTGTTCACCATTCTCGGCGGTGCCCTCAACTACGGCTTTGCCCAGATCACTGGTGGGGCACTCACCCGATGGCAGTACATCTACCTCCTCGCGGGATGCCTCACGTTCCTCTTTGGCATCTTCTGCTTCTTCATGCCCAACTCACCTGTCAACGCCTGGTTCCTGACGCCAGAGGAGCGATTCGCGGCCGTCGAGCGCCTCCGCTACGGCCAGACCGGTGTTCGCTGCACAACCTTCAAGTTCTCCCAGGTCAAGGAGGCCATCCTCGACATCAAGGTCTGGCTCGTGGCCATCATGATGGCGTCGGCCTACACCATGAACGGCGCCGTCTCGGGCTTCGGCCCCCTCATCGTCTCTACGTTCGGCTGGACCGCCCGCGAGTCCATCCTGTTCCAGTTCCCGCTCGGCGGCCTCTGCTTCATCGTCATTCTCGCCACGGGCTTCGCGGGCTCCCGCTTCCCCAACATTCGCATCTTCATGCTCATCGCCTGCTGCCTCCCCGTCATCGCCGGCTGCGCCATCATCTGGAAGTCGGCCTGGTACCACCACGCCCCGGCCCCCGTCATCGGCTACTCGATCACGGGCTTCTTCGGCGGCGTCGTCTCCCTCATCATCACCGTCGGCATGTCCAACGTCGCCGGCCACACCAAGAAGAGCTTCATGGCCGCCACCATCTTTGTCGCCTACTGCGTCGGCAACATTGTCGGCCCCCTGCTCGTGCGCTCCCAGAGCAGGCCCGACCACTACCCCGAGCTCTGGACCGGCCTCATCGTCTGCTACGTCATTTGCATCCTCGCCGCCGTTGCCCTGTACTTTGTCCTGCGCAGGGAGAATGCCAAGCGGGAGGGCCAGGCGGTTGACGAGGAGGAGCGCGCCAAGCTTGCTTTCCAGGACCTGACGGACAAGGAGAACCCATACTTCCGCTACGTCATGTGAGAAGCGGACGCTGAGACAACAGAAGCCAACATGCTCCATGGTTGAATGCAATGGTAGGAGATGGATACACGATACCTAAAATAAACATGTAGTCGTTGCTTGCCACGAGAAGCACGCTCATCTGTGTGTATGACGTGTGATTTAGGGCCATTTGGTAGGTCACGATGCCAGGCGTGTGGTAGATCCTCATCGACCATTTTTGGACGCTGCCAACACATGACAACATGGTGCACAGGATGGACAGCCCTCGCCCCCATTCAACGACACCCGATACGTGGCGGCCCTGGTGACCCTAGCCCGAGAACGAACGGGAAACCCTAAGCTTTCATTTTGGGAGATCCCAATCTTCGACCCGAAATCTGTCGCACACAAGATTCAAACATCATTCCCTGATCAGCAAGAATCAAGCAAGAAACATTGAAAAGGCCTTTCTCGGCAGCGTATTATCGCTCATGTCCCCCCAGACGCCAATCTATGCAAGAGAAAGAGAAGAGGCACGCGTCGACCCCGACCCCGTGGGCGCGCGAAAAAGGACCCCGAGAGGGAAAATAAAAGAGGTTAAAACAAAGTGACCAAGGGCCCCCGCGTGTACGCCGCGCCTCCGTTGCGCTGCCCTTGTGCCGTCTTGAAATCCAAAATTGCATGCCGCCCATTCGCAGATGCTATGCTGCCCCATCCCCCTGTTCCCGAAATAACGCCAAAAGCCAGAATTGTGTCGCTAAACGAAGTAACTCCCGTCGTCGCCGTTTTCGCTACCTCGGTACCTCTTCTTCTTTGGGCGTCTCTGCTGCTGATGGCTGCTCCGTCGGTGCTTCGTTCCTCGGCAGCTCCACCTGCGCTGGTCGCATCGTTTCCAGGGGCTCAGTTGGTGGCGGTGGCGGCACTTGTGGCGGTGGTGGGTGGTCGTGAGAAGACAGCTCAGCGGGCATGCGCTCGTCGCCAAGCTGTCCGTCGTTGAGCTCTGCTGGTAGGACTGGCCTTGTATGTGCTAGCACAGAGCCCGGTGCCGACGATGCTGGGGGGACCCCCTGGAGATCAGTCTTCGTCGTGGCCATTGGCGCGACCATTGGGAACTGTGGCGAGCCGAACCCTGGCTGTGACTGGCCCGTGTGCTGCGCTGCTATTGGCACCTGCTGCTGGTACATGCTGTAGCTGTGTTGCGGCCAGATGGAGCCTGGGGGACCGTAGTGCGGAGAATGCGGTGGCCACGGCGTGTGTTGTGAGGCACCACCCGGTGAAGCTGTCGCTTGTCGGTTCGGGTCCTGCGGATCAGGTGAATCTTGGTGAGGTCCCTGTTGGGTTGGCGTCGGATACCCCTGAGGATAGGGGTGCATGGGCATCGGGAAATAGGCCGGCATGTAAGGATGAGGACCCGGTGGCACAGACTGTCCGTCAGGTGAGTTGGACGAGGTGGATTGAGGGGGGTAAGGCGCCCCGTAGTATGGGTAGTGAGGGTGAGGTGGGTAGTGAGCCCATGGTGGATAAGCAGCCATGGCGTGTGTCATATGTGGCGATGTGACAGTTTTGTCCGCCTCAGAAGCTTGCGTCGTCGTCTGGGACTTGGTGCTGGCGTTCGACTTTTGGCGCATGTCATGGAGAGCACGACCTGCGATGTGTCAGCTGTTATACCCATTGTCATGGCATGGTGCATCCTGTTGGTCGGCCGGGGAAAGATATGCATACCGAACCGAGCGACCGTGACAACAAAGAGCAGAAAATTGGCAGTTGCCACGCCGGTGGCTGCGAAGGTTGCTACGACAAATCCGCGGGCATATTCCTGTATGAACTCATTATAATGTTTCTTGTACTCAGGGCCGAGGCCAGTGACATAGGCATCGATGGAATCAAGGTCATCCGAGTGGCTGGCGAGAAGTGATGTCACGATGAGCCAGAACACCAGGCTCAGGATTTCAAGACCACTGGGATCCATGTCAGCAAGTGGCGGCACAACATCAACACAGCTCTCCACGTACAGGTGAACCCAACAGTTGTACATGATGGGGAGAACGAGAACTGCTGTACCGAGCCACGCCAGATAGACGAGGGTCCAGGAGAAGGCGAACCATGCAAAAGCTGAAGAAAAGGGTCAGTAACCTGGGGGAGGATGGGCGAGCCAGTCACATTGGGGAGAGACTTACGATACCCCTCGGACCCGCTCCAGTTCTTCCAGAGAGTCAGCCAGCTTTCTTGACTGGATTTGCCTGTAGGATCGCGAATGGAGATCTGTCGTACCGTGATCCTCCTATACCCAACGGCCTTTTGTATAGTGGCCACCCCATATGCAGTCAGGGCCAGTGTGGCTATGGCGAGAAGCTGTATGATCCGTCAGCACGTCGGCCCATGTCACAGATTGACAGACGGGCTCTGCCTACCAGCTGCAAGACGCGAACTCCAGCAATCCAGACAGACATGTGCGGAACATGACTGCGGTTGCGGCCGTCCTTGGCCCAGATGTTCTTTGTCAGGAAACGGTGCACATGTTGCTTGGTGCGCTGCAGGAACGTCGTCGGAGGCGTCGAGGTTTTGGGTTCGGCGTCCACGGGGGAGCCAGAGGGCGTGGTCGCGTCTTCAGCCGGCTTTGGTTCCTGAGCATCCATAGGGCGAAGGGCCGCGGGCGCGGGCGCGGGTGGGAAGGAAGAGGCAAACCCCAGTGGCGAGGTTTGAGTGATCGATCCCGTTGGAGAGTGTAGTGCTTCGTCGGGGCTGTGTTGTTGGTGGTGGTGGTGGCTCGGAAGGTCGGTCAGTTTGGCGAAGTCTCGGTGCTCCTCCCGATTAGAGAGAGGTCGGTCGCGAGGGGAGGGTGAAGCAGGAAGGAGGTGGAGAGAGAGTTAGCGAAGAATCGTGGGCCTAGGTAGGCTCTTGTCGTTGGACGTCACGGGTATGGTCGCGTCGAAGTCGAGGCATGGAAGACGGCGTGTCTCGATTCGGGCGTGTGTGCAGTGCAGGCGAAGCTCGAAAGTTGGCTTTGGAGGTTCGTGACCAGAGACTTGGAAGAGGTGTTCGGTCAAGGGTACGGGTCAAGGTCATCCAGTGGCATGGAATTCGATTGCGGGTAATATGGCGGGCGGCCTGCCTGGCTGGCCGGCTGTCTCCAGTGCGTGGTGCGTCAGGTAGTGCCCAGTTGCAAAGTTGGCCCGGGTGGCAGGTGGGCTTGGGGTGGTGGTGGTGGGGGAGGAGGTGATCCTCGGGAATTGGCACTGTCCTTGATGCCGTTGTTTGTCGCATCACACGAAGAATCAATTCAGAGCTGGCACTGTACTGAGACTGTGCTTCTGGACGCACTTGTCTGCCAAGTTCGCCTTTGGCCCCGGCGCTGGGCAGGATGGGCAGTGCATCCGACGAGATCCATCCTAAGAGACTGATCTGCGGTCATTGGACACATCACTCGGGATGCCCCGCACTGCCAAGAGACAGGCTGATTTTGCTGGTCATGATTCGGCCGTCGGAGTGGCCCAGTGAGAGAAACATCATCATCTCGGACAGGGAACCCACCTCGCAGACACAGACGTCACAACAATAGCCATTGTCTGCTTCAACGCAGTGAGCTGGGGCTACGAGGAAATTGTTCTCATCGTCGGCGCAGCAGGTGCTTGACACCGTCGCTCGTGGCCATGGCCATGACCCACCACGGCGGGCATCGTTCCTGTAGATAAGGTACACAGCATCTCGTTGCAAATGAGCGAGGCGGCAGCTTCTCATCTCTGCCCTGTCAGTACTTCCCACTTTGATCCTCGCCGTCAAGCGCCACAATCGGCCAACCAGACCCGTTTCGCTCAACCATCGAAAACCTTCGTCTTGACTATACATGTACACTCGACCCTTTTAGCCGTGCCTTTGCAACGGGAATGTAGCTTCCAATGGATGATATGGCTCTCTCTCTCGAATCGACCAAGGCTTGCCGAATGCAGGCGGCAGCAACAATGCACCACAAATGACGAATCCTGGTGTGGCTCATCATCCACCTCACTCACCACAACGCCGACACAAGACGACGACCGTTGCTGCGCCCACGAATCGGGCGTGGCATGACGGATAGATCAGCGCGACAGATGCCTCGTCGCTAGGGGGTGCAGATACCCGAGTCAGTGGGAGCAGAAGAGACTTTCCGCGTACGCCTCCTCCGCCTCCACCGCTGGTTCCATCCACTCGCGGTACACGACCGACCACACAACTTGCTTGTCTCTCCATTTTCAAGCCTCGTCGCGGAGGCCAAGCTTCGACATCGCCAAGTTGCCAGGCCGAGCATCAATGGCAAACGAGGATGGGGAAACCCCCGTCCCAATGGCTTTTTCCATCCCAACCCCACTGCTACGTGATGTGACCCCTTTCTACGTACGACCTCAACTCGCCCCAATCCCCCTCCTCAGCTCTGTGTGTGTTCTCCCCCGGTGGTTTATAGTGAGCGACAGGCCTGAAGTGGGTTAGCAGTGTACCATGAAACCACGCTAACAGGGCCATCCTGGTCCAATGCCTGCTCCAATAAGGGCACGTATTCACTGGGCTTCCGTCCCTCCATCTCCCAATCTCTTCGAGCTCGCGCTTCTCCACTGGGCTGGCTGGCCCTCGTCCCCTTTGGCTGTAATTACAGAACACTGGGGCGAGGCACTGCACTGGCGAGGCTGTGAAGTCGAAGGAAGCGCTTTGTCTCTGCATCAAGATGTAGAGGCCAGTCGTCGCGAGGACAGAGACAAATGTGACTGGTTTCGTTGGTCAGTTGACATCTTGTTTTCAATGGGGACGGTGGTCTGATCAGAATTCCAATCCCACGTTTCCCGGCGCAATAAGCTTCAACGGCTGGCCAGAAAAGAAGCTTAAATATCTGACATCCTGGTTCGCCGAGGAAAAGCCCAGCCATCACACTGGATGATGGCCCCCCGCCCAGGTGTGCCGTATTGCCGTGCTACGGATCAACCGGGGGGGGGGGGGTAAGCGCTGGGCGATCGAAGTCCTTGGGTTGACCTACCAAGAAAGAAAAAGAAAAAAAGAAAGAAAAAAAAAAGAGAAAAGACACACTAAAGGAAGCTTTTCGACAACCTTGTATTGTCTCTGATTTTCTCGTGACGCTGATACCAAGCCATGGTTTCTTGGAAAGGCACTTCCAGCGCGCGCTGACTGGGGGCAACAGCACTTTCGCTACTGGGCCATGATGGCACTGTCCATGTGGTGTTTGTCCGACTCTCCCACCTTAGATCGTTATCCTCCGGCGTCGGAAGCTATTCCCAAACGCCAATTCGCCGTCGGCGGCTCGTCACGACGTTCTGCCGAGCCCGTCGTGACTCGTGAACCGCCGTGTGATGACAGAGTTTCAAACTATCGTGTCATTTACTTAACTTTGCCCGGCCCCGGCCAAAAGCCAGAGGAATATCAAATTGGCTGCCATGCACGGGAAAAGCACCCTCAAGCTGATCCAGGAATATGTTTTCTTGAATTTATTGCTTGTTCGTCGTCTCTGAGAGTCGAAAGTCTATGTTGAGGTCGGTATCTACATGCGTGGTTCTGCGGTTGCATGCCGGCCAAGGGCGGCACTCCTTTCGAGCCATACGCCGCGCGCCACCCATGTTTGGCCGTCGATGCGTGGCGGATCAGGAAGGAGTCCGGGTGAACCAAAGCGTCTGTCTATCATCAAAGTCGAAAACGCTTGATCATACAAAAAAAAAAAACATGTAGAAAAAAAAAAAGAAATTAGAAAAAGAACGCTCATGCCGTCCATAAGTCTCTATGATCCTCATTCGCCGCCCGCCTTCTTCATGTCGCGGCCGACGCCGGCCTCGAGCTTCCACACGCCGTTGCACAGAAGCCTGCCATCCTTGTCCGTCTCCCAGAAGATGTCGGGAATGGTCGTGTAGTGGGGGCGCGGGTAGCCAGGCTTGTCGTTGTCGTCGCGGAAATCGTGGTTGTCGATGAGGGGCGCGTCGATGAGGCCGTTCTTGTCAAAGACGGCGGCGACCATGAGCCACTCGTCGTCCTTCTTCAGCTGGTGGATGGCGAGGGCCTCCTTGCCGGCGAGGGCGTGCCAGGGCGACGTGACGTCGGTGCCGTTGCGGGCCCAGGGGGAGTCCTCGCCGCGGCGCGTGTCCTTCTTGTCGAACTCGAACTTTTCCTGCTCGTTCAACACGGCCATGGTAACCTTCTGCTTGCCCTTCATCAGGAGCCAGGCCATGGTGACGTCCTCGCCGGCGATGACGTGGAACTCGTCCTGCAGCACGGGCAGCAGCTCGACAATGTCCCAGGTCACGGTGTAGATGGCGCCATGCGGGAAGGACGTCTTGTGGTGCGAGTCGTAGTAGAACTGGCCGATGACGGTGTAGTCGACGGTCGAGGCGAGCGTCGTGTTGCCGGCCTGGGCCTCGAGCCGCGGCAGGATCTGGCGGTCGTAGTAGCCGCGGGCGTTGACCCAGAGGTCCGTGTCCATCTTGGAGACAAACTCGTACTTGCGCGGGCTCTTCTCGACGAGCCAGCGGTAAAACTCAATCGTCTTGACCGTGTTGGCGGTAAAGTCGTCTTCCTGCAGGTGGTCGAGCACGATGAGGTCGCCGTAGGTGCGGTTCTCCTGGCGGATGACGTCCATCCAGCGAGGGCCCGGGTTCGAGATGACGAAGCGCTGGTCCATGGGCACGTCCTTGTAGAGCTTCATCCACGTGTAGCGGATGAGCATCCTCCTCTTGAGATCCCAGGCCGAGCAGATGACGGCGCCGAGCCACGGGCGCTGGTGGCCGTCGTCGTGGGGCGGGTTGTCCATGGGCGAGTAGGGGAACTTTTCGAGCTTGTACTTGGGGTCACGGCGGATGCCGTCGGAGGCGTGGACACCGTGGACGAGGGCGTCCATGTCGGGGGGCACCCATTCGCGGAGCTCGCCCTCGGCGAGGACGACGGACGTGTCGGGGTAGGGCGGCGGCGGCTTGACCTTGCCCGTCTTGGAGTAGAGGGGAGGCAGACGGGTGCTGCTGTGCAGGTGCATGCCCAGCAGGATGAGGGTCACGGCGACGAAGCTGCTGAGCATGATCCAGTATCGCGTCGTCATCATGCGGGAGCGAGCGACGGATGCGCCGCGCATGCTCTCGTAGATCCAGGATCGCCTGGCCGCCATGACTGTCGACTGTTGGCAGACCGCGTGTGGTCCGACTCGAAGGACCGAACGAACAAACGAGTAAAAGAGTGTGTGGTATGTTGCAGGTCTGGCTGCGTCCGGCAGTCAAGCAGACAAACAGAAACAACGTGGCAAGGAGGCGCGAGGGAGGCAGACAGCAGACAGCAGGCAGCGGCGGGGAGGAGGGGGGGGGGGATACACAGCAATAAAAGCAGACGGATTCGTGAGCGAGCCTTTGAGTTTTTGCCCCGTGCCGCCCCCTGAGCAGAGTGGCCCACGGGTAATCTGCCAAGTGCAGGCGCCAGTGGAAGGATCGGGTGGAAAGGCCCCACTCTCGTATCCATCGAAGAAGGCTTGTCACTAGCCCCGACCTCTTCTGGTTGGTCCTTATCATTCCAGGGCTGAACTGAGGCCCCCCTTCAGCGCACCCTCCGCTGTATTCGCTGCCTGGTGCCGCCCGAAGCATCTCTATAAAAGCATCTCTATAATTGGCATTCAGATCGGACCCTGCAGCCGAACAGCGCCCGAATGCCCGGATAAGGCGGCGGCAGCCGAAGCGAAGGAGCAGAGGCACCAGCCGAAGGAGCAGAGGCACCAGCCGAAGGAGCAGAGGCACCAGCTGCTTGCTACCTGGCGCCATATCGCTGCCGTCGCTCGCCATCGTGCGCCACAGGATCGTTTTAGTGTTTGCCATGTACCTAGGTCCCTGGGCAAGGTCGTCAAGGGAGGGTGAAGGTTCGTTCCACAACATCATGGCATCCCGGCCTACCGGTGCAGGTGGGACGAGCTACCATGTAGCCACTCAGGGTCCGAAACCCACCACGAGCCTGCTGCCGAGCGAACCCTTTCCTTCTTGTTATTCACGTTCCACGCGGCAGAGGAAAAAGCCGGCGGGCAGAACGGTGTACCATGTACATGTACACGGTATACCTGTCGAGAGTGGTCCGAGCTGCTCCCTTCCCATTTTCTACGCTGCACCCCAATACATATACGTCCCGCAGCTACCGCTCTCATGCCTGCCGCTACAAGACGAAGCGGGCCTGCTCCATACCTCTACCTCTACCAGCGCTTAGGGAACAAAGACGGCCATTTCCCTGAGACATCACGACGTAACTTTGCAATGCGCTCGAGGCCAGGTTGGTGAGACGCAAGCTCTGTGAAGCTACTCCTGTGGCGGTGCAGTCTACTCGACAATTGCCTCTTTTCACAGTGTACGGACCCGGTTCAAGCTTCCGTCATGCATTCCGTGTCACTCCATCGCATGCATCTCCCAATCGCAGTGCCAACCAACCCCGTTACACTTGAGCCAGCAACATGATGCGATCGATCGAGTCCGAAGGCTCATCAGCAGTGAGGACGAGCCACCACGGCTTCAATCTCCACCAGAAAGTTGCCTGGCAGCTTGCCCGCTTGAATGGTCGTTCGTGCCGGCTTCGGGTTGGGCAGCAGCTTGCCGTACACGCCGTTCATCGCAGCAAAATCGTCCATGTTGGCGAGGAACACCGTCGTTTTGATGGCCATGTCCCACGACGTGCCCGCTTCCTCCAGAATGATCCCAATATTATTGATGACAGCAGCCTGCTGTTCGTCAGTCGTCGAAGCGTAGAGAGGACAACAACATGTGATTGGTGACGTACCGTCTGGGCCTCGATGCCCTCGGGGATCGTGCCATTGACAGAGGGGATCGTGCCACTGGTGTAGACAATATCCTTGGTCATGACACCACCGGCTGGACAGAGTCAGTAACTGACGAGCTCTGTTGGGACCAAATTTAGACAAACGTACACAAGATGGGGCCCTGAGATCCAAGGTGCGTGATGGGAGACTTGGATCGAGACTGAAGAAGTGTTGAAGGTGCAGCAAAGGCCGACGCAGCAGCAACGAGAAGCAACGTTGCTGTCTTGAGAATCGCCATTCCGAACATTTCGACTTGTTTTTAGTCTTGATATGCGCCAAACGTAATAGTAGTATGATGCAATTGACAATTTCAATTTTTGCTGACGTACGAATGACAATCTCTGCGATGCTTGCCTCAAGTCCTTACTGAAGGTGACGTGCTCGTTTAAATACCATCCTCGCTTTTTTTTTTGTCTATAGTAAGCTTGCCAGTCTATGAGCTCCGATCGGAGACGTCGCCAACCCTGCATTCTGAAGACGATGTTGCGATCGCCAACCTCGTACAATCGTTATCAGCTTTGCCAAGAAAGTTGGCGGCCTTGATTCCCACCGAACCCCGCGCCCTGGCGCAAAGCGCAAGGCGAAGGCATCGCGCCCTTCGCCGACATGATTCTTTCCCACTTTTGTGCATTAATCTCTCAATCTAGAAGGTGACTTATCTGATAATTGTCCGGAGTCTGAAGCCTACAGAACTGCTGAATCATCAGCCTACCGTGGCATCCGTCGGATCGCCGCGTTTGGCTTCCAACTCGGGGGGCTCCTAGCCCAACCCACAATTAACAGCTGAGCCGAGATGTCCCAGAGACGGTAGTTCCAACCCCTCGGGTCCGTTATCTTTGCGCATAGTCTGCTGGATCCGAATCGATTGAACAGTCTCGCCGATGACCCCGCGGGGGGGAGGAACACTCACTCCGGCTGTGCCGTGACTCGAACCATTTTGCTATCGCTCCAGTCTCCAACCTGGACATCTCAAGAAGCGGTATGTCGATGAATCATCTGAATGACACGACGTCATGACCAATGCAGATCAGGTATGACTTCTTTCTATCGCGACTTTTCTGTTCAGACATTCTGCTCGAGATGTCGTAGCTCAGTCACTGACTCGGTCCGTCAACCCACAAGGCCCGGACTCTAGACTCAGCGAATCGAAGTAGCTCTCCCCACACAAGGCTCTGCGAGGCTGGACGATATTGATGAACCTCACTTAGCTCTGCGAATTATGAGAGCGGTGCTGCCATCATCTACGAGACGGACGAGGCAGCAAGCACCAGTTGAAACCTGAACCAGCACGTGGCGCCACGTGCTGTGACGTCCGTTACCTCTTTTCTCCTTCCCGATGGAGATACCGGGTAATTCCATGGCTACCCCGCGTTCCAAGCAGGCGACTAGACACAGACGATCATCCTGATAGGAAAACGTGGTGGTTTGTCTTTATCGCTGCAAGTGCCTCTTGGTGTTATCGCTGCATGGATCCTTCGAGTATACCCGACCAATGGTGAGAGTAATCTTTATGATAAGCCTCACCGACACAAACCGAGGCTTGGGAAAAAACATCAGGGTTGAAAATAAGGCTTGTCAAAATTCGTAGTCATACCGAGATCGGAACTTATCTCATAACGGCCAACCTCGTGGCGTGTCGGAGCGGAGCCGACCAACCTCCGTCCGACGTGATCCTTCTCAGCCCAGCGATTGCAACATCTGCATTAGCCTTGCGGACTACTCGCGGTAGCAAGATGCCAAACTCGCAGATTATGATTAAGAGCTGCTTTGTGGCGGCCAAAGGTCGTAAGCATGGTCGCCGGGCATCGGTCACAGACAACGATATAAGACATCATTGTCGGCGCGCTTCCATGATATTAGAAGTTGGTCGATATCCTCATTTGTTCCAATTTCCCACCAACAGCTCAAACGATATTCAAAATGTTGAGCCCTCAAGCCACCTCGATCCTGGTTCTCGCCCTCAGCAGCAGGGTCCTGTCAAGTCCAGCCTTCATATCTCAAGACACCATCCGCTTCCATGGTCTCGACAGTGTCTCGTCAGAGTCAGTGCATAATATCCATGTCACCTATGAGGACAACTTTCCGCACGGCAATGTTCAAATTGTGTACGGCGAATGTAATTCCAAGAGCACCAACCACTATCAACATGAAGTGGCCTCTCTGTTCACGAGACGGGAGGCTGCCCCAGACCGTCTGGTATGGGTCGTTCCCCATGATGTCAGCCAGGAAGGTTGTCTTCATGCCTACTCTGAGGGCCGTCTGCTTGGTCGTTCCGAGCCTATCAGGTTCTCTGATCCGCTTCGAAAGCGCCAGATCCTACACGAGACGGGCGATTCCAACGGGCTTTGGTTCAACGGCGTCAAGTACTTGAACTCCACCAAGAAGGCCTCTCTGTCTACAGCCGAAGCCAAGAACAAGAAGATCGCCATCGTCGGAGGTGGAATGGCTGGACTCATGACGAGTCTGCTCCTGACCTCAGTTGGCATCACTGACTGGCATATTATTGAGTCTACCGCCCGCGTAGGCGGCCGTGTTCGCACCAAGTACCTCAACGGCACTGGACCCAACGACTACCAATACCAGGAGATGGGCCCCATGCGATTCCCCGTGTCAGTTAAATACACAGACACCAACGAGACCCTCGACATTCAGGACCACAAGATGGTCTTCCAGCTGGCCGATGTGCTCAATGAGATGAATGGCGAAGACTCGGATTTGGCCGTCAAGTTCATCCCCTGGATCCAGAGCAGCCCCAACACGCCAACTAACTCACGCGGATACCGCCTACCGAACGGTCAGATTCCCAGCAGTGCGCAGGCTGCTGCCAGCCCTGACATGATCCCCAAGGCGGCCAATGCCTCTGACCCTGAAGGTGCCGAGCTGGGCGGCAAGTTCCTCGAACGCCTGCTTGACATGTCACCGGAGCGCATGCGCAACATTTCCACGAACGTGTTCCAAGCCCACCGCGACGCCATCGACAGGGGCCTCTTCAGCTGGTCCGAGGCCGCCTACCTCAAGTACCAGCTTGGCCTGGATGAAGACACTGTCGACTTTGTCGGCGGTTCAGGCAACTCGCCCATGTGGGGTGACTGGTATGACAATGTCTACTTCTCGGCCACCACCTGGCGCACTATTGACAAGGGCCTTGACTCGCTCCCTCGGGCTTTCGCGCCTCATGTCGAGGGAAAGATCACGTACGGCCGAAAGATTGACGGGCTTCAGTACAACGAGACGACGTCCAAGGTGGCGCTCACCTGGAGAGAAAGCCCCCTTGACAGGGAGCCCAAGAGTGACGAGTATGACTATGCAGTCGTGGCCGTTCCATTCTCCAAGGTCAGGCTCTGGAGGACTCCCACCTATTCCAGCCTGCTTTCGAGGGCCATCTCCACTTTGAATTACGCCCAGTCTTGCAAGGTTGCTCTGCACTACGAGACCCGCTTCTGGGAGCACCAGGAGAACCCCATCTTCGGAGGCTGCGGGTCAACCGATATCCCCGGAGTCGGCTCCGTCTGCTACCCCGCGTACAAGATCAACTCCACCGGGCCCGGTGTCATCCTTGGCTCCTATACTTCGGGCACGGCAGCGCGCTCCGTCGCTGCTCTCAGTGAAGAGGACCACGTTGCCCTTATCCAGCGCGCCATGGTGGAGGTCCATGGCAAAATCGCCAACGAGCAGTGGACCGGAGCCTACGATCGTCAGTGCTGGGAGGTGGACGAGCACCAGGCTGGCGCATGGGCGTCCCCTACCGTCGGCCAGCAGGAGCTGTTCATTCCTGCGTACCACAAGACCGAGATGAACACCATCTTCGTCGGTGAGCACACTAGCATAACGCATGCCTGGATCTTTTCAGCTCTCGAATCTGCTGTGCGGGGAACCACGCAGCTACTCTTGGATCTCGGCCTTGTCGATGAGGCGAAGGAGATTGTTGACACCTGGATGGCGCGCTGGATCACGGTATAGAGAAGAGTCTCGGCATTCTGGAAGCTAGAGCCCACGTGGTAACGAAAATGGCATACACGTCATGGCATCTGTATGAAGGAGGAGTAGATATAGAGATACTGTTGGCCAGAGTAGTGAAGGTCATCGTGGGGCACCGACTGGAGATGCTCAGAATATAATTGCTATTTACTTGATCGGTTGAACGTTTTCAGTCCATCGCTATTTGATGTTAATTGTGTAAAAGATATCATACCCATGGCTTGAACAACCAGCACTATGCACTAACGAGTGAAGGTTTTCAAACCATACAGTAGTCGCCGAATGAGGAAAGGGTTAGACTTGACGATTAAGATGACATTGTTCATTATCATGACTGGGTATTGAAATCCCTGCATATTTGCTTAAGCGTTCTGCTTGATGGCAGTCTTCACATATTCCTCCAGCTCCTGCCCAGAGAGACCCTTGAGACCAAGAACCTCATTGTCGACATTCTGGAAGTTAGGGCCGTACGACTCGTTGGTGGCGCCCTGCAGAATGTAGTTGAACCAGACCCAACCGTCAAAGACACCCTTGCCGAGAGCTTCGTCCGCCTTGGCCTTGAGCTCGTTGCTGTCGACTTCGGGGGTGCTCCAGCTGCCTGGGATAGCCTCTTGCGCCCACTCGGCAATCTGGCTGTAGGAGACCTTGGCGTCCTCGATGCGCACGCTGCGGTTCGCCGTTGCCTCGGGGTTCTTCAGGACTCCGACAACAGCCTTGCCGACCGTCTCCAGGCGGGTGACGCTAATAGCCAGCTTGCCTCCGTTGTACTGGTTGACAGTCTTCTCCTTGACGTTGAGCAGGCTGCCGTAGGTGATGCCCCAGTCGAGGAAGAGGTTGTTGTAGACGAATGTGTAGGAGAGAGGGGTGTTCTTGGCCTTCTCAACGAGGTAGTCTTCCGTCTTGACCTTCTCGGCGAAGACAGGAAGCTGGCGCGCCAGGGCATTCTGCTGATCGCAGCCAAAGTTGGACGGGATGAAGCGCTGGACGCCGGCCTCGACCGACGCGTCAACAAGGCTGCGCTGGGCGTCACCCACCGCGGGGGCGCCGAGGGTGGAGACGACGGCGTCGATACCAGCTAGCGCGGACTTCAGGGAGGCGGGGTCGTTGTAGTCGACGACAGCCTCCTTAACCTTGTCCGCGAAGCCTGCAGGCACCTTGCCGGCAGCTCTGGTGAGGACGGTCACGTTGAAGCCAGCGTTGACGAGCTCTGTGAGGACAGGCTCACCGAGAGCACCGACGGCCTATGATGAACACTGGTTAGAAGCTGAGACGACCATCTGCTGAGAGGAGAAACTTACGCCGGCGTGAGCGACATTCTTGATGGCAGGCATATTGAGCAGACTGAGTAGAAAGGATTCTGGGTATCACTGATGGAGGAGCCGGATAAGCTGAATGAAGAAGCTCGTTTCTGAGGTATCGAAGTGAGTATGATGATCGTGAGGCCAATTGAGTTTGGTGAATGGATGGGTTGACTCCTAATATAGGCATTCACTCTCTTCCTCGGGCTGGACTTGGGAAAGGGGAATGGAGTCCGGGATCAAATCTCGTCATGTAAGCAGCTAATGGCGACGTGACTTATGCTCAAACTGTGCTGAAATGTCAACTGCCGATCTGGGTCCAGCCCGTCTTCGTCGGCATCTCCATTTGACGAGGGAATCCTAAGACAAGGCCGGTATGGCGTGTCAAGCTTCGCTCGGCTTCAAATCCGGGACGCCCCACCTATGTATGTGCCTGATGAGAGCATCAGTCACTGTCGGAAGATTTTAAATCCCACCTGTTTTATTATTACGAGTTCTACTGGTAGATTCTTAGGCCTACCAATGCAGGAGAAGGCGGGGCAGCCGCCGTCTGTTTGGTCAATGGACATTCCGAGCTTGACCATGGCTTCGTTCCGATGGATTTGACAGCAAGAGCCCCATTTGATTATCAACACCAAGCGTGCCCCACTTGGTTGGCGTGTCGGGTTCGGAGTCAAACTGGTCCCGGGGATTTACGAAGATGGAGCGTGACGCGAGACGATGGTGTGAGTAGCAATTGCGATGGCAGGAGGCGGGAGGCGCGACCTCTAAAGATCTCTCTGATCCAGCTGTCCGTATAAAAGAGATTTCTTGGCATGCAAGGGGAATGGCGGGAGGTCTCACAAGGCTACATGGGTCAATCCCCACGACGCCAATCTGTACTACTTACCTGCCTTACCATCCACCAAGATATTTTTCGCTTGAGTAGTAGTCGCCATGCATCGTTCCTTGTGGTCGTTCTCCTTGAGCGCTAGCCTTGCGCTCTCCTCCTGCCTTCCGAAAGGTTGTCCTGGGGTCAAAGGCGATCTCACCATCGATTCTTTCCAGCTATACCCAGAAAATACCGATTTTGATGCCAAGCGCTGTGTGGCGTACTTCAGGTGGGTAATACCTCAGTAAACTAGCCCCGTGCTACCCCTGTTGACCTCACAATCAGTGTCCTCTACAACGCCACTGTTGCAGTATACGACCCTAGCAAGAATGCTGTCGTTAAGACCCTCGCAATCCCTGGATTGAGTGGAAACCCTCTCCTGCACTCGAGTGGTGTTCAGGTCGATCCTCGGGATCGGCTCTCTATCGTGATTGACGCCGGCTCATCCTTCGACACCGGAGGCCAAAACATTTCGGGCGACAACTTTCTCGTCAAATACGGTCTCAAGGATGACCGGGTCCTTTGGAGAACGAATCTTACAGCTGTCACAGATGGTGTGTACAGTGGGTACCAGGACATTGAGCACGATGAGCTGGGTAATACCTTTGTGCTCGGCACTTTCCCAAGCAGCATCATCCGCGTTAGCGCCGATGGAAAGCAGGCCACGCCTTGGTACCTTGCAACCCCGCCGGATCACACGGTCCACGGCTACAGTGGCATCGTCAACATCGGCAAGAGTCTGATAGTCAGCGACAATACGGATGGGCAGCTCTACAAGTTTGACATTCGCGCTCAAAAGGGCACTCCCGTCAGAATCCCACTGTCGTCTGGGGACGGCGCTATCGGTCTGAATCTCGACGGCGCCTACCTGCCTCCTCGTTACTCGGACAAGGTTCTTCTGATCTCCGACAACGTCAACGGAACCTATGTTCTCCGCTCATCGGATGGCAAGTGGAACACTGCCGAGAACCTTGGAGTGATTCCCAACAGTCTTCTCTCCGAGGGCGGTACTACCGTGGCCTCTCTTCAGATTGGCGAGTCAATCTACACCGTCACCGAGTTCTTTGGGGATGCGCGGGTGCCAGGCACTCTTGCTGGAAACAGGACGAGCTTTCCCCTGGTTGACATTACGTCTCAGGTACAGAGCTTGCTCAAGTAGTTCGTCATCTGCGAATCGTTCAATTCGCCCACTCGAGGAGACACGATGGGCAGGGTTGCGTGTACGCGGGCTTCGGTGTTCTTTTACGGCCGTGTACATGAACTGTCACTTGGAACATCTATGGACACATCTCGCCACGCCAGTAGACCTGTGCAACTCTGGCTCGCACATAAGAGCAATTGGCGATCGTTCTTACCTAAGAAAAGTAATTGGTTGAGATTGGAGATTAATATAGTCACTTCTCCAATCATGACAAGCTCGTCTCGCAAAGACACGTGATGTAAGCCAACCGACGTCAAGGGAGAGCTTTGAACATGATGAGGAAGTGAATCCCTCCCTTGAGGAACCTATGATCAACCCCAGCCAACTCATCCAATCCACAACGGCTGTCGAACCTTTGCTCAGCAACAATGACATGCACCGACGGACGCTGTCGTAAGTCTCCAGTGTGGCAGCCGTCGCTTAGAGTCATCTTCAAAACTCCTGGTAAGCGGGGCACTGGCCGTGTCATGTTTAGCTGCGGAGTGAAAGCGACCAAGACAGCTAGAATGAGCATAACATTGACAACTTGAATGACAAACTTCCCGTTTTTGGGCGCATGATTATGGAAACTGAAAATTGGGAAGGCGTGCGTAAGGCTTTATGGACGGAGAGTACATGGTTGTGTCCTCTTATTCTTTTCTTGTTTCAGGCATCCCAGTGTCGTGCGCGAGCTTTCAACATTTTGTCCGTGAAGAAATTTCCAGTCCTCACCTCTGGCAAAATGGCACTAAAGAGAAAACCTATTCTACCTTTCCTCTATAGATGACTTGCTTTATGGGAGCAAATGTGGCTGTCGCCTCAAACTCTAAAAGGGCGATGCTCGTGCACGTTCAGAACTGAGCGCAGTTCTTGCAAGCGATGTTGAGGACATGGGCTGCTTTTTTTCATCGCACCAGAATGCTGTCATCGCGAGGGATTCTGATAGAAAAAAGAATAAGTTGACGAGTTATCAAAGAAACCCCCAGTGCACCTGCTCAATAATCGTGAGCAAGCCAACCTGCCAAAGAAATGAACGACAAGCGCGTCGCGTATCGGTGAATGCGCAGACAACTCACCAAAAGACAAACAATAGACAAACCGCTCCTGCCGTTGTGTGAAGAAATGCAGCTACATAGAAAATTGTTTGTGCCTGGATTTCCATGCACTTACTAAACTCGCAACCCAGACTCTTCACCTCCTACAGCCGGCACCCTCAATCCGTCAACACAACCGCTGGCGTTATCAGCATCAGCATCACCGCCATAACACTAAAACACGCCGAATTCGCCATTGGAAGATGCCTAAGCAGAATGCTGGCTCCAGCAAGGGCTCTGCCCAGAGCAAAGACTTAGGCTCGCATGTCGTCCAGATTGAACCCGACGCCGAGTACATGCGGTTCCTCACCAGGCTGACCTCAAGCAGCCCTGAGCTGAAGAAAGGAGGCTATATCATAAAGCAGCTCTCAATTAATGATCTCGAGGCTAAAAATCGCTGCCAGCGGTGCGATTTACGTTGTGAGTTTTCATCTGTCTTCTGTGCCTTCCTTCCCTATGCGTCTTTGGATGGCGTGGGTCTTTTCGTGTCACGGAATACCACGAAACGCCACGAAATGCAGCATACCATCGACTTCCGTATCGTGGAGTCTCTTTCCCGAAAGGGTCGAGCTAATTTCTTTATGACGAAAACCAGGCGTCTGCAAGAAGCCCATTGCCGTCACCGTTTCTGTTGCTCAGAATGTGGCTGACACCCTTCCCAACGTTCGCGTCTTCGACGCCGCTGTCAGCGGCAGTACTGGTAGCAAGGGACGGTCTGCTCCTCGAAAGAAGGAAAGCACTCGCGTCAAGTCGTGCAGCGACAACACCAGCAAGAGCTCTGCCAGACTCAGCACCAAAGCTCTCGGAAAGCAGATTGCTCAGGATATCGATGAACACATGAAGGAACACCAGGGACAGAGCAAGTTCAGATGTAACTGGCATAGCGGCGAGATCAAGAACAAGGTCAGTGACGTTGTCCGTGAGCAATCTTTGTCCTCTTTTGTCAAAGCGAAAGAAACCCGTACCCGCTTGGTAATGGCCTATGACAATGTGCAGACGCTGATAATACTTTAAGGTCTGGACTTGCTGCAATCAGCATGTCTCCCAGCCCGGCTGCATGCACGAGAACGAGCATCTTCCCCGCGAGTTCAGCCTCAAGGAGATGACCCTCCGCTTCCAGTGCTACAACACCCCGCGTGCCCACGAGTACTTTCGCAGCCCGAAGCACATCCGCAGCGCCGTCGCTCTCGATTGCGAGATGGGCACTGCCTTTGACAACGAACCCCAGCTCGTTCGCGTCACGCTCATTGACTACTTCACCGCCGAGGTCCTTGTCAACAATCTCGTCTGGCCCGATGTCAACATGGCCCACCTCAACACCCAGTATTCGGGCGTCACCTGGCCGCAGCTGAAGCAGGCCCAGCGCGATGGCATCTGCATCATGGGAACCGGTATTGCTCGCCTCCAGATTCTCAAGTATATCGGACCTCAGACCATTGTCGTCGTCCATGGTGGCGGCTCGGATCTGTCTGCCCTCAATTGGATCCACCCCATCATCGTCGACTCGCACCTCGTCGAAGCTGCTTACCAGAAGGCCAAGCAGGAGCAGGAAGAGGCCGACCGCGAGTCTGCCGAGGCCGAGCGTCAGTGGCTCGAGGGTGGCCCTGGCCCATCCGCTGATGCCGAAAAGATTGACGAGAAGAAGGAGAAGAAGCAACAGTCGTCGCAGCGTGGCAAGCTCACCCTCAAGAGCCTGGCTCAGGAGAGACTCGGCCGCCAGATTCAGATGGGTCGCGGACACGACAGCCTTGAAGACGCTATGGCCGCTCGGGACCTTGTGCACTGGCATGTGCTGCGTCTTCTTGAGCAAGCTATGGAAGATGCTGCTGGTGACGTCTAAAAGTGGTGAGATTGATAACAGTGCACTGCGCAGGCATGAAGCCTGGTCGCTTCTTACAGTGGAAGTGCAGTGCTTTGCATGATTGTGGAGGCTTGGTGCTCAGACCAAGCTGGATTGAAAGTCAGGTCGAGATAGCTTGGAGGGCTTGCACTTTGCCCCATAGGCTTTGTTTACCTTCAGTCAGTCAGCATCGACGACGAGAGGCAGGTCTATCAGCCCGGGAAGCGTGCTAGGCGGCCTCGTTCGTAGGTTGGAACCTGAATTGGAATCTGACTGATCCATCATTGTCTTTGCAAGTGATTTGACACACCATATGTCTGCAATCTTCACGTCAGTCATGTTGGGGAAAATGATATGATCTGCAAGTAGGCACATCCATCACAACATCAAAAGTGGCCCCATTCGCCCAGAAGCCAAGACGGAAACTTGCCCACTTTTACCATGTGTCATGGTGTCCGAAGACCTTGAAAAGGACTTTGAAGAGTCTGCTCGCTGTATCACCTTCCCATGGCAGCCATGGCAGCTGTGAGGGTGGGCAGAGCTTTCGTTAGTCACATCCACCGCTAGCTTGAGTGTTGGTCGTGCGTGGGGGCATCTCTTTTCAAGCACAGTGATGGACTGAAGATTGGATCCCTGGGCATGATGACTTGGCTGAGGACTAAAGCTTCGTATTCTGTAGCAATCATTATCCCGCAGCCATGAACCGAGTCAGAATCGCCAACCGCCGAAGCTAGACGGGTCCATGTGTAGACCGAAGCGAAACTCTTGTCTGTCGGGATTGAAAGGATCAGAACTAGTTAGAGATAAAACGATCGACACGACCTGTTGGCTGCTCAAAAGGCCGGTGGCAACGAGGCTGGCCGGCTGAATAGATGAGCAGGCTCATTTCCATCAAGGTCGACTCGTATGGGGGCCGCAACAAGGGAGGGGGGGGGGGGGGCGAGGTCCGTTATGAGGAGTTTTCTCCCAACCGCCGACAGTGACCAGAGGCAGAATGACGACAAGCTAGACCGAGCAGAAGTCGGCATCGGTGTGGTGGTTGGTGGATGGACCATGTCCGAAAGCGGGAAGAAACCCTCCATCCTCCTCGTGAGGACCCTGATGGCCGGATGGGGAGACGGACTGGAGCCACTGCCAAGACCACCCGCCCCCTCCAGCTTGAGGGCCCTGAGTACTCATTCCCGGTCGATTTGGTAGCTGAGTTGAACGGGTGGCAAGGACGCAATGCCTTCCTTCGAAGCATGAGGCGGCATATGAGCCAATAGGACTCGGGCGGGCTCATCTGTGCAACCAGGCAGTTACTTGCTCACGCCTCAATTCCAATGTCCCTGTCCCGGACCGGGGCCGACGCACATCGCATCGGGGAATCGAGGCGCTTCGTTCAGGTGCCAAGCAACACGCCCGCATTGTGACTGCAAGGTCTCATCCTGGCACAAGACGTTGGCACCACTCTCAGTACGGCCCGGCGCCGTCGAGCCACAGCTCGTGCCATAAGCGTACCTTGAATATAAAGCTCTGGCGCACTCGGTGCCTCTTCTGGTTGACTCTCTTGCTTCTCACCTTCACATTCGTTTCCCACCGAAGAGTCTGCATTCGCTTGTCCCTGTACAATCCATCGACAAAAGCCCATTCCACTTGATACTGATACCCTGCCACCATCAAAATGAAGGCTGCTCAGATCCTCGCCCTCATGGGCCTCGCTTCCGTCTCGGCTGCTCAGTCTCTGCCCCCCGCGCCCACCGAGTCCGTCGGTTGCGTGCCCCACGACGACCACTGGTGAGTTTGTCGCAGCCTCACAACAATTGTCTCACAGGGCATGCTGACTTTTCGCCAGGCACTGCGAGGGCCCTGCCCCCACCAACGCTGCCGTCGACTCGGCCGTCGCCTCGTCCGCCGCCGCCGTCACCACCACGACCGCCGCCGCCGAGGACCACGATCACGACCATGATCACGACCACGACCACGACCACGACCACGAGTCCCACGGCTCCGAGTCTCTCCACCCCTCGCTCCCTCCCTCTCCCACCGCCTCCACCGGCTGCGAACCCCACGGCGACCACTGGCACTGCGAGGCCGCTGTCGAGACGGGCGCCCAGGTGACCACCTCCGCCTCGGCTTCCGTGCACCCCGACCTCCCGCCTGCGCCCACCCAGTCCGTCGGCTGCGAGCCCCACGGCGACCACTGGCACTGCGAGGGCCCTGCCCCTGCTTCCAACGCCACCACCTCGTCTGCCGGCACCACCGGTGACGATGCTGCCGCCTCCTCCACCCCCTCCGACGTCACCGAGGCCGGTGCCGCCAACGTCGCCGCCGGCATGGGTGTCGTCGCCGTCGCCGCCCTGCTCGCCCTGTAAGCGCAAGACGAGGGGTCGGCGTGTCTTGCCTATTGTTTTGGGTCAGCAAAATACTGCAAATCGTGCAGCATGTAATGCGATGGGAATGAAAAACCGAGCCGAGGCTCTGGGGCAACGTTTGTCTTCTTCTTTTCTTGTAGGTCGAGATTGGTCTTGCCTTTTCTTCCTGTGAAGGCATTCTCGGCCTGTACATTACGGATCGACCAAATAGTAGAACCATAGAATGAATTGGGCGTGGCCCTTGCATGAACATGTCACGAGGCCGTGTGATGATAATGATGAGCCGTGATTACAGCCTCCCGCACCCCAAGCTGACGTGGTGGATTTGATCCACGCAACAAGATGCACCAGCGAATATGCCGGCAGCAGGGAGTATGGCCGTTGCAGACACAAGTGAGGCTATGAACATGCACAGCAAAGGTGATTTTTATGGACACGGTAGAGTATAGCCTTGCGAAGTGCGTCTTCAATCTCCTCACCCAGGCTCATTTGCTGCAGTGCCTTCAATACCCTCGCCCACGCTCATTTGCTGCAGTGCCCAACATGAACAGCGCCAGCCACGACCGCGTGGTTTCGGTTGACACGGCATCGTGTGACAGGGCACGAGTCGGGAGAATGCATGGCGAGTTAGGCTTCGGGATAAGCTTAAAAGTAGGGCGCAACTCTCTTTGCGCCGTAGTTTTTGGTTGCATTCGCGAACAAGGTGTCTCTCTCTCTCTCTGTTTGCCTGTCTCCTCGTCGGTTCTCATGACCAGCCACGGCCAGACCACCGGCTAAGCGAGGGCGGCCTCTGCCCGACTGCGTGGACAGGCCCTCGTGGTCGACCAACACCCATCTCGGTCACCCAGTCTCTGTCACCCAGGTCTCGGCGGCACACAGCACTGGCCGTCCTTCATCACGCAGGCGAGGGTCAGCAGGCGGTGGAAGAGGTGAGGTCGAATGTGGGGGTTGTGAGACTAGCGCGGCCATCCAGGTTCTCGGAAGGCGACGCGGGATTTAAGCTTGGCGGGCAGGAGTGGAGCCGCCGGCCGTGTGTTGGCTGCTCTTGCCGGATCCATCCATCTAGAGTTAAGGTTAATTAAGGTCAGTGGTATCTGTCTATCTGTTGGCTTCACACGGCCGCATTTGGAGAACCTCACACGATGGGATGAGTATGGAATGAGACGCTTCTACTGCTGCCTGTCCACGCTGTTGTTGCCCAAGGCACCTGACCTCAGATATTCTGAATGGATGCATGCCACCCCCCAGCGCAGGCAGTCAGCTCCATGACGCGCTTGCCATTTGCGCGCAAGAGGCTGGAGGTGGGACCTGCCAAGAGAAAAAGTAGGCCATCCGGGTCCTCAACCACGTCCAGATGGGCAACAGCGACCGACGAAAGTGGGATGTGGATCCAGATCGTGGCCATCAACGGTTGCCCCCCCCCCCCCCCCCCCTCGGCCCTCAACTCGAGCTCGAGCTCGAGATGCGCACACACTGACCTTTGCCTTTTGCTGCCTTGTCATGATTTTTTTTCTTTCACGCTGTTCTGGAAAACCCGGCGCCTTGGCACCATCCATCGCGGACTCGAGGCCGTCGGCCACATGCTGCGTGTCACCGTACCGTACCACCCACCGCAGCCCGCCCCGGCTCGATGGCAAACTCCGATCTCTCTCCTCTGTCTCTTCTCTTTTCCTCTTCTCTAGCTCACAGTCCCAGGTGCCAGACCAACAAACGAGCCTCAACGTCCACCGACAGGACCCTAGACTAGACCCTGACCCTAGACAGTCAGCCGCCGTCGACGCACCTCCTCTACCCCTTGTCCCTGTGAACGGTCTTGCCGATTCTGTTGCGTCCTGCCTCGATCTCGCTTCTTCCCTCGCACGAAAGCACCGAGGCCTCGAGACAGTCAAGCCCGCCCGTCTCCCCGCCCGCCCGCCGCCGCCGGCACACAACCCGTTGATCAATCTTTCTCTCCATCCTTCAAGCATCACTCCGCCCCAGCCTTGCTTGCGCTGCCCCCCCCCCCTCCTTTGACGTTGGTCCCTCATCCCTCATCCCGCGTCGACAACCGGTATCCATCAGGCCCATTGAACCCTCAAGGTGTTGGCGCCGTGAGAAACTCGACCATTGACTGTCCAGTCTTGGAGGAAAAAAAAACCCTGCCAACCATCATCGTCCCACTGACGGAGGACTCGCCGCTTGATACGACCTACTAAAGGATCCTCGCACCTGCTGAATCGCGCCTTACACTTTGCATCATCATCCGCACCTGCATTGCCCGACTGCAGACCGCCTGCCATTTCACGTGGAACACTGACCGCCTTGCCTCGCACCTCATCGTGAGAGCGCAGTCACCCCGTGTCTCTCGGTTCCCTATCTTATCTCCTCCTTCACTCTCCTCCTCCTCCTCCTCGTCTGCCTGTGCCCATTTTTCACGCGCCATGGCTCGACTTCATGTCTCGGCCCTCGCTGCCGCCGCTGGCCTCGTGGCTAGTGTTGCCGCCTCGGCACACGTTGTTGCTCGCGAGACACCAGGCCCCCGTGTAGTTGCGAGACAGGCTGCCGTTCCCGATGTGTCTGCCATCTCACAATGTGAGGTCGTCGCCAGCACACAGTAGGTTCAACAGGATGCCCTTGGAAGATGAAACTGTACTCATCTTCATCAGGTACTGCACCGGCGACAACACAGAGTTCCGCGTCGTCGCGACGCCGACCACTGGTGACCTTCCCAGCTCATACACCGGATGTCACGCTCATGCCACCGACCTGTAAGTCCTGCCTTCGCATCATACCATCTGGCTCGATGCTGATTTTGCGCCCCTCCCCCCAGGTACTGCTTCTATGAAGGTGGTGCAGAGGTCCAGGTTGTCCTGGCCAGTGCTACCGTTGCGCCGGAAGCTGAGGCATCCACCGCAGACGCGGCTCCGACTGTGTTGACGAGCTGTCACCCCCACGATGCCGCCGTCTACTGTATGCACGGCACCACCGAATACTCCATGGACACCACGGCAACGGCGACGCAGGACATCCCCGCCCAGTTTACCGACTGTCACTCTCACGGCACGGAGCTCTTCTGCGTCGACGAGGCTGGCGCCGATGTCCAGGCTGTGGCCGAGGGTCAAGAGGCCAGCGCCGACGAGAGTGCCAGCGGTGACCCGCAGGGTGAGAACTGCCACTTCCACGCCGGCGTCGAGCACTGCGTTGGCGCTGGTGAGAGCGAGAGCGGTGGCACACGATCCTGCGAGAGGGTCGACCGTGACTACGATATCCCCCTGCGTGTAGGCCTGCTCTTTGTCGTTCTCGTGACCAGCGCCATCGGTGTCTTTGGTCCCATTTTCCTCATGCGTGTGCTGCCGTCGAAGCTGCACGTCATCTTCCTCATCATCAAGCAGTTCGGCACCGGTGTCATCATCTCGACCGCCTTTGTCCACCTGTACACCCACGCGCAACTCATGTTTGCTAATCCCTGCCTGGGCTCGCTCGGCTTCGAGGGTACCACGTCCTCTATTGTCATGGCTGGCATCTTCCTCTCGTTCCTCGTCGAGTACATCGGCCAACGCATCGTCAAGAGGAAGCTGGCCGAAGGGCCAGATGCTAAATCCTGGTTCAGGCCAGAAACTGTGAGCATCATGGTGCTGGAGGCCGGAATTCTGTTCCACTCAATCCGTAGGTTGCTCGACGTCCAGAATCTTGCAGGACGTTTTACTCACACCGTGTAGTCATCGGTATCACCCTGGTCGTCACTGGTGACAGCTTCTTCCGTACGCTCTTCATCGTCATCATTTTCCACCAGATGTTTGAGGGCCTCGCCCTCGGCAGCCGCATTGCCGCTCTCGGCACTGTAGCCCCCGTTCACGCGGCCTCTGGCCATGGTCACAGCCACGGCCACGGGTCAACCCAAGTTGCCCAGACCAAGAGCGCCAGCGACACGGACCCTGCCATTACTCCTTCGGCCGACGCATCCGACCACTCGACAACCGACTCTCTCAAGCCCGCCCACTACTCTCTCAAGAAGAAGTGCCTTCTCGCTAGTGCCTTTGCCCTCATCACGCCCCTCGGCATGGCCATCGGCATCGCCGTCCTCGACTTTTTCAACGGCAACGACCCCGACACCATCCTCGCCATTGGCACTCTCGACGCCCTGTCGGCAGGTATCCTTGTCTGGGTTGGCGTTGTCGAGATGTGGGCCGAGGACTGGATGTACCCCAACTCGGAGCTCATGAACTCGAGCCCCATTGTCACGGCTCTTTCCTTGTTCGGTCTCATGGCTGGCATGGCGCTCATGAGCTTCCTCGGCAAGTGGGCTTAGACGGCATGACAACTTCTGTATTCACGCGTCCCGCCTTTGTACGGCCTGAACGCATCAAAAAGATGGGGAGGATGAACTGGGAAGAATGGATTCTTGTGATTTGAATATCCGGTAATGACCCATATAGATGACGGTCCGAGGGCCGCAATAATACCACTTGCATGGAATGGTACCGTTTTTTTCACCAGTCTGGCCCTGCTGTATCTTTTCACCTGATGCTACCGTGACGGAAATCGTCACACCTGGTCAGATAGGGTACGCTCCTCATTTTGATCCATGGACTGGGTGTACACACATGGTATGCTACCAGGGCCATCTTGCAAATGTGGTCCATCACGACAACAAAGACCAAGTGAATCGACGCTATCATGTCTGCCTGACACGTGACAATTGGCAACGAACAGCAGTTTCTCACATCTGGGCCGGCAAGGTAGGCTGCTCGCCAGAAGACAATTTATCCCAGTTTTGTAATTGAGGCCTTCGCAGAAAAGGTGTGAAAATTCCTCCTGCAGATTCCTTAGTCCATTCTGACAGGGATTTTAAAATGAAGTACCAAACCGGGTGCTCCTTCGCCATTGTTTCAAGCGGCCATACGAAGGTGGTCAGGGGTTAGTTTGATGGCTTCCACCCACCCTCGGCCTCAAAGATCTCGCCGACCTGTTTGCTTACCCTGAGAAGATGCCTGTCGCGATACCTCGGGGCTACAAGCGACACGCCGACGGGCATTCCACGTTCACCCTTGAATCCAGGAACATTGACAACCGGCGTATGCAGGGCCTGGCATTCGAGTCAGAGAGAGAGAGGCGGCTGCGCAGAGCGAAGCATACATACCGTCCAGATGACATTAAACGCCGCGTTTCCTGTCCATTCGATGCCCTCGGGCGCTTCATCCGGCACACTCGGCACCAGGACGGCCGCATACTTGCCCAGCATGGCATCAACCATGGGCCTCGCCGCCGCGATGCTGTCAAAGGCCTTGAGATGCTCGGCATGCGAAGTTTTGCCTCTGTTCTCGACGTGTCCGACGAGAAGATCCGCAATGCTATCCTTGCCGGCGCGATACTCTGACAGAAACGCCGCTCGACCTTCGGCATCCAGCACCGTGGCGTGCCACTTGGGCAGATCCGCCAGGCTCTCGGGGAACGAAATCTCCTCGACATTGGCGCCCTGCGCCCTCAGCAGCTCGACGGCACGCTCCAACGCCCCGACGGTCCCCGGCCCCGCATGCGGCCAGACCATGGTCTTGCAGACGGCAAACCTGGCACCCTGGACCTGAAAGTCCGTCGCTGTCGTCGTCGCTTCGTTGTCGTCGTCGTCCTCAAGCGCAAAGACGTGGGCCATGAGTTCGAGGTCGGCCACCCCCCGCGCAAACACGCCCAGCGTGTCAAAGGTCAGCGAGTACATCTTCTGCCCCTCGCGCGACACGGCGCCCCACGTCGGCTTGAACGCGTACACGCCGTTGAAGGAGCCCGGCCGGATCATGCTGCCGCCCGTCTGCGTGCCCAGGGCGACGGGGCACTGGAAGTCGGCGACGGCGGCGCCCGAGCCGGCCGAGGAGCCGCCGGGCGTGCGCGACGGGTCGTGCGGGTTCGTCGTCGCCGGCCCGCGCGTCGTCGCCGCAAACTCCGTCGTCGTCGTCTTGCCGACGAGGAGCGCGCCGGCTCGGCGGAGGATGATGATGGAGGCGGCGTCTACGTGCGGTGCGTCGTGGGCGTAGAGGGGCGAATTGAACTGCGTGGGCATGTCTTTGGCGCGTCAGCTTGTCAATTCGCCAGGACACGCGCCGTGCAGCGATGGGAGAGGATGAACGCGACACGGCAGATTCTCACCTTTTGTGTAGATGACATCTTTTACGCCAATGGCCACGCCGTGCAGCGGGCCGCGTTCCTCCGGGGGCACCTGGTCCAGCCTTCTCGCCTCGGCGAGGACTCGCTCGGGGTCGAGGTATGCCCAGGCCTTGACGACGGGGTCGCGTGCCTCGATGCGCGAGAGCAGCGAGCGAGCGTACTCCTCAATGGTGACTTGGCCGGAGCGCACCTTGGCTGCGACCTCACTGGCTGTGAGCCTGTACAGTTCGTTGGCCATGGTGAGTTTAATGTTTTGGAAAGGTTTGGTTTAGTGGCTTGTGTCGGCACTGAACTGTGATCACGAGTCTGTCAACAGCTGCATGTGGGTGAGACTGCATGAATAGTTGATCCTGCAGAGCGGCGACAGACAGACAAGACAGTCGTGCTTGTACAAGGGGGGCGGCTCGGACATGGCGTTCTGTGACGCCGCCGCCCTCTCTCCCCGCGCTGAACCCCGCCGCCATCGGGCGCGGGGGGGGCAAAACGTTGTGCGCGCGTCGGCCCGGACGCTGCCGACTGGCGGCGCCCCCCAACGGTGGCGGCCTGCGATAAGCGGCATGTGCCTCAAAGCGTGTCTGTGTGCGTGGGCGTGGGGTGTGGTGTACTCGCAGGTGGGCCAATTACGGCAATATCGGCACCGGAAATCCAGCGATTGACGAGTGGTGGTGTAGCTTGAGACTGGTTCGTCGACGGTGACAATAGTCCATTCATCCTCGATCAAGGGAATCTCTAGCCTTTGAGCGTGGTCAACCTGTTACGTCGCCATGGTCTGCCGCTCTTCCAACGTTTGGCGATGTGACTATGGATCTGAACGCTACCCTTTCTCCTCTGCCTTTCCTGTGCATGTAAAACTGCCGCCGCAAACATGTGGAATCTCAAACCAGTCAAGTCAAGCTCTCCCTCTCAGCTTTCCCTCTCCCTGCTCTGCTCATTCTTCCAGCCCCATCGTCGCCAAGTGCCTCAAACGCCTTTGGCCGCTTAGCAGGAGGGGCATTGACCTTCAGGTCCGCATTGCCCACTCCAGGAGCCAAGGCCAAAGCCAGCGCAGCGCAGACCGCGTAGAGTATGAAGATGCAGTGCAACCCCTTCATGTATACTGCTAGTGTCCTTTCCATTTTTTTTATCCTCAAGTTTCACGACGTCGAGCGCATGAATCGGGCTCATCAGACTTGTCACCTCGATTCACCCATGTAACCACCTTGCGTCAGGTCGCGGCTAAGGTACCCGAAACAACGAGGCCGAATGCGCTGCCAATGGTCAAGATGAAGTTCCGCTGCCCCGTCGTCGCGGCTCGGTCCTCGTTTCGGCTGTTGGCGTACATGCCCACCAGTGTCGGCTGCATCGTCAGTCCAATGCCTCGACGAGTATACGTTTCAGTGCGCCGCGTCCGGTGCTGCGTTTGTACATGAACACAAACTTCGACCTCAAAGTTCACAGGACGAAGCCGACTGCTATGCACGGCATGTACCTGCTCCACTGGCCATGAGATGTCCACTCAGGATAGAGCCGATGGATGCATTAACAACGATGGGAAGTATCAGGGCACCAGAGTCGGAACCGATCGGTCACACCGAGTTCTATCTACCCCAGGCATTTTCCATTCTCCGGCAAGACATGAGGTACTCGATGTGGTAAAGCCAATCACTACCGAAACCTTGGACGCGGTCTGTATCCATGATGATTAAAGCATCGCCAGGCACCTGGACCGCAAATTTAAGACCGCCCTAATTTACCTGCTTCACTATACATCGGCACTATTAAGATTCTTAACCCCACTGAAGGCGAAAGGCCTCATTCCCATTGTATAGCATCACATTGTATGCCGCGCGTCGTACTTTATCAAGCTTTCGTAATATGGATAGCAAGCTTTATACGCGAGGCCGAGAGGCCCGAAGTGTACGGCCAACATGTCAAAGCGTCCATGCTTTTGGACAGGCAACCACGATTAACTTTCAATAACTTAATCGTAAGACTGGAAGATAATATTAGGACTCGCCTTGAAAGCCTCCGCTTGAGAAGCCTCTGCGAAACGAGGCAGTTTCATCCGTGACAAAACTAAGGGAATCCTCCGAGGCGAAGAATAAGAACAAACTTCAAGTCAGTACTACAAGAGACCCTCGTTCTTATAAGTCTCGATATTGGTTTATGTTATTCGCTTCACCTTGGGTCCTAGCGTCGTGAGGTTGATGCTCTCGCCTTGACAGTATTGTTGCCCACGAGATTCATTGGTTGAAAGTGTCTGCAACTATCCCGTGATCTGCTGGTGTGAGAACTGTGACCATCCAAACACATCCCTTGATATGGACAACGACCGAGCTATCGGATATGAGTAACAATATCCTGACACCTACCCAAACGGCCGGCATGCCAGTATTTCATTGCCGTATAGTAATCGCCGCCCTCAATATAGCTTCGATATTCTTAGCATTCTGGATGTCAGGCGGCCCGGCGGAGCCACCAAGCGGGAGTGTCGGTCACGGGCTAAGTTTTGCGAGAAATGTATATATACGGACGGCGGAGGGCCCTCCGGGCTGCGGAGGGCCAGAGTTCAGATGTATTCTGACTCCCAACCTATGTTCTATTGCCTGCGGACCATGTGTGGAAGGCTTCTCCACTCTGCTATACCACGCACTGACAGGGGGCCGGGGAGCTGAGAAAGGTTAATAATGTGTTATTAGCGCACGACTTTTGGTATATGCTATGTAATTACACTTTACATTCTTATCTCCTAAGCATCTCGATTGCCAGATTGTATGCCTGGTTCTTACCAGTCTCCTCAATTGAACCCGGCTTGTAGTTCTTGTCCCAAGCATGATTGCAACCATCCATTCTCTTACATATTACGTACTTCCCTGGAACAGCCTCAATCTTCTGAGCTAGAGCTTCAGCCTCCATTGCGAGGCTGTCACAAGCCCCGGTCATGATGAGGACATTGTCAGGGAAGTCTGCCCCTGGTGCAAAACTCGGCGAGACCATTGGTGTCGTCCTATCGACCCCGGGTGGCAAGTAGGCGTCGTTGAATATTCTTGCTATCCAGCCAGGAATAGGCTTCCCAGACGTATCGGGTGCACGCTTTTCCTTCGCATCTGCACTTAGATCAGTCGGCGGATACACGGCGATGACGTGCCGAATTGAGTATCGGCCGAGGCTGGCTCCTAATGCTAAATTTCCACCTGCGCTAAAGCCTGAGACAGATATCCGCGATATGTCGAACTTTTCTGGTTGCGAGGAAACCCATGTGAGGACATCTTCCGCATCGTTCGTGGCGGCAGGATACGGATGCTCTGGGGCGAGTCGGTAGGATGCATCAATGACAGTCAAGTCGGTCTTTGTCGCAACGTAGCGAGCGAACTCGTCATCGCTGCCATGCCAAGGGATTATGAAACCACTGCCGTGAAAGTTCACAAGCACTGGGCTCGGACTCGGTGCCCGTGATTGATACACGTGAGCCAGAATGGTTCTGCTGGCGTCCCGAGATGGAATGTCGATTCGGTCATCTGGGTGCGGGCTGGCCGGAGCAGGACTACCGAATCGGATGGCGGCAATAGCTGCCTTGTCGAAAACATTAGAGACGAAGGACATGATGATGATGAGACGTGGAGATAAGGTTGGGCAGCGTCCAGTTACAGTCAGACAATGTATAGACAATTCAGCACCGCTGGAAGGAGCTACCGAAGAAGCCGGTACTTGTATACGGTAATCAAATGTGGTGATCGGCAGATCAGCCGGCAATTATTTGCCCAGCGGGAGTGCTTAGGCGGGGCGCGTTAGGATGAGGCGGCCGCCTAATGTAGCCCGTGCTACCGAGCTCGGGGATGTCGTGCACGAAGACGTCCTGAAGCAGTGTGATGGCCTCGATGACCATGTGGACGGCCTCATTGAGGACCCGAACCTGTGTCAATGCAAGCCAGAGTACCTCATCTGTCGCCCCAGTGGGTGCGACACAGGATGCTGCCTCGTGGGCGAGCAGGTTACGGTGCGCGCCGTCTTCTCGCCGTTTTCACGACAAGAACGGCAACCTCACCTATCCCCGACTCCCGCCGAGCGCTGAATCAACTGATTCCTACGACACCGGTATACAGTTCTTTGTTCCTGTCGACTGGTTACGTCGTGTCGTCTATGAAGACCTTACGTGGAATGGTTCTGTTGGCTTAAAAGAGCGTGCCGACGCTGAGGCCGCCGAGCCATTCGGTGTCAACTCCTATAACCCTAAACAATCTCGCGCTCGAGACTCTGGCATCAAGATACTACATTTTCACGAAACGGAAGACTCGGTTATCTCAAGCGAAGCCTCGTCGCGCTACTGTGACCTTATAGCACAGACGATGGAGGTCAGGCCTGGAGATCTCAACGACTTCTACCGCTGCTTTCCTATCTCGGGTATGGCCCACTACTTCGATGGTAGAGGCGCCTTTAGTATCGGGAAATATAGGGGTAACAGTCGCCGTAGAAGACGATGAAAAAAACATTCTAGCGGCACTTGTGACATGGGTGAAGGATGGAAAGGTGACCGAGCATGTTCTTGGCACCGCCTTCACCGACAAAATTAAGTCATCCAGAGGAAGCACTGTAAGTACCCAAGAGGAACAGGTACAGCGGATTAGGAGACCCAAGTCTGCCGACAGCTGGAACTGTGTCTCGGTTTGATGATATGTGACTTGTACCTTGCAGCGCCATTGCAGCTTTTTTGTCCGTATCATCGCCCGTCAAAAAGCGCTGTTGAGGAGACCTGGAGATTCCTGTACACATCTGCCTGGCCAGGACTGAAAATTTGTTGAAACAGCAGAAACCTCTCTGCTAAAGTGTCCATGGCTCCGTACCTTACTCTTCCAGCTTGAAATTTTAGACCGAGGTTATCGGTAGTAGACATTGGAGGATCCGCCGTTTCGTGAAAAGGTCGCTCGCCACTTTGCTCAAGACGATGCATACGACGACACTCCCAGACTGGTGCGCTCTGAAGAAGCCATAGGGTTCGCTGACTCTGCGGTCACCCGCATGATTACTATCCTTGAAGTCTCTCATTGACATCTGGTGTCGGCACCAAGATGCACCGTACCTTAAAGAAGTATCTCGACAAGACATTCTTGAGCGTTCAGAAGATCCGCCGCAGCGCCACAGACGACCAAGACGTTAGCAAGAATATATGGAAGAACTTGCCAAGCAGCTCTCAAGGCCCTCCCACCGCAGCATTAAGGAGGTGACCAGTCTGAAGATAGATGTTGGTTCGAGTGGGAACGGCAGAGCGCGGATTGCTGTCTCGATATCTGCTTAAAGGGCGTCGCTCGACTTGATGAACCGAGGTAGAACAGCGACGATACTACCGAGGGCCTTTTGTAGACCCAGTATAATACGTTCGCGTTCAGAAAACGCGTGGATAACCTAACATTCTACCTTCGGGCGGAGGAATAACTTTCCCGACGCGACCCGCCTGATAGGAAGCCTGATCACGAAGTGGTGGGGGTTCCTTCCTCCGACGAAGATGACAGCCGGCTTATGAGGTAGTCTCGAGTACGAAGTCACCGGACGTCTTAGTATGGACCCGGTAGAACGGCCGAGCATCTCTACTAGTTGCGCCAGAAATTATTTCCGCTGCCAAGTCCGCAGCTACGTCTAGGAAAATGAGACTAGCTCAAGAAGAATACATCGGCCCAAGTCTTGAGTAGTTAAAGAATTTCGCACGACCAATCAGCCCATAGTTAGAAACTACGAAGTATGACAAACGCTTTCATCAAGACTCAGGCAAGAAATGAGCGAGCAGAGTATTCGGTGGTTGAACAAGCTGACACTTTCAGCCCACTTGTAGCCATCTCAAGCTTAATCGACCTGCCCAGGAGCGATATTATCCAACGAAAACGTAGAGCATACCGTGCAATACCGGGAATGCAACTTTTCGAAGGTAAAATCATGTCAATCTGTCACATGGTCCCCGCGCTCATCTGCCGACAGACCAACAGAACGTCTCGAAAGGTGACTGCTACAACACCTCAGTCATTCTACCTCCACCGTGTTAAATTGTCACATGATAATAATATGGCGCTTAAATAATGTGGCTTGGGAAATGGGTTCAGAGTACCACAGACTTTCCGCACTTGATCCCCTCCAACCGACGGTACTTATGCCGATCTCTCGCGTGTGATTTCGTGCTTACGGCCTTGGTTGCCCGTGTATGGATTGGAAATCCAAATTAATCGTGTAGTGGCGAAGATCCTAACAAGCATGGACTTCGGCTCAGGCTCTGGACCCCCGCAGCCAGGAGCTCTTCTCGAAAGCACGAATGCCACATGGTCCTAGCAGTTCCAACGTGAATCTGGGTTGGGTGAGGATTCAATCGTGGGGATCTGATCGATACTGACGACATGCCCTGCGACAAAGTCAAACAAAAGCACACATTGCGACTGGCAACGTCATCAAGTCAATGAACCATATACCTACACCAACGAGGGTTTCACAGCCTCTGTTGATCGGGTCTGTCGAGGTAGGATATCGTCTGGCGATGGCGCCGCTGACTCGCTATCGCTGTGATGACGACTGGACAATAAGGCCAACTACCAAACGTTCGTGACGACGACGTGACCCCTAAGCGAAACGTCAGACCGCTGACGGAATCGTTCCAGAGTACCACGAGAAGCGCGGCACCTATCAACGCCGAAAGTCCGATGCCGGCCACAATGAGCGAGGAAGCAACCTGGCAGGCAAGCGAGCAGTACGCGACCGCCGCGACAAACATCGTTACTGCGGGCTTCAACGGTGTCGAAATCCACGGCGCCAACGGCTACCTCTGCGATCAGTTCCTCCAGACGAGATTCAATAAGAGTATTGACGTGTGGGGCGAAAGCATCGAGAATTGTGCACGTTTCGACGTTGAGATGACGAAGGCTGCTGTTGCGGCGGCAGGTGCAGATAGGGCGGCTATGCGCCTGAGCCCGTACAGTGACCTTGGCGGGATGCTCATGGAGGACCCAGACCCGAGCTTCCGGAATCTCTAGGGGCAGTTGGAGCCACTTGGGCTGGCATGTCTGCACCTCCTCGAGGCCAGGATCAGTGGCAACGACGACGCAGATTTTGGTGGGCAAAGGACTGTTCAGTAGATGGTCGAGCTTTGGGAACAATGTGAGTCCTCGGCTGCTTGCAGGCGGTTTCCAGTCGCACACGGCGCGAAAGGCGGTTGATGAAGTGTTCAAGAAGTACGATGTTGCAACCGTCTTTGGTCGGTACTTCATCACGAATCCTGATCTGGTGTAGCGGGTGCTATCGGGCGTGAATCTTGAGCCCTTTGGCCGCGCAACATTTTATCTACCCAAGAAACCCAAAGGGTACATTGATTGCCCTTTCAGCCAGCAGTTCCTGGCGAGCGTCAAGGCTCGGGACCAGGACGCGTACGAGGACCCGGATATGAGGGTTCAGAGGGAGGTCGAGGACTTTGAGCAACTGCATGAATTATGTAGTTCAGGACGACGTTCAAATGAAGCGAGGCTTGAGATAGCATTCGCCAGAGCGACTTGAATGCTCGCTGGCTGCCGGTCGAAGTGGTGCGGCTGGTATGTCTCCAACAGCATTGGAGAGAGAAGTGTGCGATGCATGTGTTCACAACAGAGATCCCACACCCACAACAGCGTGGATAACCCGCTATCGGGGTTCTTTCCGCCCGACTGGCCATCACCCTCCATCACTAAAAACAGCCATTTCCAAACACCTCCGTCACTGCTGCACCTCCACCCGAACAATGCAATGTAACCCACGCGCGGACATTTGAGGCTCGCCTGTCTTGATATGGGCAACCGAAGGCGTCCGATGAGGATAGATTAACTCGGTGGCGGCCAGCCACTGGCGCGTCCACAACCCCAACACACGAACCTAGGTAGCGATGGCGTGCCCAAATGTTCCGCCTCGCTCGACAAGACATATGCAGGAACAGTCCGTCAACCTTGATGGCCCGATGCCATGCGACTACTTATACATTGAGACACTCCCGCTCAGTGCTTCAGCTCTTCCCATTCCACTTGGTTCCGCTTCCGACGACATCGAGGACCGCCCACCACCCATCTGTTGACGGGCACACAAACGTTTCCTACCCGACTTTCGCATTTCAGCCCGGGCCGAAGATCGAAACCATTGATCAACAAGCGTAACGTATTGCTTGACGCCGGAGTAGCGAACGCCGCCAGACCACATTAGTCATGGTCAAGTCGGTCCCCCGGCGTTGAAGTATTGGACACACAGTTCCATGCGAGCCAAGTTTCCATCAATCGTCGGTTAACACAGCGAGGCAGTGCCAATGCCTCTCGACCTGGCCGGCCGGACCAAAGTCCCCTTGGCGGTATTGTCAGCCTTCCCATTCGGATCATGGGCCAACAACTGCAGATGCATGCCAAGCTTGTTTCCCCGCACAACCAAGCATCCGAACACCAATAGTCGCCATCGGTTCCTGGCCCGAACTGCTTGGCTCCTCCAGTCACCTTCCTCATTCAAACGGCTGCCAAGTGGATGGCCTGTCGGAAGCGTGCCGCTGCACCGACCGGTGGTGTTCCTCGCGCCCAACAAGGCTGATACGGGTTGTGGTGTTTGGATGACAGGGTGTTTGAGTTGTGCGAGTCTCCAGTTGTGGATGCGCGATGACACTCAAGAAAGTTCCTCTGAACAACGAAGAAACAGAAGAGTCAAAAGCATGAGAGCCAGGACCAAATCAGCAGCAACTCGCATCAGCTTCTTTGTGAAAGAAAACGCCTGCCGGTGCTGCTGCTCTTGCAACACCCCTGAGGAGAAAACATGCTCATCAAAAACATGCTCATCAAGGGTACCACAGCGTCGCTTCCGATGCGGGGAGAAAACGAATTCGGACGCACGCGGGCAAGGTACCTTGCACACGCCACAGGATAAATTTGTCAACTGGAGTACCCTCCATTCTGGAAGCTCGGCCTTGGTCCCTGCTCTGAGATGCCCGTCAGCTGTGCCCGCAGCAAGCCGATGCCAATGAGCTTCCTTTTACAGTGTAGCTCTTTCAACTGGGACCGTGGGCAGCATCGTTGCCTCGGGCTCCCAGGCAACGAGGCGAGCAGGAGCGGGGATGCTACAATGGAGCTGAGCAGTGGGTGTCGAATCCATGAAGGCAGAAAGTAGGCACTGCGAGGCTTATATGAAGCTCGTGCCTCCCACTGTGACGCTTCGGAAGCTCTCGGTATCTCCTCAGGATCCAGGTCTGACTGTGTTGATAACCTCGTGTCTCCAAGTTTCACCCCCAATCCCCGAGAACAATAGTCATTACCACCAGTATGCGCTACTCTGCTCCCGTCCTCGCTGCCCTCGTGGCTTCGGCCACTGCTACTGCTCCCATCGGACGTGCTGTCAAGATGTTGACGCTGGAGACCTCCCCTGGTGTCACTATTGAGGTCACCGAGGAGCAGAAGTTTGAGATGATGGACGTAAGTAGCTGCCGACAGGCATCCGATCCTTGTGCAGCGCCGTGCTGATCCCCGCAACAGAGGGGCGCCCATTTCTTCGACATCACTGAGTTCCAGGACAAGGAGGTGTCGGCCAACAGGCTCGCCGTTGCTGCGGCCCTGCCTTTCCCCGACAAGTTCCACCAGAAGTGCACCATCGACGAGCTGATTCCCAAGCTTGACATGGAGAGGATCGAGAGACTTTTGACCAAGTTCTCTTCGTTCCACAACCGCTACTACCTCTCCAACTGGGGCGTCCAGGCCGTCGACTGGCTGCATGACCAGATCAAGGAAGCCATTGATGACAGCGGTATTCCATTTGTCAACCTCCGCCACGTCCGCCACGTTGCCTGGGCCCAGCCCAGCCTGATCGTGACCATCCCCGGCCGCAACCAGCGTACAGTCATCCTCGGCTCCCACCTAGACTCCGTGATCTCGGGCGACCGCGGCACCGGCCGTGCTCCCGGTGCCGACGACAACGGCTCCGGCTCGCTTATGAACCTGGAGGTGCTGCGCGCCGTCCTCTCGGACAAGCGTGTCCAGGACGGCGACATCCTCAACACCCTCGAATTTCACTGGTACGGTGCCGAGGAGGCCGGCTTGCTCGGCTCCCAGGACATCTTCACCCAGTACCGCACCCTCAACCGCCAGGTCGTCTCCATGCTCAACCAGGACATGGTCGGCTACGCTGGCCGTGACGGCATCGAGCGTTTCGGTCTCGTCACTGACTTCACCGACGCCAGCCAAAACGACTTCCTCAAGAAGGCCATCGGCCAGTTCACCAACATTCCCTACGAGGAGACGGTCTGCGGCTACGCGTGCTCCGACCACGCTTCCGCCAACCGGAACGGCTTCCCTTCGTCGTTCATCTTCGAGGCGCCGTTCGGCAACCACAACCCGTACATCCACACGCCCAACGACACGATGCAGCACGTTTCGTTTGATCACGTCAATGAGCACGCCAAGATGGCGCTGGCGTACATGTACGAGCTCGCTTACTGGGCCTTTGCCTAGACGCAGATGCTGCTGCTAGCTTCTCGTGCGACTCGGACGTTGCCCGTAGCTTAATGTATAGACACACAAAACGCACCAATAGTAATGAGCATGAATAATGAAATCTTGGGGTTGGATGCAGTGCCTGTGTTGAATGAGTGAAGACGGCGAATATGCGTTTTAAGGTTCTTGTGAGACCTTTCGTGAGTGGCAGGGCGCAGGGTGTTCGCTTTCACGGCCACCAAGATGGACTCATTCCGTCCGCTCTGCTCAAATTGGTCAACGTAGCAGACAGTAGAAGACGTGCTGCGACGAGGCGATAAATCGGTGACTTGACTTGCTTCCAATTACTCCTGTTGATCCCTATTCCATACAGACCGTTGCCGGTGTCAAAGCCAGGCCTCTGCTGTGAGCAGGGCTCGTCCCGAAACTACCTTTCCCAAGTACACGGCCGAAAACCTCTCCCGAGTACGCGGCCGAAAACATTGCTCCGTCGCCTCATCCGAGGCCAGGCGAGCATAGCAAGCCCCGTCAAATTGACGCCCGTTGTCAATGGTACCCTGTTTGTACCAAGTTCTACACACGTCGAAACAAAGTTATCCCGAATGCGCCCCTGCGAAAAACGACAGAGTCCCCTCTTGCCGGCCGTCGCGTAATGTCGCGGCGCCCATGCCGTCCCGCCGGTCAAGCCTTCGCATCTTGACGCCAAACCCCGTTGCCATGTTTCGCGAGCCGGTCGACGACTCGGCGCCGCTGCCGCTGCTGCTGCTGTCCGAGTCGCTGTCGTCGGAGCTCCGCCTCTTCATCCCCCTCGCGCTGTGGAACGCGTTGCCGCCGGTGCGCACGCCCGCCAGGGGCTCCAGGGACCGTGGTTGGCGCAGCTGGTGGCGGCCCCAGTTGCATCCCGGGTTGTTGCCCGCTTGTTGGCAGCAGGACCATCGGCGGCTCTGAAGAAAGTCTTCCATGGTGGGTTCCGTGTCCATCATGTCGTCAGACGTCGAGGCCATGGGCTGGAGGAAGCCTGGGGGGGCGGTTGTCAGTGGCCTGGCTGAGGTGGAGTTTGGGGGTGGTTAGGGAGGGTAGGCATTGGACGTACCACTGTGGTAATGGCAACCGTCCCGGCCGTGAAGATGCCAGGCAAAATTGCGCTTGCAATTGGAGCACTCCATTTTCAGGATGTGCAATGCAATGTAGGCGTCAGCTTGTTGCTGGCTGGTCTGCGGGTCGAGTATAACAGATGGAAGGACGCGGCGAAGTGCGGGACGTTTGCCGGGAGAAGGAGCGCGAAGATGAGAAATAGAAAGAGTAAATGATTGATGGAGAGCTGTGATGGTTCCTAGAACTGAATCTGGCCCATCAATTGACTCTGAAGAGAGAGGGAGAGGAGAGTAGAGAGAGAGCGGCAAGGTTATGGTAGGCTGGATGGAGGTATGGAAGGTTGAAGGAACGGCCCACGACTGCACCTTACACGGGAAGCGGCCATGAACATGGGGATCCTGTCGCGCCTGCCCACTGAGTTCGAGGATCACCTGGTCGACCACTGGAATTGGTCCAAA